GCGCAGGACTCGACCAGGGAACGTGAACTGGAAAGAATTCACCAAGAACGGAAGCAGCAGCTCCCACACACTTAAACATTCCCAACTGCTCGGCTCGACTCACTGCGCTGGTACAGTGACGACTGCATCAACAACGCGCCATCGTTAGGCTTATTTTGGGCAAATCACTGTAATCTAACTGCTACAGGTCAATGTTTCCCAGTGCTGGTGCTTATTTTACTTCTGAACTGAGCGTTTCCTAACACACTGGACTCAACTCATCAGCCCTTTTCATACAGGGAACGCGATCACCAGCCTTGTGTTACGTTCAGGTCATTCACGAGACTTTTATTATAGTGAATATAGTGTATATTTTGTTTTTTGTCAACAGAGAAAATGGTAAACATGTTTGTTTACTTTTATTACTACGAAGCAAACAGCTTAACATTAATAAAGTTAATAAGTTATTATTATAACATTAATAAATTAGCCATAGGTTTGCGTTAATGGACCAAATAATCTACCAAATTAGTTGAACTTGTAGTCCTACAGTCAAAATAAACAAATAAATAAACAGTTAAGTATTCAGACTTTAGATATTCACAAGGATTATGTTCTGATCTATTTAAACCCAAAGTATTAACTGAGACAGTAATTTACCCTAAATTTATAGGGTACTTTCTATTGGGGGATGTCTGTCCCAAACCCTAACCCCTAAATGTATATCTGTCAAAATGATACTTACATTTTTTTTCAAAGTTTTCAAAGTTTTTTAAACATCTTTTTGATTTGTTGGATAGTTGAACGATTTAGATTTAACATGAGCTCAATTTTTTTGGGGTGGGGATTTTTCCCCAAATTTTCTCCCCAATTTAGTCGTCTCCAGTTCCACCCACTAGTTAGGACTCCCCCATCACATGATAGCACCAGCGCTAGGTGGGTGAAGGCTAACACAGGCTTCCTCCGAGACCTGTGAAGCTCCACCGCATCCTTACGAACTGCCGCTCACGCAACGTCATCGGACAGCTGAACACACTCGGAGGAGAACACTAACCGCCAGAACTGTTACGTCAGCTACCAGACGCCTGCGCTGACTAGCATCGTGCTAGTGATGGGGGGAGCTGGGGGGCCATCCTGCCCACCCAGAGAGAGCGAGGCCAACTGTGCTCTCTTGGACTCCCGGCCACAGACGGCTGTAGCATCACCAGATGAGCTCAATTTTTAAATAAAAACTTTATTAAAAAAAATACTGTCCCATGTTTTCATGTCACCACCGAAACACGAAGAGTCTTGGTCTGTAGGAGCCTTATTTTAGCCACGCCCCTGCATTATAGAGCAGGTCACTCATGGCCACATGGCGAGCAGTTAATTACCTTTTGATCTCAAGTTTGCAACTTTGTTTTCTTGAGATCACAAGATGCTTAACTCGTTATCTCAAGATAACAACTTTGTTATCGAGCGATCACAAAATACTTAACTCGCTACCTCAACTTTTGTTATCTTGAGATCACAAGATGCTCAACTTGTCCTGAGATAACAAGTTAATTATCTTGTGATCTCAAGTTCGCCACTTTGTTATCTTGAGATCACAAGATACTTAACTCGTTATCTCAAGATAACTTTGCTATCTTGAGATCACAAGACGTTTAACTCTATCTCAAAATAACAACTTTGTTATGTTGAGATCACAAGATAATTGACTCGTTATCTCAAGATAACGACTTCGCTATCTTGAGATCACAACATGCTTAACCCATGATCTCAAGATAACAACTTTTGTTATCTTGATATCACAAGATAATTAACTCATTATCTCAAAATGACAATTCAGAAAATCATAACTACCTCATGGCCTCGCCGGAATGCTGTACATATGAGTCTTATATCCAACTTATGTTGTGACGCCGAAAATAAGGTCTATACCTTACGGTTTGTTCTACAACTACAGCAAATGTACTGTTTATTTATTTTTTTATAAATCTAAAGCTGTTTTTTAAAACCTCTGAAGCACCAGCACAGCAAATTACATCCAAACTGCTTAGCAACAGGGACAGCACTGTTATATGGGCATTACACAACAGACATCTATTAAAATATCGCTAAAAATATGGCTAAAACGCAACATCACAGTGCGCGGATATAGACAGTACATCGCCTGGCACGATAATTACACCATTTAAGGCTTTAATAATTCTGATAAGCAATAAAAAGTCATAGTGGGATTAAACAACCGACCGCAACAAAGTCTGAACCAGGACATCACATGTTTATACAGTCATAATCTGAACAGCAAACACAAGTTCTGGTGATAGTTTTGTATGTAAACTGTAAATTGTAGCTGTTTTTGGGTGTTTTGAAGCAATAAGAGACTCAATAAAACACAATGATTACAGTATTAAATTATTTCAGTGTTTTTTTAAGTGCTTTAAAACATTTCCAGTATATTTTTAACGATACAGCGCTAATCCTGGAGATGTGCAGTGCAGGGTTACTCCAGGATCAGCACTAGGAAACAAGGCTCCAGCTTGCTGACACAGTATTTACTGTCTAATATTTGTGGCTGGTAAATAAATGGCCACGAGGCCGTCTTATGATCGCCCCGCAGGACAATAATGGATGTTAATTAAGCTGTTTTAAACGGCTCTGAGCGTCTGGAAGGAAAAGGATTTCGCCATGCAGCTAAAATATTCTATTGTCCTCCCACAACAAGCACCACTTTGCCCCCCTCGGTCGTGTTAAGCCCCCCACGCGCTGCAGCACAGCCATTAAAATCCAGCGTCTGACCTGCAGAAATGAAAGCGCCGAAGCTGAAGTCTGATCTGCCTGACAGATGAGGGGATTTCCATCGACAATGGCCAGCGTGATCAGCCCCAGCTGGACTATACAGGCCTCAGCCAAGGGGGCATTTGTGTTGGAGCTGGAGGCTCAGCAAAAGGCCCCCCGTTTCTAAGGCCAGGCCGGACCCTCACACACAATGACACGCTCAGCTCAGCTCAGCTCAGCTCCAAACTGCCCAAGCGGAGATGCAGTGGACCATCATAGCAGGTCAACAAACTGTGGGCTTCCAGCAAAGCCTGCACTCTAAAAAACGATGGTTCTTCAAGGGTTCTTTAGTAAAGAAAATGGTTCTGTGTAGAACTACGAACACTTAAAGAAACCTCTGCATGATTAAAAGGGTTGTCTGCATCATGAAAGGGTTCTTCAGACTGATGGAGAATGTGCTGGTTCTTTATAGCACCCAAAAGGGTTCTACTGTTGTTACGATGTCAAGCTTGTAGCAACAGAAAAAACATTTTGGGTGCTATATAGAACCCTTTTCAAAAGGGTTCTTCTATTGTTACGACGTCAAGCTTGTAGCAACAGAAGAACCCTTTTGAAAAGCGTTCTATATAGAACCCAAAAGAACCATTTTGGGTGCTATATAGAACACTTTTGAAAAGGGTTCTTCAATTGGTACGACGTCAAGCTTGTAGCAACAGAAGAACCCTTTTGGATGCTGTATAGAACCCTTTTCAAAAATGTTCTTCTATTGGTACGATGCCAAGCTTGTAACAACAGAGGAACCCTTCTGGGTGCTATATAGAACCAATGTGAAAAGGGTTCTAGTTAGCACCCAAAAGGGTTCTTCTATTGTTACGATCTCAAGCGTGTAGCAACAGAAGAACCCTTCTGGGTGCTACTTAGAACCCTTTTCAAAATGGTTCTACATAGAACCATTTATAGCACATTCATGCAAATTTTCCATCAATCTGAAGAAACCCTTTCATGATGCACCCTTTCTTGTTCTTTGCATCATTAAATGGTTCTTCAGATTGATGGAGAATGTGCTGTAGATGGTTCTATAGAGAACCTGTTTGAAAAGTGTTCTACATAGCACCCAAAAGGGTTCTTCTGTTGCTACACGCTTGAGATCGGTGCTATATAGAACCATTTAAGCACATTTCAGTCTGAATAACCCTTTTATGATGCAAAGAACCCTTTAATCATGCAAAGGGTAATTTGAGTGTTCATAGTTTTACACAGAACCATTTTCTTTCCTAAAGAACCACTGAAGAACCATCTTTTTTTAAGAGTGTATGAAGGCCTGAAGTGGTCTCTAACTCCAGACCTTAAACCAGATTCCAGTCCTGGATTTTGTAGTATTTTCTTCACAGTGGTGCTGATAGGAACCAAGCGTCACCACGTCTACAACACATACATAGCCATTTTATTTACTATCCAAACCCACCAGTGAACCAACACAAGTCTTTAGAGTTTTACATGGAGTGTTGATGATGATAAAATAGTGAAAAATCTGAAAAATACAGGGACTATTTAGCCTTAGAACACCCTGCACATATCTCTCCACCAATAATGGCCTAAATAAAATGTTTTAACTAACTAAACCGTAAAATAGACATCACTGTAGTCCATTCATACAGAAGCGAATTCATAACCATTTCACGTTATAACTTTCTGTGATGGAGCTTTTAGAGGTGGACGTCTGGTTCCTATCATCACCACTGTGAGCAATTCTGACTCTGCGAGTTTCTCTAAAACAGAGCGTTTCACACCAAATCGCTCTGGACGGCTTTGTTTACATCTTACAACTGAATTTTGGAGAAATTTTAAAAGATCAGTGGAATTCCCCTTTAACCGAACACCCTGTGTCATGCCCACCAGACGGTCCAGGGCTGAAGACCACTGTTTAGGGCCATGAGGGGGCTTGTGTTGTGTTGATAAAGGTGGGTAAGAGTGGAGAAGGAATGAGAAACTGTCCTCAGGCTGGAGAAAGAAAAGGTCCAAACCAGAAATGACGCTTCCAATTCGCCAGCTTCTGGGTCGAATTTTCCCGTTCCACCTTAAATACATTCTGGCGCATGTAGCTGCTGCACCATTTAAGGTGGAACGGGAGAATTCGAGCCAGAAGCTGGCGAATGTGTGAGGAGGAGAAGAGGAGAAGAAGAACGGGCGGCGCTGAGATGAGCTGAGGACCAGAGAAGAAAACAACCCAAACAAAAACAACACCGTCCCCGGTTTACCTGCGTCCACCGTGTCGGTCAGGTCGTAGTTGGAGGCCGTCCTGGGGAACTCTTTGAGCTTCCTGGCGCTCAGGTTGAGGAAGCCCGAGCTGGCCGCCTCCTCCAGCGCTCTCTCCAAGCCGCGGTTCAGAGGCACGTTGGGGCTCGAGCCCAGCACGAGGAGGCTCGGCTGTGGCGCGGAGGGAGCGAGCTGGGAATGCCGGAGGGGCTCAGCCCCCAGCGCCGTCATGTTCGCCCCGAAAACAGAGGGAAAACGCGCGCGGGAAGACGAAGGGAAGGATCCAGAAACGGTAAATCCCGCGGAGAAACGCTGCGCAGATTCCCCCGTATCCTCAGTCTCACTGTTCCTAGCGCGCATGCGCAGGCGCTGGAAGCCGTTGACCGTTGCCAAGGCGTTAAAACGTCGACAGGCGCGCCCTCTGCCGGCTGCTGACATTTCTGTCTTTCTTTCTTTCTTTCTTCTTCTTTTTGAACTTTCTGTCTTTCTTTCTTTTTTTTAATGTCTTTCTTTTCTTGAACTTTTTCTTTCTTTTTTCTTTTTTTTGAACTTTCTTTCTTTCTTACTTTCTTCCTTTTCTTGAACTTTCTTTCTTTCTTTTTTGTTTCTTTTTGAACTTTCTTTCTTTTTAAGCTTTTTTCTTTTTTGAACTTTCTTTCTGTCTTTCTTTTTCTTTTTTTATTTTAACTTTCTTCCTTTCATTTGAATGTATAAATGTTTTCTTCCTTTCTTTTTTTAAATTTTTTTCTTTTTTGAATTTTCTTTCTTCCTTTTTTCTTTCTTTCTTTATTTACTTCTTTCTTTTTTCTGTAATTATTCAGAACCGTTATGTCACACACGTCTACAGTAAGTGAGTAAATAAATGAACAAAAAGCAACAAAATAAACAAAAAACAAAATAAATAAACAGCCATATGAAGTAAAATATGAAAAAATCAATAATAATAACAAACAGTCATAATAATATAATAATAATGTTACCATTATGTACCTATTTGTTCACTCTTTATATAAACTATAGAACTTAGACTATATAGTGTCTATACTATAGTATATATTATTATAATATATGCATTATTATACATATATATTATAATATTTGTAATATATATTAATATATATAGAACATTATATATACTCTTTATATAGACTAGAGAACTGTGGCAACTCAGAGAACCATTTAAATGCATAAGTGGTTCTTTGCTGAGTTAATTGGTTCTTTTCCATGATGGAAAATGTGTTGTATATAGTTCTTTAAAGAGCTTTTTAAAATGATGCTACATGGCACCAAAAAGGGTTCCGAAGGTTCTGTAAAGATCCTGGTTCCCCTCTGTACAGTTCATTAGTGTTTTAATGCGTGTACCACAGCATATTGCATATTCTTGCATATAAAATATGATTGAGCTGGTGGGCCATCAATCAGGACCCCAAAATGTTCATCTGTATTCAGCTGGACTTAAAGGGGAATTCCACCGATTTTTTAAATTTTCTGTATAATACTGTGGTGAAGATGTGAATAAAGCCATTCAGAGTGGTCTGATGTGAAACGATTCATTGTAGCGAAACTGACAGACTCTGATTCCAGTACAGTGGTGCTGATAGGAACCAGGGGTCGCCATGACTACGACACAGGTTTTATATGTGATGTTGATTCTGTTTGGGGACTATTTTGCCTCACAGCACCCTGCATGTACCTCTCCACCAAAAATGGATTAAACAGTGTCTCAGACAAAAAGGAACCATATTCATAACCATTCCATGTAATAACTTTCTGTGAGGGAGCTTTTAGAGGTGGACGTCTGGTTCCTATCACCACCACTGTGAACAATTCTGATCGGCAAGTTTCTCTAGAACAGAGCGTTTCACAACAAACCACTCTGAATGACTCTGTTAACATCTTAACGATTTAATTATATGGAAATTTTAAAAGATTAGTTTATTTTCCAAGTATTTTAGTCATAAAATATAATATAAAGTTAGGCCTTGCCAATATAACAATATATATATTATTATCCTGATACATTATGTCGCAATACACTACACTTTTCTGAACATATCATGTACATCGTCAGTACTTGTAGATACTGACCAACTGCATGTTTCATCATAAACAGAGCAAAATTAGTGCTGTTTAATGGGATTTAGTGCAACACTATGGAAAATACTGAATAAAAATCATTGTGTTCACAGTTTTTGATGGTACTTTTTAAAAATAAAGCACCACAGTTTCTTTTTTCTCAGTCCAAATGATCAGATTTCTGAATAAAAAAAAAGAAATATCATGACGTATCATGATAATTTCATGAATTATTGCATTGTTAGATCTTTGCCATGTCGCCCACCTCTACCTAATGTTATAAAATACATTTTGGCCCACCACAAACATTGCACCCCAACCCCCCACCCCCAAGACAAAAAGTTTTGACACCCCGGTACAGATTGTCTACTGCTGAGACCTGGATTACATGAGGCATCAAATTCAGCCATTCCGTCCTTCTTTATTCTTAAAATTTGCACCAAATTTCCAGTGGTGGACGAAGTACACAAATCATGTACTTGAGTTAAAGTAGAGATACCCAAGGTAAAATATTACTTCAGTAAAAGTAGAAGTTCCTCCCTTTAGACCTCCACTTGAGTAAAAGTACAAAAGTATTTGCCTTCAAATGTACTTAAGTATCGAGAGTAAAAGTACTAAAAGATTAATTATGACTCTGGTGTCCTATTATCATTTTTGTAACAAGACTCGCTTCATTAACTCTTTTTAAGTGAAAATACTCCAGTGTCTCTCTTGGTAAACCAGTCTTTTAATAGAATGTCATTAATTAGTGACGCTGATGTCTATTAAAATTATCATAAGCACAAAACACTGAAGGTAAACAGTTTCCATCAGGTAGAACTGAGTGGCTCTGAAAGAACTTCTTACAAACAAGCAAAGTTTCAGTTTAAGATTTATTTGCAACTTAGTTACAAGTTTAAGTTTAATAAAAACTTTAAACTCAGATTCACAAATGAGTTTCCTTTACTAAACTGCATCTGTAGGTCTCTGTTCATAAACATAAACTAGCCAAAACTAATTTACTATAAAATGAAATAGTGTTTGTATAAATTCAGAATAAAGACACGTCAGTCTCAACTGCATATGTGTACATATTTCTATATTGTGGTCTATTTACACAAAGTTAGGTTAGTTCATCATTTATGTTGAATAGACTCTCCCAAAATTTGACGCTGCTGCACTGATGTTGAACCGTGTGCTGCACTGGGTCGGTATGACCAACAGGTCAAAACAAGCTCAAAACTAAGTGTGCTGTGCCCTGATTGGTGTTCTTGCTTTGCGCTTCTTTCGTTTTGACATGTTACGTTTTTATACGCACATAAACCAAAAGGAACAACAGATTTCTCATAATGTAGTGGAGTAAAAAGTAAGATATTTGAGTTTGAAATGTAGTGGAGTGAAAGTAAAAAGTTGCCCAAAATGGAAAAACTTCAGTAAAGTACAGATACACGAAAAAACTACTTAAGTACAGTAACGAATTACATTTACTTCATTACTGTCCACCACTGCAAATTTCTCAGATTTGCTTGCATCGGCCTGCTGACCTTTACACGTCAGCAGTCCGAAGGTAAACAAGCTTGGAGGAGAATTTCAGTTCAGTAGCAAAGTCCGACCACAAGACTCAGGGTTTATGACGGAAATTACAACACTAATCCTTTCCTGGAGGAGCGTCTAGGTGCCTTTTTGTTCCGTGAAAGGGGGGTGAAAAGCTGTGCGTGGGGGGAAAAGAGGGAAAAAATGAACAGCTACAGTTTTCTTTGGACTGAAATCGAAAGGAAGGAGTGTTTTTATGAGAGTGACTGAGGCTGAGGCTGAGATTGCTGACTCAGCTGCATAAGCCACACTTCAGCGGAAAAGCTGTTTACTGATTACAGACACACTCAGCTTACACAACACAGTAGCCTATCGTCGCTCAGGAGGCCTGCTTTGTCTCGGCCTGTGAAGCCTCGGGCCTTAATACAGTTAGACCACCGAGAGCACCTCAGCCGCCAGGCCTGTTCCCTCCTACCATCCTTCATTTGTTCAATTCCCAGCCAAAATGGCTGATAAGGACAAGTTATTTATCAGGAGATATTACTGAGGAGATTAGATAGGAGATAATCCACTTGCATAAGGAAGATTTGGATTTATTTACTTCAATTTAGTTTCTGTTTCCCCTCCATGTAGTTCATTACTGCTTTAGTGTGTCTAACTTAGTGCATGTTGCATTTTTATGCTCATTTGTATTCAATTAGACTTAAGTCTCTTAGTACAGATCTCATTTTTACGTCTCCCCCACTATGAAGTTCATTACTGCTTTAGTGTGTTTTCCTTAGCATACATTGCTTTTTTATGTTTCATTTGTACAACCCCATTTCCAAAAAACGTTGGAACGCTGTGCAAAATGTAAATAAAAACAAAATGCAATGATGTGCAAATCATTTAAACGCTATATTTCATTGAAAATACAACAACTGAGACATTTTATTGTTTTTTGAAAAATATATGTCCATTTTGAATTTGATGCCAACAAAATGTCTCAAAAAAGTTGGGACGGGGGGAACAAAACGCTGGTAAAGTTGTGTAATGCTAAAAAAACACCTGGTGGTTAATTGGCAACAGGTCAGTAACATGATTGGGTATAAAAGAGCATCTCAGAGAGGCGGAGTCTTTCTGAAGTAAAGATGAGGAGGGGTTCACCACTCTGTGAAAGACTGCACCATCAAATAGTGCAACAATTCAAGAATAACGTTTCTCAATGTAAAATAGTAAAGAACTTTTGCTTTTCATCATTTATGGTACATAATATTTCATTAGAAAATTCAGAGAATCTTGAGAAATCTCTGTATGTAAGGGAGAAGGCCAACAGTTGTAGTAAACAGTTCCCAAACACTTACAGAGTGTTGTTAAAAGAAGAGGTGATGAAACAGAGTGGTAAACAGGCCCCAATGAAATACAGGGTTTAAATGATTTGAACTTTTATTTACATTTTGCACAGCATCCCAACTTTTTTGGAATTTTTTTTTGTATTTGTAGATTTAACCCCCTGAAATCCCAGCATTATTACATATTAAGGCTCATTATTCAGTAACTACAGGGACTTCAATGCAAACTGACTGATCTATTCTTAGGTTATAGAAGTATGTAATAAAACTTTGGGCTTACCGGTGGGCCCTGGCTTAATCTAGGTCTAGGAAACTAGTCCAGAGGGTCAACTTAACCCCCTCCGGACTAGTTTCCTAGTCCTAGATTATGGACTATAAGTAACTTCCAATTGGTAGTCACCACCAGCACTGCAGTGTAGTCCATTCCAAATTTAAAGTGGTTTGATGTGAAATGTGTGTAGCTTCCAAAAGGACATGGAAAATGGCAAGGGGTTTTCTGTAGTTGGTGATAAAAGTCCCTCTTATGTAATTATCTTGAGATAATTTGAGTAAAAAAATCCCAGGTAATTTCACAGGTAGGGGGGTCTTTTTTTACCCACTATAGAAAAACCCATTTCACCACCTTCACCCATGTCCTTTTGGGGGCTCCATAGAAATGCTCCACTCTAAAGAAACTTACTCAGAATTGTTCACAGTGGTGGTGATAGGAACCCGACATCCACCTCTAGAATCTGATGTCTGAGACATTATTTCACAGTAGTTTTGCAATAACACATTTATTTTAATCCATTCATGGTGGAGGGATCCATGCAGGGTGTTGTGAGGCAAAATAGTCCACAAAAAAACACATTTTTCAGATTAATGACTATTTTACCATCATCAACTTTCCATATAAAACTCGTGTAGGTTCGCTGGTGGTTTTAGATTTGTAAATAAAATGTCTATATTTGTGTTGTAGTCATGGCGACCCCTGGTTCCTATCACCACCACTGTAAAGACATCTGAACCATTTCACACCAAACCACTCTGAACCACTCTGTTTACATGTTAACTGCTAAATTGTGCAGACATTTTTTAAAAATTATGGAATTTCTCTTCAAGTAATTTTTAATAGATTTGCTTTTGTGGTTTCTGGCACTCTGTTATTTATAATCATGCACTACAGTATATTAGCGTGAGCTAAAAATGGTAGCAAACTCCTGAATTCTGTCCTTCTTTTAGTCCATGTTCAGAGATAAAAGTATGTCACATCTCGATAAACTAGTCTACAGTGGTGGACAGTAACTAAGTAAATGTAATTCGTTACTGTACTTAAGTAGTTTTTTCGTGTATCTGTACTTTACTGAAGTTTTTCCATTTTGGGCGACTTTTCACTTTCACTCCACTACATTTCAAAGTCTAATATCTCACTTTTTACTCCACTACATTATCAGAAATCTGTCGTTCCTTTTGGTTTGTGTGTGTATAAAAACGTCACATGTCAAAATGAAAGAAGCCTGAAGCAACACACAAATCAGGGCACACCGCACACTTAGTTTTGAGCTTGTTTTGACCTGTTGGACATACCGACCCAGTGCAGCACACGGTTCAACATCAGTGCAGCAGCGTAAAATGTAAAAATTTTAAAACCAAAATGATGAACTAACCTAACTTTGTGTAAACAGACCACAATATAGAAATATGTACTCATATGCAGTTGTGACTGACGTGTCTTTTTTCTGAATTTATACAAACACAATTTCATTTTATAGTAAATTAGTTTTGCTAGTTTATGTTTATGAACAGAGACCTACAGATGCAGTTTAGTAAAGGAAACTCATTTGTGAACCTGAGTTTAAAGTTTTTATTAAACTTAAACTTGTAACTAAGAAATAAATCTTAAACTGAAACTTTGCTTGTTTGTAAAAAGTTCTTTCAGAGCCACTCAGTTCTACCTGATGGAAACTGTTTACCTTCAGTGTTTTGTGTTTATGATAATTTTAATAGACATCAGCGTCACTAATTAATGACTCTATTAAAAGACTGGTTTACCAAGAGAGACACTGGAGTATTTTCACCTAAAATGAGTTAATGAAGCGAGTCTTGTTACAAAAATGATAACAGGACATTTAAGTCATAATTAATCTTTTAGTACTTCTACTTTTGATACTTAAGTCCATTTGAAGGCAAACACTTTTGTACTTTTACTCAAGTGGAGGTCTAAAGGGAGGAACTTCTACTTTTACTGGAGTAATATTTTACCTTGGGTATCTCTACTTTAACTCAAGTACATGGTTTGTGTACTTCGTCCACCACTGCTAGTCTATTAGAGGTTATTTAACAGCGTTGTGACCTCTGGTTCCTATCACCACCACTGTAAAGAAACCTGAGTCAGGTAAAAAAAAGTTTTACAATGAACCGTTTCACACCAAACTCCGCCACTTTGTTTACATCTCAACCTCTGAATTATATAGAAAATTTGAAACATCGACGGGGTTCCCCTTTAACTCAGCACTGTAGGTGTTAATTCAATGATGTAGCATAGACGCTAATTCAACACCACGTCGCCTCAGCCCGCACTGGAACTGGAAACTTCTGTAAAACACCAGCACTCTTCCTCTTTTCTCACTGACGGAAGGCTGTGGGCAGCGAAACCATCATCTGAAGCACGAAGCGTGTTTCTTTGTCCGAAAACTGAGTGACCAGGAGCGACTAAACACTGAAAACGGTGGATGATCTGTGTGAGGAGCGGCTCGCTGTGACTGCGGCAGCTTTACAGAACACGCTCAACGATTTTCACGCGCTGCTGGTTTACTATAGTGGGTGGTGTAGCTTTTTCCACCCGTCTTCGGGCAGACCCCGCCCCCTGTGCTGCGATTGGCTAATCATTCGCTCTCGCACGCCGCCCGCTGACCACTAATCAGAGCCATGTAGAGAGTGGTTCTTTATAGAACCATTTCCTTTATGAGAGAACCCTTAAAGAACCATCTGTTTAAAGAGCGTATGTACTGTGTTCCATGCTCTAAATCCAGTTAAACAGGACCAATTAAGCTCTCTTTCTGGTGCTATATAGAACCACTTTTTAAAAGGTTCTTTAAAGAACCATATAGAACAGGTTGTCCATCGCTTAACCACGCAGAGAACCATTTAAGCACTCAAATTCCTCTTTGTCACTTTTCTGTGTAGAACCATTTCAAATTATATGCACTGTTTATGATTTAAATGTACACACGTGAAAAGATAGAGATGCCATTAAAGGTTCTCTGTGGTTCGCAGTGCCATGGAAGAACCACTTTCGGTTATTTAGAGAACCATTTTTGTAAATGAGACGTGTGAGGGTGCTGAAAGAAGCTCCACGTAGTGTAAAAGGTTCTAGGAGGAACCCTTAAATCGATAAAGAACCTTTACATTGGGCCTTGAAAGGTTCTTCACACTCACCAATCACTTTTTCAAACGTGGTTCTTTAGTGAACCAAAAGTGGATCTTCTGTCACATCGCTCAAAGAATCCTTTGCAAGAGTGCAGAACCATAATGCAACAGGTTTTCTACCATAGAGAAGAACCATTTAACCATGCAGAGAACCATTTATGCTTGCGTTGCCATGGTTCTAGATATAATCGTCTTCACTAAAGAACCCTTGAATGTTGGTTATTATTATTGATTTTTACTTCATATGACTGTTTATTCATTTGATGTTTTTTTTTTGTTTATTTTGTTGCTTTTTGTTCATTTATTTACCCACCTACTGTAGACGTGTGTGACACAACGGCTCTGGATAATTACAGAAAAAGGAAAGAAAGAAGGAAAGAATGAAAGAAAGAAAGAAAAAAGGAAGAAAGAAAGACATTTCAAAAAAGAAAGAAAGAAAGAAAGGAAGAAAGAAAGTTCAAGAAAAGGAAGAAAGAAAGAAAGTTCAAGAAAAGGAAGAAAGAGTTTAAAAAAGAAAGAAAGAAAGAAAGTTCAAGAAAAGGAAGAAAGAGAGAAAGAAAGAAAGTTCAAGAAAAGAAAGAAAGCAAGAAAGAAAGAAAGAAAGAAAGTTCAAGAAAAGGAAGAAAGAAAGAAAGAAAGAAAGAAAGAAAGTTCAAGAAAAGGAAGAAAGAAAGAAAGAAAGAAAGAAAGAAAGAAAGAAAGACAATTCAAGAAAAGGAAGGAAGAAAGAAAGAAGGAAAGTTCAAGAAAAGAAAGAAAAAGGAAGAAAGAAAGAAAGAAAGAAAGCTCAAGAAAAGAAAGAAAAAGGAAGAAAGAAAGAAAGTTCAAGAAAAGGAAGAAAGAAAGAAAGAAAGAAAGAAAATTCAAGAAAAGGAAGGAAGAAAGAAAGAAAGAAAGTTCAAGAAAAGAAAGAAAGAAGTAAAGAAAGAAAGAGAGAAAGTTCAAAAAGACGCCTCTAATTGGTGGACTACTAGCCAATCCTGTTGCAGGGTGGGCGTGGCTTTCCGGAATGCGGGCGTGAAAGAAACTCAGCTGGTGCGTTTAGCCGTTAGTACCGTCTGTCTTGAGAGCTGCTTTACCAGTTCCTGAAATTTCGAGAGAAATGGTGAGTTTATACCGGTTTTTTAGAGAAACGCTACTAAAAGCTGTTTTCCTTGCTTGTACAGACTTGTCGAGCTACTGTGAGATCACTGAGCTGCCCACTGAGATGTGTAAACTTAATTAAGGACCGCCTTTGCATTCAGTAGCGAGCTTCACTGCACGGTTGAACTTTATCAGTTAGCTTTAAGTGCTGTTTTGCATCTCAGCGGATCTGTTCATTCTCAGGAAGGAGCGTGTCAGTTAAAACCCTACCTGCATCCAGCACAGCATAGTTATGCACCTCAGAGATAACGAACAACAGAAGTGGTCATACAGGCCCATAGCAGAAATGTAACTGCAGTCATTTTGTCGTCCAGCTGATCTCAGTCTTGAACCTGTTTTACATGGTTCCTCCAACGGTTATTCAAAGACCCCTGACAACCCAAACAACCATTTGTATGCTTGAATGGTGCTTAAATGTTTTTTCTCTGGAAAACATGTTGTAAAGAACCTTTAAAATGGCTGTATTTAGCATCACTCTTTAAAAAAGATGGTTCTTCAAGGGTTCTTTAGTAAAGGGAATGGTTGTGTTTAGGACCATGAGTTCTGTATAGATCTATTTCATGCTTATATGGTTCTTTGCATGGGGACATGGCTCTTCATTCACCTTCTTTGAAGGAGAATGTGCTGCATATGGTTGTATATAGAACCTTTTTTGAAAATGGTTCTATACAGCACCAAGAACGGTTGCTCTATTGTAATGATTTCAAGCTTGTAACAATAGAAGAACCCTGTTTGGTGCCATATAGAACCAAACACAACACATTCTCCAACATTCTGAAGAACCATTTCTTTGTTAAGAGTGATCAAAAATGTTACATAACATGTTTTGGTACTATGTAGAACCCTTTTTGCTAAAAGTGTTCTTCATTTATCTTATTTAATGGAGAACGTGCTGAATAGGGTTCTATCTAGAACCTTTTTGAAAATGGTTCTATATAGCAAAAAGAATGGTTTCTCTATTATAATGATGTCAAGCTTGTAACAATAAAGGAACCCTGTTTGGTGCTGTATAGAACCATATACAACACATACTCCATTAATCTGAAGAACCATTTCACTCTGTAAAGAACTGTTGAAGCATGAAATACTTCTATATAGAACTTATGGTTCCAAATAGATCCATTCCCTTTACTAAAGAACCCTTGAAGAAACGTCTTTTTTAAGAGTGAGGCTATATGGAAACAATTTAAAAGGGTTTTTTAAAGAACCATACAACAAGTTTTGTCGTAACAATAGAAGAACCCTTTTGGGTGCCATATAGAACCAATTTCAAAAAGGTTCTATGTAGAACCATCTACAGCACATTCTCCATCGATCTGAAGAGCCCTTTCATGATGCAAAGAACCCTTTTATCATACAAAGGGTTATTTGAGTGTTCCTGGTTCTTTATAGAGCTAATTTCTTTGCTAAAGAACCCATGAAGAACCGTCTTTTTTTTAAGAGTGTAGGGCTTAGTACATGCACTCAGTCCATCAATCCATTTGGGATCCTAAACAGCTCACTGGACAAATTCACAGCCATCCCATTTTGTCGTACAGTAAAGCTGCATATGAAAATTTCCCCTTGTGTTCTTCAGAACTGTTCAACCTCAACCAAGTTTAGCAGGAACTGAGAAGTGCTGTTACAGTCGCTACATGACGACATGTTGACACACGTCTTCTTCATTCTGTTCTCTCTTTTCTGCAATTTTCCAGGTAGACAGGGAGAGCAGAACCAGCTCTAGCCGAATGAAACCCATTTGTGGGTCTATGGAATCTATCCTTGCATCGTCCCCTGAGTCTAACGATGAAGACTCTTGTGATTTCACAAGAATTGAAATGACTGAGGATGACCCCGGTGGAAGCCAAGGTCACCTGAAACCTCGGTATGGAAGCAGCAGCCCAAATGAATGGAACCCTGGCTGTATCTCCAAGCTGGACCCAGAGGAGACGTGGTACCACCTGCCCAGGAGCAGTCCCGTCATATCCCGTAAGGCTCGCTTCCAAAGCATGGAACAGCAGTCTTCGGAAGGATCTTCTCCCGTCAGTTTGTCTTCAACACCACCGTTCCAGAACAGGCTAACGCCTGACACCCCAAACTCATCCGGGTTCTCTAAAGGTTTTTTGAGCATGCAAGAACTTCCAGAAGAACCAGGAGTTGATTCCTCAGTCCCAGGGATATCTCAGCAGTGTCCCCAAGCTGTTCCACCATGTACTCCAGTTGCAGCGAAGTGTTTAACTCGACAAGCAGCCGTATCCACCGACACTGATGAGCAAGGAAGCTTCTCATGTGGTTCGTCAGAGTCCCAGTCCACTCTGGAGACCAGGGGTCTGTCTCTGTCTGATGGGATGGTTCAACATCTCAATGGGAGTCCACGGCCAGGGAGCAAAAACAGAGCCAGCTCAGACACCCACCTGATCTCAGGTGAGCCAAACCACAAACCCAACAGAACGCAAGCCATTAGCTAGGAGTTCATATCTAGATCCTGAAATGAAAAAATGGTCACATTGCAGCGTTATTGTTCTTCATGAGACATTTTGAGTATAGGCCCAAAAACACAGTAATATATCTCTGCTGTCGGAAGAAAACCTCGTATCTCCAAAATGGTAACTTTACAGGAGAAGGAAAAAACCTACTTTACTTTTAATGTAAGTCAATGGAACCAGACATTTTTCCAAGTCATTTTTGGCCGCTTCTTTTGGTCCATTCTTCATGACATTTACAAACAATGTGAAGGGCAACAGGCATTTTCAAATTATGTCAAAAACTGAAAAACGGCAAAAATCGAGATACGAGGTTTTCTTTTGACAGCAGCGATATGAACATATAACCAGTCTTACAGTAAACCTACAGGGAGATTCACTCGAAAGAGGCCCCGAATATTCTGTTGTAACTCCCGTTAGGATGAAGCAATCTGAGCCAAAAAATACGCTACATACCTTGACGTATGTGTAATCGATTGCATTACATGCAATGCTGGAAGTGGGGTCTGCACCCCGAAGTTTCAAACGGAGGTTAAATGTCGCGACAGCTGTCCGGCGCCTACCTTATCGCTCCGACGCAGGGGCATCCTGGCTTGTTCGAAGCTCCATACTGAGGAGAACATTGCACATTGTTCCGTTCAGATTGCTTCGTCCTAGAGAGAGTTATTACAGAATATTCGGGGCCTCTTTCGAGTGAATCTCCCTGTAGTATTCAGATTACTTCCACATATACAGTAAGTGCACCTGTAATTAATAATGCAAAGTTCTTCATAAGGTTTTAGACAAAGTATTTGGAAAAGTCAAATATAAAGAGACTTCCTGGAATTGCATATTGCTGGAATTGCATACGTGGTTCCTCCAGCTGTTTTTTTAAAGCAATAGATCAGCACATAATATTGCCTTTAACCCAAATGCACTGAGTCATCTAAGACATGTTTAGTGCCTGAAGTTTTTCTTCTTTAGTTTTACACTTGAGCCACAAGGCTAATGCAAAAGGCAGAGACCACCTTTCATATCACTGCTGTCGGAACAAAACCTTGTATCTCCATTTTTGTCATTTGTGGGTTTCTTTGGTCTCTTGTGCTCCATTTGCCAGTTTTTCTTTTTTTCTCATATCACTCTGTTTGGAGTCTCTGAAAAACCTCCGTTTGAGGGGCCATGTAGCTCTAACACTTCACCCTACCCCTCTATCTCAACAAGAATCAGGACACCCTACCCCTAGACATGAACACGCAAAACAGAGGGGTAGGGCTAAGTGGTAGGGACAAGAACAGCTTCTGTTGGGGGGACGCAGCTTTAACTCGGTTTTAAAACCGGAAGGATGGAAGAGTTAGAGTGGCTGTAAGGTACACAGAAGTGAAGAGTAGACAAATTAAATGCTGATAGATTTGATTACATTTGCTTGTTGAGGATTTCGGGTAATTTTCTGTTAAATATGGGTTGTGTGGGCGGTCGTGGGCTGGAAGTTAGGGAACCAGCCTTGTGACTGGAAAGTGGCCGGTTCGATACCCTGAGCCAACAGTACGTGACTGAAGTGCCCTTGAGCAAGGCATCTAACCTCCAACCGCTCCCTGGGCGCTGTGGATAGGCTGCCCACTGCTCTGGGCCAGGGTGCTCACTGCCCCCTAGTGTGTGTGTTCACTAGTGTGTATGTGGTGTTTCACTGCAGGGTCACTTAATCTTAATGTTGCCTGCTTTCTTTTCTGGCACTGAAAAGTGAATAGTTTGTACTTAATAGCCAATCTGACTGCAAAGTGAATATACAAAAAGGTGGTTTCTGAGTACTGTAGGCAACAAATAATGGAAATGTATACCCCAGCAATTAGCTTGGTGCTAAATGCATGGCTAAATCATCACAAACTTGGTTGAAACCATGTGGAGATGATATCTTTAGTAGACTTTTGTATGTGGTTTCTAACACTGTATGACACAGTCTTATCTATAAACATGGACAAAAGTACATTAGCATAGCTAAACAGTGGTAGTGGAATTCAAGCATATACACACATCAGTGCACACGAATGCTGCTTTAATGTGCTTCTTATTTGATGGTGAAGGTCCTGTGAATGAGAAGCAAATCTCAGAAGACTTCTACAGGAACAGTGTGGACCTCGACCAGGTAGACAGATTTTGTTACGAAGTTTGTTTTGTGTTAATAAGAATAACTGCTGGATCAGTGAGTATAATGTTAATATGTCTGTGCATACATGCAGGAGAATGCCCACTTTGTGGTGGTGGACATGGTGCTGGAAGTCGTGGAGGCTGTGAAATGGACCGTGTATCAGCAGCAGTTAAAACACACAGACGCTTCAGAAGACAGAGACTCAGACTTGCACTCCAAGATGCGCTCTTTCTCCTCCTTTGACAGCGGTTACGATGGTAAAGCCAGATTACAGATGCTTGTGTAATTTCTTGATTAACACAAATTTCGCAAAGCAGCGTTTCCCACGATGGAGAAATTTACAAACAGGATACTATTGTTTTCTAACAACATCTGACAAAATAAGTTATACCACATTTTACCCCTTACAAAAGGGATAGTAATACTCAACTATGTACTATACTATATATTCAATATTATACTATATTAATAGCTTAATGATAAGATTTCTATAGCATCTAATTGTATAAATTTATGGTAAGATTTAAATATACACTTCAAAAAATGATCTATTGTCAGGAGAAATTATCTTAAATCTATTCGATATATCTAATATTTCCCATTTTGAGATGGTTGTGCACTTATTATAAGATTATTTATAGACATTCTTTATTCATTTTATTAAGTACAATTATCTCACTATACTGGTAGATAATTTTGCTGGTTTCAAGCACATTTCTTAAAACAAGCAAAATTATCTGCCAGTATATTGAGATCATTTTACTTAATAAAATTACTTAAAACAAATAAAACATTTCTTAAAGTAAGTTAAATAATCTTAAATTAGGCTTACAACAATCTCAGCAGGAGAAATACTAGATTTCTGCCTAGATTTAAGACAGTTTTACTTGATAAGATACCATTTTTGCAGTGTACATTTCTTTAGTGTATATAAGAAGTTTATATAAGGGACTGATGCATTAATTGTTAAGTAATACGTAACTCAGCCGCCGTGATCCTTGTGAATTTGCTTTGTGTTTTTTTTTCTGAATGAATAATCCGGTGTTTTTCTCAATGAGCAGTCTAATCCTCAGCCTGTGTGAATTCCAGATTACTGCGGGCACCGGTTCTCTTCAAACAGAAGCTCTCTGGCCTCGAAACGTAGGTGTGTAAATTCTCGACTGAAATGACCTCCACCTGTTTGCAAAAGCAGCTTTGTGGAATATTAATTCTGATAGTGAAAGTAGGCACACTTTATGGCTCAGGTGACAACGGCCAAACCCCAGCAGCATGACAAAAGTGGACAATTAAGATGCCCATAAAAGCTGATCTGTGACGACAATCGGCAGATTCTACATCTGTGACGAGGACATGCATGTTGCTTGTGCATGTTTCAGCGACAGTACAATCTTAGAAAGTGAAGAGAAAACAAGCATTTTAGTTCACAACAATTAATGTAGTTATATTATAACTGAAGTTTTGGGGGGGGGGCGTGCCTGAATCCCCTCCTTGTTCCAATCTAATGCCCTATAAATTCACACCCTCACCTTCCGTTCCTGTGACGAAGGGTTCGGAATCCCCACCACCGCCACCCCATCTCCTCCCAGTTCCCCAGTCCAACATTAGTCCTACCACAGCTATGAGGGGGTCCGGCCTTCTAGCTCCCCCGTTCTCCCCCGTCCCTCAATCAGTCTTCCCTCATACTACCACCGCCATGTTAAAGGCATGGTCAGAACTCACAAAGTTGTGTAAACTGACAGGCAGTATACACAGATCAGGCATAACATTGTGACCACCTCCTTGTTTCTGCGCTCATTGTCCATTTTATCAGCTCCACTTACTATATAGGTGCACTTTGTAGTTCTACAGTTACAGACTGTAGTCCATCTGTTTCTCTGATACTTTGTTAGCCCCCTTTTACCCTGTTCTTCAGTGGTCACGACCCCCATGGACCCTCACAGAGCAGGTACTATTTGGGTGGTGGATCATTCTCAGCACTGCAGTAACACTGACGTGGTGGTGGTGGTGTGTTAGTGTGTGTTGTGCTGGTCTGAGTGGATCAGACACAGCAGTGGTGCTGAAGTTTTTAAACACTGTGTCCACTCACTGTCCACTCTGTTAGACACTCCTACCTTGTCAGTCCACCTTTAGATGTAAAGTCAGAGACGATAGCTCATCTGCTGCTGCACAGTTTGTGTTGGTCATCCTCTAGTCCTTCATCAGTGGTCACAGGACGCTGCCCACAGGACGCTGTTGGCTGGATATTTTTGGTTGGTGGACTATTCTCAGTCCAGCAGTGACACTGAGGTGTTTAAAAACTCCAGCAGCACTGCTGTGTCTGATCCACTCAGACCAGCACAACACACACTAACACACCACCACGTCAGTGTTACTGCAGTACTGAGAATGATCCACCACCCAAATAGTACCTGCTCTGTGAGGGTCCATGGGGGTCCTGACCCCTGAAGAACAGGGTAAAAGGGGGCTAACAAAGTATGCAGAGAAACAGATGGACTACAGTCTGTAACTGTAGAACTACAAAGTGCACCTATATAGTAAGTGGAGCTGATAAAATGGACAATGAGTGTAGAAACAAGGAGGTGGTCATAATGTTATGCCTGATCGGTGTATATTGTTGATGTTAACCAGTGATATTAGCAAAGCTAAAACTGAAGTGTCCAGACAGCCACAGATAGCCAGCTTTCACTTAATATTTGTTTTTAAGCATGTGTTATAGATCTAACATCACTCTGCCATACGTTAGTGTTTTTTGTTGAAATGCTGCTACTGTATTTGTGTGTGTGTGTGTGTGTGTGTGTGTGTGTGTGTGTGTGTGTGTCCAGGTCTTTAAAGGTCTCCAGGTGTTCTGCTGAAAGTCTCGCCCAGCGGCTGATGACGGAACTCAGGAAACAGTGGGCGCTCTCAGAGAAGACCTTCAGCTGTGACGAACCGTGCCTGACTCTAGAGGAAGTGAGAGTGCTAACACACATACACACACACACACAGCGTACATGAATACAAACAGACACACACAAAGTACATGGTGTGCCGCTGCTGTATCTGCATCCAGAGCTGAGCTCATTTCGGCAGGTTTTATACTTTTGTGTTTACCAGGAAGAAACACAAGAAAGGCTCTACATTTATCTCAGGATATTTTACACAGACATAGACCTCTGAATGTCTCGTCATTGTGCAGGAACTCAGTCTAAGCTGGTTTTCTGTAGTGCATAAAACGACTGCGATCCTCTAAAATGATCGATGTCGTGTCCTGTGTTTACCAAAAAAGATTCCAAAGCTGATTTGCTTTGTTCTGTTTACATCTTTCCAGTGTCGCTGGATCCTCTGAATTATAAAGTTGTCAAGGAGACTAAATGTTTGTCAAGTGTGGTGGAGACGTTGCTTTGGCAGTAGAAGAGAACTTTATAAGGAGCTGGTGTTGAACTTTAATAGTAAACCTATTTTTATACAACATCATTTCAGTGTACAGGATTGGTAGCCATCTGTTAGTGTGGAAGTAGCAATATTCATATTTTGACCTTAATGACATCGCAGTTCAGAGAATCCAGGGACATTCTGTGGAAAAATGTCGGTAGGACAGAATTTATTAGCACATAAAAAGAACTGATCCTCCTTTACGTCACTCACTACAGAGCTGCAAACTGCCTCTGGAAGGAGCTTCATGAAATGGTTTCCATGGCTGAGCAGCTGCACTCAAGTCTAAGGCCTTGCCAAGACTGCCAACCTAAATCTGGATTTTGGCGTATGTAGATTGTATCCAGATTGATTTTTGATCGTCTCGACAGCAAAAAAAACACATGAAATCTGATTTTTACAAATTGGATCCAGGCCACTTTTGGAGTTGGTTGAAATTCCAAACGGATTTTTGCAGATGTGTCTGAGTCTGGACGCTCTGGCTGTTCAAATCGGATTTCAGAGTTTCTGTTGCGTCACTCGCATCACAACAAACAACGATGATGTCAAATCCAGAGTCACTGAAGTGCTGGGATTCAAGAAGAGCTGCCAGAGATTCCTTATGCCAGAGATTTTTGAAGAGCTCAGAGGGCAAGACGATGCACCTCCATCTCTCCTGCACCTGCGTTTGAAATCCGCTTCACCAGCTTAGCTATGTAGTTACAAGCGCCTACGTCTTTGCCACAGTAACCCATGCAGATAGGCTGCACACAAATGTGCGGAAGTTCTATAAGTATCAACATAAATGTGACAACACTGTTGAGAAATCAAGGTATTAAAAGAGAGCTGGTTAAGAGTCAGAAATAGGTATTAGAGATTGAAGCTATTAATGTCTTATTCTAGGAGTGGTATGTGTGAACTCTAGCAGGATGTGGTGTACATCAAACACAAACACTGCGGCTTTATGATTCTATTTCTGTAGATGATTACGGTTATATATAGCTCAGCAATATGTCCATGTAAACGGATACAGTAGCAGTCAGTAGCGGTTCTCATCATTTTATTATTTTCACATTTTAGAATAACAGTAATCATCAAAACTCGCATGGAATTATGCATGATCAGAAAAGTGTTCAACGTATCCGATCTTGTATTATAGGCCGGCTTAACACTGAGAAACCTTCATGCAACTAGTTGCATGTTGTGAGTTGCTTGCAGCGTAATTTCTGTGCAACTTGGCAGTTACACGGAGCATTTGAAAAACAAAGTTGCATGCAACACATTCAGTTGCTCCACTAGACAGACAAATTAGCGGCACATACTTTTTCATAAACCAGATGTTTCTTGCTATGAAGTCATCTGCATGGCATAATTTACATATTTGCAGCATTTTTATCGTCTTCGTATATTTTTTCAGTTGTCATTGCCACTCTTTTCTACATCTATATCTATCCATCTGTCTGTCTTTATATATCTGAGTTCTTTATTATACATTTGAGCTGCGTACTTCTTGTGTGTATGTTAAGCATTTGAAAATAATGTTTAAGTAGACATTACAGTTATAGCTTACTTAACGTCTCCCTCATTCTGTTCTAGGTGCACAAGAAGTGCATCAGCCTCTCCTCTCAGATCATTTTCATGCTTTGGATCCCAAATGAATCTAAGCTCTGTGTAAAATTAGAGGACATGGAAAGAGGAGTAAATAAGTCTAGCGATGTAAATCCTGATAACAGCAGCCTAAAGAGTTTGTGAGTTTAAACCCCAGTGATGCCACAGCCATCCGTAAGTGCGCTGTTAGAAATAAAGGTTCTGTTCAGGTACATTTTCCATTCATCAAGGTACAAACAATGTAAATGTTCCCTCAAAGGTACAACAGTGGTTTTAAGGTCCAATTGTGTACTTAAATAGGTTTTCCCAGTGGAAAGGTGTGTTTTTGTACCTTTTCATAACCGAATGTTTTAAAACAGAGCAATAAAATAAAAAGCCTGGAGACGAGACGGGGTGTGTGGAGTCAGTACAACGTATAATAACAGTGTAATAAAAATGAATTGTGGCACAATTATGTTCCCTGACTACAGGTACTGAGATCTACCCTTAAGGTACCACCCCAGTGACAAGAGGGGTCCTGCTCCAATAACAGTTTCCTACCTTTTTCTGAGTGTGGTGGAAAGAGTCCCACCTTCTGGGGAAGTTAACCAAAACAGTGCTGTGCTCCCAGCTCCCATTCATTTCAGTGTAGTTTTCTCATAATTCTATGTGCGATATTCTACAAGAAGAACATTCTGTTGGTCCATTTGTTGTGAAATGTTCACACAAAAGCAGCCGGTATTTCAAATACTGTGAAAAAACAACAGTAGTGTTCATATCATCACTGTCCAAAAAAACAAGTATCTCCAGAATAATAACTTTACAGAAGAAGGAAAAAATGCTCTTATCTTTAATGTAAGTTAAAGTAAATAGATTTTATTCCAAGTGATTTTAGAGCATTTCTGTTGGTCCTCAGTAACTACCTGCTTAATTACTGAGTAATTAATTCATTCATTAATTAGTTACTACCTCAGTAACTGCTGTGCTCACGTATGTTATCTGACTGCGTAAACTCACAGATCACAGCATGTTAAATATCTCTGCACCTTATTCCACTACCTCATGAATGCTGTGTCAGCGCTGCACTGTCCGGTCTGTTTACTGTGTCTAATGTCTGTTTAATTTATCATATTTATTGTATTGTTTCTAGCTTAATTTTTTGTTTGCACAAAGGAACGTAATTTCACTCCACTGTGCACTTGTACATAGATGGAATGACAATAAAGGCCTCTTGACTTGACTTGACCGTTCATGAAAATTTCACACAACGCTGTGTTGAAATGACGTAGACAAATAAAAATCAACAAAAATGGAGACGCATGGTTTTCTTTGGACAGCGATGATATGATTGAGCTTGGTTGCGGCTGTACCTTTGAAGTACGCAGGGCGGCTTAACTCCTGAACAATGATGTTTTGGTTACAGTTTCCTCAGGACACAGTCTCCATGGTGACCAGGGGCGGGCTGAGTGAGGAGATCCGACAGAGGAGCAGGATGAGAGGAACGCTAACCTGGGCTCCACCCCGATTCCAAATAATCTTCAACGTGCAGCCAACACAGAGGTTAGAATGAAACCTGAATATTCGTGTAGACTCTCAAACTTAGAAAGCTGAAACCTGGATTCCGCTTTATGAATTCAGAAACTGCTACAAACAGATTCTCCTCCAAAATAAGTGCATTAAAGTCAACCTGAAATCAAAACTGACCTTTTTTTGACCTTGTTAGTTCACATTCCTGGTCATATTAAGCCAGATTCATTTTATTATATCATTTTAAAAGACTAAATTCTCGTTTACCCATAATCTTCTATGTAAACGTAATGCTTTGCTTCTAAAACGTCTTCTGATTTTTTGATGACATCACCATGCACCAGTGGGCGGGGCAAAATAATATTAACCAATAAAATTGTGTTTCACCTCCTCTTCCCATCACCCGCACCTATCAAGGAGAGAAAACATTCAGGGCTCCCTGACACGAATCCTCCGGGGATTAAGTACAGTCCTGTGCAAAAGTTTGGGCGCCCCTAGTCAAATTCCATGTTTTGTTGATTTAATAAGTGAAATAAGTGAACGTCCTCTATAGAGACACACTTCTGCTCATTTTAATGCACAACTACTGTTAATCTGCTGAATTTAACACATTGGGGAAAGAAATCAAACATAAAATGTGGCCTGTGCAAAAGTTATGGCATTTTTATATTATATTTTCTAACTTAGTCTATTTTTTTTTCCCACTTTTGCACATTTTCTTCTTTCCATTATTTCCATAAACCATATGAAAGGTTGACTCGTCTGACCACAATACACATTTCCATTTCAGATGAGCTCAAGCCCAGAGAGCAAGCATGATCGCATCACTTAGTTAAAAGGTTTTTTGAACATATCACTCCTAGTCTTAAATTGCCCTTCCCATCTGTTGTGGAACATGTTGCAGGCATCGATTTCAGAATGAACATATGTGTACAAAAAAACAATAATGTTCAAAATGTAGAACTCTCCATGTCATGTCTTTGTACTGTTTTCATGTAAGTACGGGTAAATACAGGATGTCTGTAGAAGTGCTTGCTTTAATGGTCTGGAGTAGAAACGCTGTAGATGTGAAAGAGCGACGTGTATGAGCTATAGTGAGCCATACGTGCCAGTTATAGACTCAGTTTGCACACATGACCCACAGATTAAGAACCACTGCACCAAAGTAGTGCATCGTTTATGCTTTCACTATATCAAGAGCTTATGAAGAGGCTTTTATTGATGTAGACATAGATAAACTGTTGACTACACATACATCAGATGCAGAACCTGCAGAACCGTGTTTTGTTTGTATGTTTGCTCACACCCTGCCTGACATACAACCCCATTTCCAAAACAGTTGGAACAAAATGTAAAAATGTAAATAAAAACAATGCAGTGATGTGCAGATCATTTAAACCCTGTGTTTGGTTGAAAATAGTACAAAGACAACATATCAGATGTTGAAACTGAGAAATTGTATTGCTTATTGAAAAATATTTGCCCATTTTGAATTTGATGCCAACAACATGTTCCAAAAAAGTTGGGACGGGGGCAACAAAACGCTGGTAAAGTTGTGTAATGCTAAAAAAAAACACCTGATTTTAAGGTTAACTGGCAACAGGTCAGTTACATGATTGGGTCTTTCAGAAGTGAAGATGAGGAGGGGTTCACCTCTCTGTGAAAGACTGTGCGGGCAAATAGTTCAACAATTCAAGAATAACGTTTCTCAACATAAAATAGCAAAGAACTTTTGTTTTTCATCATCTACGGTACATAATAACATTAAAAGACTCTGGAGAAATCTCAGTATGTAAGGGACCAGGCCAAAAACGAGTATTTGCTGGCCATGATCTTTGGGCCCTCAGGCGGCACTGCATTAAAAACAGACATGATTCTGTAGTGGAAATCACTGCATGGGCTCAGAAACACTTCTGAAAACCACTGTCTGTGAACACAGTTCGTCACCACATCCACAAATGCTAATTAAAACTCTAAAACGCAAAGAGGAAACCAGATATAAACAGGGTTTTTTTGGAAATCATGGACGCTGTGTCCTCTGAGCTAAAGACACTCAGCTTGTTATCAGTGCACAGTTCAAAAGCCTGTGTTCATGATGGTATAGGGTTGTATTAGTGCACATCGCATGGGTGATCTGCACATCTGTGCCCCTGTCCCAACTTTTTTGGAATGTGTTGTTGGCATCAAATTAAAATGGGCAAATATTTTCAAAAAACAATACATTTTCTCAGTTTCAACATTTGACATATTGTCTTTTTGACATATTGTCTTTGTACATCTTTGCATTTTGTTTTTATTGACATAATTTAGATTTTGCACAGTGTCCCAAAAAAAATGTCTATTTTTATTTTTCTACGTCATTTGAACCCGACAGTTCTTCTTTACATTGTGTGAAAATGTAATGATGATTGGACCAACAGAAATGCATATATATATATATATATATATATATATATATATATAATATACATATATATAAACTGTCCATGGCCAGTGGTAAGCAAAAGCTTCTACTTATATATACAGCACATCAGATTAGGAACAGTGGCCTCTCTGTGTTGTTATATGCGAGTTTTATTCTGTGTACAGGCGCAGTGACGTTATTGCCGCTCAGCACTTCCTCTGCGCCGGCTGCGGGACAGAAGTTGAACCTCGTAAGTTCTCAAAACTGCTTCTCACATCAAGATAGTTTAAATCTATTTATGATGTCTTTGTTTGCTTTTAACCTTTAGCCTAGAGCCACTTCTGACTTTTTGTGTTTCGGTGTCAGACGTGACGAACATGTAAAGGATGTTTATTCCTTCCGCAAAACAAGACCGAGCACGTAACTGTAACTTTACTTCAAATCCGAATGTTATTAAAATGGCTCCTCCTACTTACAGACACAAATGAAAGTTTACCATTTGCACTTTCCACACAGTTCATCTGCTTCTCTCAGTGAGCTGCACTTATAAATCACTCATTAAAACAGCTGCAGAACACTGTTGATTGGTTTTGATAACGTAATTGGGTTTATAAAGTAATTCCAGGTGGTTGCTGTGCTGTTGCTACGGTATTGTTTTAGTACTCCAGCTTGTTGTTAGGGAGTTGCTTGACGTTTTTTTGGTGGTTGCTAAGGTAAGGTAAGCCATTGTTTTGGCATCCCCGGTGATTGCTAAGGTGTTGCTAGGCTGTTGCTATGCTATCCCAGGTGGTTGCTAAAGTGTTGGTAGGCCATTGTTATGATATCCTAGGTGGTTGCTAAAGTGTTGCTAGGCTGTTGCTATGCTATCCCAGGTGATTGCTAAAGTGTTGGTAGGCCATTGTTATGATATCCCAGGTGGTTGCTAAAGTGTTGGTAGGCCATTGTTATGATATCCCAGGTGGTTGCTAAAGTGTTGCTAGGCCTTTGCTATGCTATCCCAGGTGGTTGCTAAATTGTTGGTAGGCCATTGTTATGGTATCCCAGGTGGTTGCTAAGGTGTTGCTAGGCCTTTGCTATGCTATCCCAGGTGGTTGCTAAATTGTTGCTAGGCCATTGCTATGCCATACCAGTTGCTTGCTAGGGTGTAGCTAGGCTGTTCCTTTGACATCCCTGCTGGTTGCTAAGGTTTTGCTAGCATGCTTGAATGATGTTAACATTAGAGGAGTGCATGAAAACATTTGGCCACAAAGTTTATACTGACTGTGGTGGACTAAGAGGAAGAGTTATAAGCTATATATTATATAAGTGGAATGAATATTGAGCATTTATGCCCATGGAAAGAACTCATGTTTGAATGAATGAAGCAACCTATGCGGGTATAAGTTCTACAGTCATGCAAAGTTTCACAGTTCTAGCTTGAAAGCTGAAGGAAGAGTGAACAGTAAGTTGGGTTTTTCAAGCCAACTTAATTACAGGATGTTTTTCAAATCATTAATAGAGCATTGTGTACCAATGTGCTTCCTCCCATTCCAGGTTACATAAAGAGATTACGCTACTGCGAATACTTGGGCAGATATTTCTGCGATGGTTGCCACAGCGGCGGGGAGTCAGCGATCCCGGGACGGGTTCTGAGTCGCTGGGATTTCAGATGCTACCCCGTGTGCGTCTTCTCCAAGCAGTTATTGGACTCCATATGGGAGCAGCCACTATTCAAGCTCAACGTTGTGGCTAAGAGCCTGTACGGCCAGGCCAAGGAGCTGCAGAGATTCAGGGTGCGTTTGCCACCGGCACTGGGTCAGTCCAGGGCTGTTTTAGATCAGCTGAGCTCAGACTGAGTTTAGAAAATCCACCCTTGGGAAACAGATGTAAATCTGGTTCAGAGAGTGGCTTAAGAGCATTGGCTGAAATAGACTTGCTAAAGAGCTTGAGGGTGGTGCCATAACAGGGGTCTACATGATTTACACCGATCAGGCATAACATTATTGTTTCTACGCTTATTGTCCATTTTATCAGCTCCACTTACTATATAGGTGCACTTTGTAGTTCTACAGTTACAGACTGTAGTCCATCTGTTTCTCTGCATACTTTGTTAGCCCCCTTTTACCCTGTTCTTCAATGGTCAGGACCCTCACAGAGCAGGCACTATTTGGGTGGTGGATCATTCTCAGCACTGCAGTGACACTGGTGCTGAGTTACTGTGTGTTGTGCTGGTCTGAGTGGATCAGACACAGCAGTGCTGCTGTGTCCACTCACTGTCCACTCTATTAGACACACTCCTAACCTGTCAGTCCACCTTGTAGATGTAAAGTCAGAGACGATAGCTCATCTGCTGCTGCACAGTTTGTGTTGGTCATCCTCTGATTCTTCATCAGTGGTCACAGGACGCTGCCCACAGGACACTGTTGGCTGGATATTTTTGGTTGGTGGACTATTCTCAGTCCAGCAGTGACACTGAGGTGTTTAAAAACTCCAGCAGCACTGCTGTGTCTGATCCACTCAGACCAGCATAACACACACTAACACACCACCACCACCACCACCACGTCAGTGTTACTGCAGAGCTGAGAATGATCCACCACCCAAATAGTACTTGCTCTGTGAGGGTCCATGGGGGTCCTGACCACTGAAGAACAGGGTAAAAGGGGGCTAACAAAGTATCAGAGAAACAGATGGACTACAGTCTGTAACTGTAGAACTACAAAGTGCACCTATATAGTAAGTGGAGCTGATAAGATGGACAATGAGCGTAGAAACAAGGAGGTGGTCATAATGTTATGCCTGATCGGTGTATGTATAAAACAGATCTGATTGCCGTAGCTGTGGTAATCAGATAAACAAAGGGCAGATTGAAAAGTGTTTCTACGTTAAAAGGTGAATCTATATTTCAAAAATTCTGCTTAATTAAATGGTTAAGTTATTAAGAAGTTCCAGACATTTGAAACGTTTAATGCCTCTACAGAAAGCTATTACATGGGACTGTTTTGAGCTAAACCTTGGTATGAAAGGTATTTTTAAAATGCATGCAGGACGGTGAGGTTTTTAAATGTTGATAGATTCCTCTCATGTTCAGGATCTTGTGCACTTCTCTTGTTCTCAGGAGCTACAGGAGCAGCTGATATCAATCAAAAAGCTGTTGAAAGCCTGCAGACTGTCCGATGGGTAAAGAAATTCTTTCTACTACTCCAGCTTCTGTTTTCTTAGGCTGGCTTGACACAGTGACACTTCGGTGCAACTAGTTGCATGCTGTTCGTTGCCTGCAACACAATTTCAGTGCAACCTGACAGTCACACTAGGAAATTTAAAAACAATTAAAGTTGCTTACAACAAGTCATTTTTGATACATGGTATTGTTAATACTATATATAATCATGAGGTTTTTAGATATTTATAGCATTTTTATATATTTTTCCAGTTGTTTTTAATATTTTGTTTTTCTGTATCTATTTATGTCTTTTATCTAGCTATGTACGTTTCTTTATAATGTATTTAAGCTTTTTTACATGTTGTGTGCATGTTAAGCCCCCAAAAATGAATGTTAAAGTAGCCATTACAGTTACAGCCTACTTGAAGTCATTGTTCAGCCTGTCATTGAATCATGTCAGGTTTATTGACGAGTGCATCTCTGTCTTCCCTTCTGTAATAATTTTCATCCTTTGGGTCCCAAATGAATCTGAGATCTGTGTAAAATTACGGGAGCATCAGAAGAGAAGAATAAACAGTGGAACAGGCAGCCATTTAAACAGCTGTTAGCGTTAGCTGGCTAGTCAATGGTACTGTTTACAACTAGCTAATAAACCATCTTCCGTTTTGTTTTCTTGTTCACTGATCTGGTGACACGATTTTATTATCGCCGTTTTGATCTGCTGTTTCATGAAACTCGTTTAAGTAAGTCGAGACCCTTGTAGCTGTTGCAGCTGAGTTTCAAGTCAGTTGCAAGATGCTTTATATTATGTGACTCAAGTGCAATTTACTTTCATTTAGGTTTCAAGCAGCTAAAGTTGCATGCAAGTTTTACCATGTAAAACCAGCTATAGTCAACCTGAGGAGTATTCATACAATGGATCAGACTGTACACTGTACATAAATCACTAGTGAGAATTGTGCTAAAATATGTTAAATTGCAATAGTTTAGCAAGTTTAGACAATTAAAAAGTACAGACTCAGCACAGATTCAAGCTTCAAAGTGGCTGACATGACTGTTTTTAGCTACACACCTTTATCCATACTTTTATCCATTTTTTATAAAGAAGATAATAGTTTATTTGTGTAGTCCAGGTGATGTTCAGCTGTTTTACATTGGTTTTTCTCCACACAGGGTTCTTGCTGAGTTCCAGCAGCTTCCATCTCATCTGACTGATGAGCTCCACCTCTTCTCCATGGACGACCTTATCAAAGTCAAAAGGGGTCAGCTTGTTACCACAGCGAAGGCGGTGTTTCGGTCAGCTACGTCCCATGTAGAGGCTTGTGAGGTGTGTCAGTCTGGGATTGTGAAGGCCTCAGTGCTGCTAGTCTTCTAGTGAGCTAATTAGCTAGTGAGAGCATCTTTGTAATGCACAACAACTTTGTGAAAGTCTGGCTTAAAGGTTCAATGTGTAAGATTTAGGAGGATCTATTAGCAGAAATGGATTATGTTGTACAAAACCATGTTCTCCTAAGTGTATAATCGCCTGTACCTATGAATCGCTGTGTTTTCGTCAACTTAGAATGAGCCCTTCATATCCAAACAGGGGGCGGCTTCTCTTCCAACAGAGGCTGCCATGTTGGGCCATCATGTTTCTGCAGTAGCCCAGAGCGGAGAAACCAAACCCTGGCTCTAGAAACACATTTTTACGCTTGACGGCGACGGCAGAAAACCTGACGGCCACTGTAGGTTCTACTACACGCTTGGAAAGGGAGGGGTGAGGGAGGGGGATTCGGTTGGTTGCAATCTGCGACCTCACCACTAGATGCCACTAAATCTTACACGCTGCACCTTTAAGCAGGGATACGTTCAAAAGCTAAAGTTTGTTTTAGCCTAAAGCTTAATATTATACTCAATTTCACCTGATTAAGGTAAAGTTTTATTCGTACACATGTAATGTAAGTGTACACAAAGCCTCCGTATTAAGGGTAAGTTATTGAGCTATATGTGTGCATAACCCATTAGTTTAGCCAGGCTAAATAAGCTGTAGTTCGTGTAATATTTAACCTGTAAATCTCTATATGCATTCAAACCAAAGTTTGTTTGAGCCTAAAGCTTAAAATATAACGTGAGCCCACAACACAACACAAACTTACCACAAATTTATTGGAAACCCACTTAAAATGACTGAAATGTTGATTAGAATAAAACTTGCTAAGAACAAGCCTGTGCTGAACGCCACTGGCTTAAACCTGCTGGAGTGAAACTGCGGCTCAGCAGGCGTTATTATTAGACATTATTACTCAGCAGTCAGATATTATTGGACACGTGTGGACTAGAGGATGAAACACTTGTTCAGCAGCTGCTAGCATATGCTAATAACGTTAGCTACCTAGCTGGACCTAATGCTGCTCTTAAAACAACACCAACACCAGACTGAATGGTTCATGTTTCCAGGACTGTTACTGTTTATTTGGCTGCTGTTATCTATGAATACAGCTGAAGCTCAGAGTCAGTGTTGTCACAGTGCTGCTCCTGTACAGACTGATGCAGTACGGCTAATGAGTTTAGCTATGAAAAACTAACCTCTCTTTCCTTCTTTCTTCCTCTCTCTCCTTCCTCTCTTTCTTTCTCACTTCCTCTCTCTGCCCTTTCTCTTTCACTCTTATTTCTGTCTTACTCTTATTTCTGTCTTACACTTATTCTTTCTCTCTCCCTCTCTCTCTCTCTCTCTCTCTCTCACTCTCCCTCTTACTGTCTCTCTCTATTTTTTCATTCTTTCTCACTGTCTCACTCTCTTTCACGGTCTCTCTCTCTTTCTGTCGCACTTTCTGTTTCTCTTTCTCCCCTTTCTCACTCTCTTTCTCGCTGTCTGACTCCGTCTCTTTCTCTATTTCTCTCTCTCTCTCTTACTGTCTCACTCTGTTTCTTTCTCTATTTCTCTCTCCCTCTCTCTCTCTCTCTCTCCCTCTTACTGTCTCTCTCTATTTTTTCGTTCTTTCTCACTGTCTCACTATCTTTCACTGTCTCTCACTCACTCTCTGCCTCTCTCTCTCTGTTTCTCACTCTCATCTCTATCTTGCTGTCTCACTGTCCTTCACTGTCTCTCTCTCTCACTGTCTCACTCTCTTTCTCTCACTCTCCTCTATCTCTCTTACTGTCTCACTCTGTTTCTTTCTATATCTTTCTCACTGCCTTACTCTTTCATTGTCTCTCTGTCTCTCACTCTCTTTTTCTCTCTCTTTATGTCTCTCTCTTTCTCACTGTCTCACTCTATTCTCTTTTTCTCACTGTCACTCTCTACTCTGTCTCTCTCTCTCTCTCTCTCTCTCTCTCTCTCTTTCTCACTGTCTAATTCTCTCTCTCTCTCTCTCTCTTACTCTATTCTCTCTCTCTCTCTCTCTCGCTCTCTCTTTCTAGCTGTGCCAGGCCAAAGGCTTTATCTGTGAGTTTTGTCGTGGGCAGGATGTTCTCTTCCCCTTCCAGACCGACATCTGCACACGCTGCCAAGGTCAGTGACTCACTGCTGGAGGCCTCACGCCAACCCAAAGAACACACACTGACCCCACCCTTTAATGCAGTCCAGACATAAAACACGCCTTGTCCAGTCTTTAAAGATGCACCTTGTAAGTTTGGGCATTTAAAGCCCTCTGTGGTGGAAACATGTAATTGCACGCAACATACTGCAGAACATTTCGTAACATGGGATGTGCTTTAGACCCTTCCCTGAGCACAGGAATCTGATGACTGCGAGTCCGCCGAGCTTTCAGAGAGAACTTGGTGAAGGACGTGTCTTCTGAGGATGTGAGGGAATTATCTAACATGGTATCTTCATCAGTATAATGTTCATTTTGTATTTGAGGCCTAAACATTGAGCCAGATCTTCTTTTTGATCCTGCATGTGTGGCGTCATCATGCAAAGATGTATGACGTGGTCAGAAAAACTCCTGACCTGACGCTTCAGACTTCTGAATGAGTATTTCACGCTGTACATGGTGACTCTCAGTAGCACACGCACGCTATATTTTTTTTAATATCTTGAGATCTCAGCTTGTTTATGCCATGATCATGAGGTATCAAATGCGTAAAAACAACAATGTTATTAGTTAAAATGTTGTTTCCCAAAACAGTTAACTAAGGCTACGTTCACACAGCAGGGAAAAGTGGCCCAAATCTGATTTTCTCACCAAATCCGATTTTTTTGTTTGGCTGTTCACAATGTCCTTTACATGTGATCTGTATGCGATATTAGTCTGAACAATCACGACTGCCAACGAACACCAGTCGCTCCCAGAGGATCAGCTTCATCTTTGCCAGCATCACAGGGGCCATCATGAAGCTTCTCTGACTGACAGCTGGGCTCATCACCCAGAATGTGTTTGAGCCGTAAAAGGGCACGGTCACTACTTTGGTTCATGTCATCGGATTCTTTATACTTTGCTTTCAGACTTTTAACTGTTCTGACGCTGCAGCCTCGTTCTCTTGCGGTTCGACCATTTCTTTCAAAATCTCCTCGAACACGGAGGGTTTTGGATGAGTCTTCTTACTCAACACTTTCATTTCTTTTTTCTGTGGTAGAGTCTCATCTAGCGTTGAGCCGAATCTAATGTTTATAGTAATGGTCTTTCATAATTGTGTTTGCAATTTAGTGACGTAACTACTATTGGTGCGCGGCATGAGTGATCGAGGGGTCTTCGACACTCTGTGCTGTGTTCCACGTAAGACGTGTAGTCACACTGCTGCAGATCGGATCCATATCGGTTTCCAGTACCACAATATGAATCGTCCTCAAATCGGAATTGAAAATTCAGGGTCAATTTCTGTGTTTGTTTACCATCTTTGTTGACTCGTGCATTATAGGCCTTTGTGAGAGTTAGAAGCGTTACCTGGGTACCCTACTCAGAGTAATTTTTGGGATCCGTCACAATACAGGGCTTTTTCATATTGGTTTCACCCACTATGAAACTCTATGAGACTCTTCGGGGGTGGGCATTTTTTTTACATCCTCGCTCTGTCTCTCATCTTCACAGTATGTTCATATGAACGTTCTTTGTTATACTATAAAATGTCTCTACATCTATTTCCTATCACTTTTCTATTACACCAAGCAGAATATTTGTTATTCAGATACCACATAATTCTTTGTGCATTGTCGAGCCCTTTATGTCTTGTGCGTGATTCGTCAATTTCCCACAGCTTACTTAGTCTTTGGACCCTATGAACCCAGATTCTGTATATCTCCCGTCTAGCTGGACCATGTGTACAGGGCCGCCTGATTCATGCTTGTAGTTTGTCTATAGATCCTTGTCTTTTGTCTACCCTAATCTGATGCTCAGCATAGGGTCCCGCAATTGTGACAAAGCTTGAACAATGGGTGGTTTTAGTGTTGTTGTTTTAATACATAAATGCAGTTTAATAGATCTGTTTTAGAGTGTAAATTCAGGAGCTTTTAAACTCGAGCTATACGAGTTTAAAGCGGCACCTAATGACTTCTGTGAGCGCGAACAGCCAATGAGCTGCTCCGCTCGCCAACTAATCAGCACTCACTAGCAGTAATGCCCGCCCTCTGCTGCCCAAAGCCCATTTGCTGTAGAAAAAATGAAATATATAGTTAAGATTTCTTTGTTTTTTAGTGAAATACATCTTTCTACTTTCTAAAATTAAAGGAAAGTTCTGGTTCAGTGATTAGAAACTATTTTAACTTTTAGTTTTTAGCCGTTGAGCTCCATTTACTCCCATTCGTTGAGGACTCGCTCGCAGGCGCCCTCGGGAGTTTTGCAGTCATGTTTTTGATATAACAGGGGAAATAGGAAGTGGCCAGGCTTCTCATAAACCGGCTCTGATAGTGTCAGATTGACATACGAACTGTTTAAAGGGCCCATGTCATGATAAGCACTCTGCATGTACTCATACAGCATGAATGGACTTCCTAAGGGTTCCTATCACCACCACTGTCAACAATTCTGACTGAGGGCGGTACTTTTCTCTAGAACAAGACATTTAATATCAAATCACTCAGAAATCATCGTAATGATTGCGTTATGCCGAGGTTTTCAAAAATAAGTGGAATTCTCCTCCAAGGCTTGTTTACAGCCCACTCAGGGGTTTGTCCAGCAGAGGGCACTGTCGCTTCTCATGCATTTTTCAAAAAGCCTGCTGAAGTAGGGTAAAAGGCTGGAGTTTTTAATAATAAAAACCTTTGCTATACAAGGCGTAACTGTTAATGTTTATTTCTCAATTAAATCTCAATTAGAGGCAGACAGTCATGATTACTTCTCTCCCTCTCTCTCTCTCAGACTGTAGGACGTGCTTCCACACGGCATGTTTCCGGGATGAGCCTTGCCCTCGGTGTGCCCGACTGCAGATCCGAAAGAGCCTCCAGGAAGCAGCATCCGTCTAACTCCTCCAGGAACCTCCTTCCAGGCCCTTCTTCCCAACTCCTTGTAGGCCCAACTCCCAACTCAACTACCAACACTATATGTACTAAATTATGTACGTACCAGCATTTCTTCAGAAACCAAGGATACTGCTAGGACGTTTGCAACATTGCTGTGAGGATTTGATTGAACATTAGTGAGGTCAGGTACTGATGTTGAATGGTCAGTTCTGGATCACTCCAACTCATCCCAAAGGTATTCAGAGGCCCATCGCTCCAGAGAACAGAGTTCCACTGCTCCACAGCCCAGTGCTGGAGGGCTTTACACCCCTCTAGCCCACACTTGGCACTGGACATGGTGACCTTAAGCTCATGTGCGGCTGCTGCAGAGTGCCTCATTCTATTGGTCAATGCTTTTCAATAGAGATTATACAAGCTATTGTAATTGAACGCCAGTGTCAGCAATGGCTGCATCTTAAAGTAGCTATAATTCACTCTATCTGCCTGTCTGGATACTTCTGACCATATATGGCGTATATGACTCTGGTTCAGGGAACAAAAACTATGTGGTGCAGGTGGGCCTGTAATGACTTGCTTCATAGGAAGCCATCACTCTGCTGCTCATCTTCTTTCACTTCTTCTTTCACAGCTGACATTTATTTAGTAATTCTGTGGTCCTAATACTGTAATTTTCTGCAGTATTGAGTTGTCTTATCTGTTAATACTTGTAGATTATGACTTTCCACAAAACTATAATAAGCACAAATGTATTATACACATTTTGAAGGTGTAATGTGGGGCATTATTAAATATTTTTAGATAGCGATGTCTTTTTTTAATTTATTTTTTTTACCTACATTTGATTGAATACCAAGTATTCGCAGAAAAAAATGCCATGCATTAAAAAACTAAATAAAAATCCTAGCTGGAAACTGTTTGTTTTCATTTATTGATACACACAGGTGGTGCTGACACAGGCTATTCTTGACCTTCTACTGTGGATTTATTAAATGTTTTTTGTGTTTTATAATTGGTTTTGTTATTCAAAACACAGGCCTGATTCACCCATCTCTGAATACCGTTTAAAATTCAGAAAAACACCTGAAAAATGAATCAAAATGCATCGTCCTAACTAGAAAGTGTAAACGGTATGCAGTGATGACAGAACTGGTTGCCAGAATCCCCCATTTTTAATCAAATCAAATCATGATTATTGTCACATCACATTTACACAGGTGCGAAGGTGAGTGAGACTCTTAGGCACGTAGCTCCCTTGTAGTACTTATGAATATATATAAAAGGTATATAAAAATATACACATTAGACTCTAAATATACACTTTAATATACACCACTATGCGCTATTTCCGATGTACCGTTTTTGTACAGTAATATAGGTTATAACGTAAAAGCTATGATATGTACAGTCATACACAGTGCAATTAGGGAGTCTGAGGTAGATAAAGGGGATGCAGGGTTTATTATATATATATTCCAGATTATACAAAATATGGATAGAAGATGTACAACATGTCAATCTATATGCGCAGAATTGCTAGACTGAAGTCTCTTATTAGTCTTATTAATCTTGAAAATTGCAATACTTTATATATCTAAAAGTACCATTACGTATAATATCCCTAATAATAACAACATAATAAAAATTCAAATAACTACAATTATTGTCATTATTATTATGCAACAATATTTAATAAATATATCTGTCTGTTTAAGTTGTGAGGGGGCAACATCAGCCTACCCTGCTGGAAAATCCAGCTTGTGACCAGCTTACCAGTTCAAGCTATGTTTTGAGGCCTGGTTGACCAGTTTGACCATCTACCAGTTTGCAAGCTGGTTAGCCAGTTGAGGAGGTGAACAAATCTGGTCTGCAAGCTCTAACCAGCTGGCCAAGTGGTCATCCAGCTTTGACCAGCTTGACCAAGATGCTCAACCAGCTAAACCAGCTCCAGAATTTAAGTTGTTTTTTCCAGCAGGGTATTTTAAAGCACCACCGTCAGAACTGACCCACCACTCAAACCCAGCTGGTAATAATATAATGCAACATGTTCTCGTTCATATAATATTATAGGTATATCGTACTGACCAGTTTAGTAAAGTAGGTAAAAGTTACTCGATCATTTCGCTCAATGTAAGAAAACGAAAAAGTCTTGTCAGAAGTGGGATTCGAACCCACGCCTCCATTCGGAGACCAGAAGCCCCATTTCAGAGGAAGGTGTTAACCTTGAGTCTGGCGCCTTAGACCGCTCGGCCATCCTGACACTGTTTCCACACTCCAACCGTAGCAGGTATGATTTTGAGGAAAGAACATTATATGACGGTTTATGTCGGTTAGATGAGTGAAATTTGTTTTTTCAGATAGAAAAGCTTTATAACTCGTCGCCAAACGTCTGTTTACAGAACAACCCTCTTCCTGTGCTGGTTAGCTTTGTAGCTACGACCGAAATGCTCACTGTGGAACCAAAACGAGGCTCAAGTTAGCTTCTTGTGGAGTTTTCCGTTCCACCTTAAATGGCGCATCAGTCACGGAGCTTCTACAGATTCCAGAATGTAACTGCCCACGCTATTTAAGGTGGAGCGGAAAGTTGGACAAAGAAGCTGGCAGATAAGAAACGTGGACTTTAAGAGAGAATATAAAATATGTTGTCTATTAATATTTTTCAAACTGTGTTTAAGGTCAGCAGCAGTTTTTGACCGCTTAGAAATGTTAAAACGGTTCCTGTTGTTAATGTTGTCTATAACCGACCGGCTGGCGGCGCTAGAGAGCTGGCCAACTTATTTACCTTCACTTTCAGAGGAAACATATCAGAGGATGTGTCTGTAAACTGTATGTAAGTCTGTAGACATGAAATGGGGAGTTTGCCCCCTTTGCTGCAGTAACAGCTTCTATTTAGCTGGGAAGGCTTTACACTAGATGGTGGAACATTGCTGTGAGGATTTGGTTGAGCATTAGTGAGGTCAGGTACTGATGTTGGATGGTCAGTACTGGATCACTCCAACTCATCCCAGAGGTACTGACCAAGTCAGGCCCGTGACACAGTCCTATTAGGCCTGCGAAATTATTTTAATTTTCCATTCTTAGTACCCCGAGATGCACTACAGTCCCCAGCATGCACTGCAGCATAGTGTGCGTTCTGACCCCCCAACAACAATATATGGGCCAGCGGTTACACAAGAGAAGACTGCCTAAAAATATATTTTTATTTAGAATTATTTTTGAATAAGTATTCAATGGCTATTTTTCCGTTGCAGTTTTGGCATGTTTTGAATAAACAATGGCCAGATTATGGCAAAATGTTAAGTAAAAACGTAATAAAAACACAGCTGGCCCACAGATTTGCTGAGGTTTTTTAATATGGCCCTTTTAGCGGTTGAGTTTGATACCCCTGCTCTAGCCTATGTTTGGCATTGGACATGATGACCTACTGGTCAGTGCTTTTCTATGGAGATCCTACAGGCTGTGTGTGTGCAGTAGTGTCAGCAACTTGTGCACCTTACAGTAGCTGCATTGACTCATTTGAAGGGCCATCTGGATACTTTGGGACATAAAGTGTAAATTTAAGAATGTATCAATGCTTAATTGTTAAATAATAATAAATATTAAAATTTGATAAAAACTACCTTTGCATTTTCTACCATATTTGTGTGTTCAAAGATAGCAGTATGTCATACAGTGTGAGAAACATTAGTTTTGTTGCATCTGTAGAAAACTAAATAAGCAATTCCCGATATTTCACAACTATGGCTTCAATATGAATAGAAATAACTAAAACAGTGTGATTACACCAAGTTGCCCTGCAGTAATTCCATGCTGGGTTAAGCTGGTTTATGCTGGTCTGGTGCTGGTTTAGCTTGTCTCCCAGTATGGTCATACCAGCGTCCAAAACACAACAATGCTCGTGGGTCATTCTACAGAAACGTCCACTTCTTTATCTCTCCATAGGAGTCACTGGTGTTACCGGTCCTCATTGGTGTTACACATAAGAAAGGGAACACCAGAGACATTTTTAATGAACAATGCATTTTACTAATTGGCTGCTACAGAGCATCAAACCACATGTTGTCAATCATGGAATATCCACTAAAATATGGAATTTAATCCATTTGTGTTCTATTTTTTCACAGTTACCTCAGAATAAAGTCGGTCACACCAGTGACTTCAGCTAGAAGCTTCATATGAAATCATGAGCTGAATGAGAAAATCTCTGATAACTGAAAGACACAGTGGAGCCATGTGCTTTTCTTCATAGATCCTCAGAACACAGGTAAAAGGGAGTCAAGTGATGTCATCAGTGTGATCTTTATTTCAAAATAGGAGTTTTTGTTACGCTGTAACACCAGTGACACGACTCCTGGGGACCACAACTTTCATTATATATTTTATAATATTTATTTGCCATTTGTTTTATTTATGTGATTTACTTCCTATATTTCATAGTCATGTACAGATTATTGCAGTTAAAATAGCAGAAAAACATGTTTTTTACCTCAAAATATGGCCTCAGCCTTCACACATGACCGTGGGGACGAGCTCTTTTGTGGTGCTTGGAATTCTAGATAATTGATTTAAAAAAACAATATCGCTAAATTGAGGCTCAAAAAGGTGTAATTGTTAAAATAACGTAGTTTCATTTTAAAATATAAATAAATTGTAACCCTAACGTGTTTTTCAAGTATAATAATATATCTGTAAACGCTAGGGACACACAAATGGACGTATCTGTAGAATGACCGTGGTGCTGGTGACCATCCATCTTAGTCTGTGCTGGCTTTTCTAGCAGGGCAGTTTTCCCTCACTTTCAATTTTCATGTAAATAAAATGAAGAAACTTCAAATGATATCAATCAGACATAAGTTCATACTCTGAAATATTTTAAGGACCTTTTATTATTATTATTTTTAGTAGTTGCAGTTAAATGATCCTGAAAACAGGGGGTGCTGCAGCACCTTCAGCACTCCCACTTCCCACTTTCCACTTTCCATGTTTCCCTGCTTCCTCCTGTCTGGGCCCTTATTGTAGTGAAAGGAGGAGTGCCCTTCCACTGCATGAGAATGATTCAGTGTCACTACAGTAAGAGTTACAGCACTTACTGTAAGTCCTTAACAATGTCAGGGACTTATCATTAGTCTATCAGCTTATCAGTGAGAACCTCAGTGCGGTAAGAATGCAGAACGTCATCACTCTGATATGGATGTGGCTGTTTTATTGCAGTGGCCAACAAGAGTGCTTAAAATTAAGCTTTATTGGAAGCTCAGTATACCCACTGCGCTCTCTCTCTCTCTCTCTCTCTCTCTCTCTCTCTCTTTCTCTCTCTCTCTCTCTCTCAATACACAGATCTTCTGTTTTCATTTAATGAAGGATTGATTAGCTAATTAATTGGATGGTAACTTTAAATACTGGGCTTCTTTGAGGGGAGCTTTGTAAGTATTAAGCCATCATACTCACACATAACAAGTCTGTAAGACTCAGTTAATTAGGTCTAGTTTCACGGTCTTACGTCCCGACATTTCTTCTGCATTTTTACGTCCCCCTTCAAACTTGTGTTGATCAGTTTTAGAGAGTATTAAATTAGAAATAAAGGTAAATGAAGAGATAAATAACAACTTGGTCAGTAAACGAAATATGATAAATGCTAAAATAACATGATAAGAGACGAGCAACTACACATAGCATGGAACCTAGCAATAAAAAATAAAAAAAAACTGGAAGAAGCTTTTATGTTAAATATGACATAATCATAATGTTAGTGTGCTATAAAATAATGCTAGTTAACTTCATGCCTGTCATATTTCACTCTGCCATCCAGAATATATTAAAGTAAAAAGCCTCAAGAGGCCCTGTGTTACAGCAATTTTACCATGGGGAAGGGGGTTGTTAGGCACGACCTGTATCGGTGTAAAACCCCCTTCTTCGTGATAAAATCGCAGTAGCACACAGCCTCAAGTGGCTTATTACTTTTATAAAATGGAGGCCAACATAAAATAATGTTTTATAATCGGTTTTATAATCGGTATTCTGGAGCATTTCACTACCTTTTCCTGAAGTGCTTCTTTTTATTTCACCTTTGCATTTAGTCAGTGTTACCAGCCTTCATATTGTTTCTGTGTGTAGTTGGCTACAATGCAAAAATGAATGTGCACTGTAGAATGCTGTCTGTTGTGTCAACCAGCACCAGATTCATCCCACCGGGTCAGCGCTGACTTTGAACAATCTAAGCCCTACCCACGCTGAGAATACCCATCATCCGACCAGTCATTACCAGCACATTGGCACTATAACACTTGAGGAAGAGGCTAATAATTCACAAAAAAACCCGGTTGTGTCTTTTACAGTCACAGTTACGGTCACTAGGTCAAATCGTAGCGCTACGCTGCCACTATCAGGATGTCAAATGCCACCAGCCTGAGCGCTGATAAACAACAACAAAAACAACAACAAAAAAGTAGCCAAAACACATTTAGCCTCCAAATTGTCTTGATGTTGAACATTGATTGAATCTCTGTTAAAGGGAAGTTCTGCAGATTTAGAAAAAAACGTTAATTAAGTTTTTGAGATGTAACCAAAACCACTTCCAGAGTGGTTTGGTGTGAAATGCTCCATTCCATATATAAATATATACATACGTATGTATCGTTTTCTATGCAAAACAGTGAACCTACATGTCTTCTGAAATTTTATATGTAACGTTGATGATGGTGAAATAGTGATGAATCTGGAAAATTTTTTTCTTTTGGACTATTTTGCCTGAGATCGCCCTGCATGTATCCTTCCACCATAAATGGATTTTCAAAATAAATTTTAGGCCTAAAACTATCATAAAACAGTGTCTCAGACATCAGGCAACATTTCATAACCATTTCATTTAATAACTTTCTGTGAGGGAGCTTTTAGAGGTGGACATCTGGTTCCTATCACCACCACTGTGAACAATTCTGACTCGATAAGTTTCTCATTTCATCCCAAAACTCTCTGAATGGACTCTGTTTACATCTTAACCATTTAATTATGTAGAAAATGTAGAAATTACAATTTTATTTGACTGTGTATGTATGTGTATGCAAGGAATGCTCAATTCCAGCCCAACACATTGTAGTGATTTTCCTGCTACACCTGGTAATTAACTGTTAGGTGCGTTAGAGCAGGGAAATCACCGAACTATGCCGGATTCTGGCCTTCCAGGAACAGAAGGGCATGTCCTTCATGACCCCTGGTTTATGTGCAAGTGTATATGTCTGTGCTTTGTTGCTTACTGGAAAGTGACGTTATACAATCAATGTAAACTTTGATCTCTGGGTGTTCACTTTAACATGGTTGCATTTCAGATGACTCTGTTGCCAAGTTCAGTGTTTGAGGAACTCATCCACAGAGCGCTGTACAACATAGGGTAAGACTTTATTTCACTCATAATTGTGATATTGCTCAATTCGCCTTCAGCTTTAGGCAGTGGGTCAGTATGTGGCTCTAATATGCCGCTGGAAAAGCCAATGGATTGAGACATAGGACCACTTTTGCTTAGAATGAGAACATAATGGAGTATGTGGTATTGTACATGTAGTAGATTGTGCTGCTGTACTTCATATCATTTACATCACTGCATTTCTAAATATTACTGGAAAGCGATTATTCATTGATACACTTTTCAAAAACTAAAAAAAGTTTTAAAATGTAGACCTAATTCTTTTCAACTCTGCATTTTTTAAAATATTTAACTCTACATAGCCCAACATAGGATAATTATAGTAAACTTAGTGCAATATCCTGATTAAATTTGATCGGAAGTGAACCCTCAGGGCCTTCTGGGCCCTGAGAAGGCCTAATAATTTCTGGGAACTAAAATAAACATGTCTGTAATTTTATTTGTTTTTTATTTTTTTTCTCTGCTGTATCTAGGTAGATATGGCTAAGTGAGCTCTCTTATAGAGTTAGAGCATTGAAGAGAAAGCCTAAGGCGCTAGATTAACTATCAGCACAATTACACTAATGTGTTAGCTAGATGTAGGTCCAACCCCATTTCTTCTTTTCACCCCTACCTCTTGTTTTCGAGTGTCACCCTAACCCCTTGGAACTGAGTTACAAGGTGTAGTGGTTGAAATCTTCCCCTATGAAATGGGACCCTCAAATAATAAGAGCATTACTTCATTAACAGCTACCAGCGCTGCTCTGTAGGCGACCTGGCCCGTCTTCAGTGATAGCAGAAGCACTGCTGGGCTTTAGTTACATTTAGGGCATCATATTCCTTCAAAGAGGGGGGCAATTATTTATTATCGCCCACCGCTAATTCTTTGGTGATATGAAGCTGAAGTCAGATATTCACCAGGTTCTTGTTCGAATTTTCCCGTTCCACCTTAAATGGTGCAGCAGTTACATTCTGGCGCTTCAGGTGTCAGAACTGCTGGACTATTTAAGGTGGAACAGGAACGTTAGCTAGCTAGCTACCGAGAAATTAGCATGCTATTAGCGATTTTTTATGCTTGTTATGAAGAAAACGACCATAATACACTGAAACGACATTAAACTGAGATAATATAACGGTTATCATAATTTTTTAACAGAGAAAATCCTCACATTTGTGTGTTTCTTTGGTCTCTTGTTGAGCCACCTTGCCGGTTTTTCTTTTCTTCCATAACACTCCATTTGGAGTGTGACACTGAAAAACCTCTGTTTGGAGGGTCATGTAGCCCCAACACATCACCCTACCCCTCTATCTCAACAAAAATTGGGACACCCTGCCCTTAGACGTGAACGCGCAAAACAGAGGGCTAAGGGCTCAGTGGTAGGGGCGAGGGGTGAAATGGGATTGGGCCCAACTGTCAGCAGAATTACAAAGATTACAAAAATAGCTTTTAGCTCAGCTAACAGACTACTAGAATCCTGTAGGGACACTAGCAGAAGTTAGCATAATCACTGAGGTGGGTTTTTCCTCATGTTTTGACAGAGTTGTGACATTTACAACTTGAATTGAAGACCAAGCTCCAATCACTGAATTGAATGGATCTCTACAGTGAAGGAAAGCATGTAGATTGTTACAGGCCTGCACAAAGGCCACCTGCTCACAAAGTCACAAAGTTTTATAATGTAATAAAATGCTGTAAAATTACACATATTAAATGGTTGAGATGTAAACAAAGTCATTCAGAGTGGTTTGGTGTGAAATGCTCTGTCCTAGAGAAACCATTGAATTAGAATTGTTCCCAGTGGTGGTGATAGGAACCAGACATCCAGAAAGTTCAATGCCTCTAAAAGCTCCCTCACAAAAATATTACATGAAATTGTTATGAATGCGCTGCTTGATGTTTGAGACATTGTTTTACGATAGTTTTGAGAATATTTTGCCCTAAAATGTTTTTTTTTTTTTTAAATGCCTTCATGGTGGAGAGATACATGCAGGGCATTATACTGCAAAAAACTTTTATTTTTAGATTTTCCACCATTTTACCATCATCAGCAGTACATATAAACACTCAGACGACACGTGTAGGTTCACTGGTGGTTTTAGGTAGTAAATAAAATGCACAGAATACTAAAACTTTCTCTACAGTCAATCATTTGGCATCGAACTTGGTTCACATCTTAACAGTTGAACTAGCAAGCAAGCAAAGATTATTTATATAGCTCTTTTTACAACAGGTGTTGTCACAAAGCAGCTTTACAGAAAAATCCGCATTGCAGAAAAAATATCCGGGTCCAAGCCCCCATGAGCGTCGCCAGTGGCTACAGTGGCAAGGAAAAACTCAGAGGAAGAGGAAGAAACCTTGAGAGGAACCAAGACTCAGAAGGGGAACCCATCCTCCTCTGATCGACACCGGATAGCAAACATTGTTCCCCGTCAATGAAAATGATGCTTGTTCCATGAACACACAGTTATCCAGGTATGCTATTTTATAAGCGATCCCTTATACAGGACTTCAGTGTTTTCTTGCATAACCTGTGTGATGAGTGAAGTTCAGATTTTAGCTTGCCATGAAGATCATAAACCTAATGCTTATCATGTTATGAATCAGATATCAAGGGCTTGGCAAGGCAAAAGGACAATTATAATCCTCATTTAATAAGACACTGTTACATAACGTTCTACATAGTACTGTTTGTAGAATGTGTGTTTCTAGTTGTATATTATTTTAATATTAATTTTAATGCCAGTTGTCCAGCCACCAGCCACACTGAGGAAATTCCTAGAACCTCCTCAAAGCCATTTTACTTTGAAGGCCATGGAGCTTCACCATTGCAAAGTTGATCTGTTTTTACCAAAACGTCCATGTCATTTATCAACCCATAACGTACCACTTTGTTTTGGATTAGTATGATTTAGCTGCTTTTGTAGTACCTTTTATTTTTGCATATTTATTTTTAAGTGTTGGTGATGATTAAATTCTCTAATATCATTTGACTAATCTTTCACACAAGCCTGTACAAACCTAAATAACAGCATATCATCACTTTCCAAAAATGAGTTTTGCAAAGGAGATAACCACTGGCCATATACTGAGTTGCTGCCAACTCTTATCTCATTGATAAGTTCTGACTGGAAAAAGAGGTTAAAATCTACAAGCAGCCAAAGGAAAACAGTCCAATCAGGACTTTTTCCCTGTGGCATCTAGGTGGATACAGCAAAGTGAGCTCTCCCATTGGTTAGGACTGGAGCTGGACAAGAAGCCTTAAGCATCAGACTAACTACATACTTAGATTAACATCAGATTATCTAGGACGTGAAAGTGGGATCAACCAATCACATTTTGATTTCCAGTGGGTGTCACTATTTTTATGTGAAAAAGAACATCACTCTAGGCCTTCTGGAAGCTCTGGATGCATCACTAACCCTGAATATAAGTGGTAGTCTGAGTAGCCAAGCCTTGTTAAAATGTTCATGTGTAGCGCTGTTAGTTTACTGCTAATATAGTAATAAAATTGCTAGCAGAAAATAGCTTTAATAGAGTTTTTATATTTGTGGCCTAAAGTGAAGGCCTAGCTCTAATAGCCTCCGTTTACCACTGCTCTTAACAAGTGTGCACTATGTCAGTTTTTTGAGATTCTATATTTTGAGGTATCTGTTGGCCCATTTTATGTTTTATGTATTTCTTTAATCTATAGATAATATATTTCAGCGTTTTTGCTATTGAAGAAGACTTGGCATTTCTGCACAAACTTTTGGGCTTTATTTAAGGCTGTATTTGGCCATGTCTTGCCTCACATATGGAATGTTTTTGCTAACAATTTGCTCTAAGCCTCACTACGTCTAGCTTGCTTGGCTGCCAGCGACAGACTCAGCTGCTCTTTCCAAACTAAGCATAAACCAGTGAAAACAAAAGGCTAGTTCTGCCTTCACCATAAGAGTCCCTCTAGAAATAAACCCAGAAAATAACAGTCACATCATTCAAATCAACACACTTCACCCACCACACTCACGTTCACTAATGCTCGCTATCCCTGTATGGTGAATATGAGCTCCCTTGAACATGTTTCCAAACAGAGAAGGTTACATTAATTTGTATTGTTCTTCTTCACAGTAATGCAAGATGGCAAGCTCTGTGCCAGCGATATTACTGGAAACTCTTCAGGAATTGGGGAGGGAAAACCTGAAGTCATTCCAGTGGCATCTGATTAATGGTGTGGAAGGTTTTAACTGCATCCCAAGAGCTTGGCTGGAGAAGCCAGAATTCATGGACACTGTGGACAAAATGGTACAGTGTTATGAACACAGTGGAGCTGTGGAGATCACGCTGGTAATCCTGAGGAAGATTAACCAGAACCAGCTGGCTATGGATCTGAGAATAAAGATCAAAGAGAGTAATGAGACTCAATAATGTTCATTATCTATTCTTAACATACTTTCAGCTGAAATACATCTCCAGCAAAAAACATAATAAAGCTGATGTTCTACCCCTTTTTCCATTTTCTCAGACGAAGACAGATGTGAAAAGAAAACTGATAAGACTCTAGCAGCCTCCACTACAGCTGAAAATGGAGAAGCAATCAAAGCCTCAGATGCAGGTAATCTCAGTCACTGCACACTCTAATAGTGCATGAGAAAATATATTAATTTCAGCTTAAAGATAATGATTTTGTCTTTTATTCATACACTAATAAGTTTAATAAATTTCTGTTTGTTGTCTCAGTGTGGTTTTTAAATAGTCATGTTTGGCTCATATTTAATGTCAAAAGGTGCTCTGTTATGCCAGAGGTATTTACCAACAAAGCTATTTTAAAAACTCAATCAATGTATCAAAGAGAGAGAGGACTCAACAAACAGTCACCTCAATGGAGCATATATATATATATATATATATAGTGCTGTTGTCGGAAGAAAACCTTGTATCTCCATTTTTTATGTTTTCCAGTTTTTGACATAATTTGAAAATAGATGTTACCCTTTACAATGTATGTAAGTTTCATGATGAATGGACTAGAAAAGAAATGACCTAAAATGATTTGGAAAAACATCTGGTTCCATTGACTTACAGTAAAAGTGAAGTAGGTTTTTTCTGTCTCCTGTAAAGTTTTATATATATATATATATATATATATATATATATATATATATATATATATATGCACAGAATATCACAAATGACCAAAGTACACATCTTGAACATATACATATCTGTTGGTATCTTTGGGATAATAATGGTCAAAATAGGCCAGCTGTAGTCATGTCTCTAGTGACTTTTCCTTGAATTGAAACGTATCATAAGCTTCATAACATCTTTGCTTCTTTCCCTGACGAAAGATGAACACCAAAACCAGTTGATCTCCAAACTGAGGCACACATATGAACGTATACTGATTGGGAATTCACAGACAGGTCATAGGGAGTACTTGGATGATGTCTACACAGATCTCATTGTAGTGCCAAATGAAAGTGGAGGAGTCATTCACAAGCATGAGATGATGCAACTTGAAGGGTTGTCCCACAGACCTGGAGGTGAGGAGATTTTTGTCAAATGCAGTGACCTTTTCAAGGTCCAACCTGGTACAAGTCGGCAAAACAGGAAAGTGTTGACAATGGGAATTGCTGGAGTGGGCAAAACTGTGTCAGTGAGCAAATTCATATCCGACTGGGTGAAGAAAGTGGAGAACCGAGACATAAACTTTATTTTCCCTCTCCCGTTCCGTGAATTGAATCTGATAAAAGATAATAAGTACAGTTTGATTGAACTCCTGAATCATTTTTTTTCCATGTCGACACTTAAGCTGGAGTCTCTTCCAGAGGATGAGGGAAAAGTTCTGTTTGTTTTTGATGGACTTGATGAGTGCCGCTTTCCCCTATGCTTTGAACATGGTCACGAACTGAAAGATGTCAATGAGAAGGCTTCGTTGGGCTCACTGATCACAAATCTGGTCAAAGGAAATCTACTTCCCTTTGCTCTCATCTGGATAACTTGCCGACCAGCAGCGGCCCAACTGATTCCCCGGGATCATATTGACTTAGTGACAGAAGTACAAGGATTCAGTGATGAACAAAAGGAGGCATATTTCAGCAAATACTGTAAAGAGGATGTGGCAATGAAAAGGAACATGATATCCCACATAAAGAAAACAAGGAGCCTCTATATCATGTGCCAAATACCAGTCTTCTGTTGGATCACTGCAACTGTTCTTCAGCCACTGATGGAACAAGACAGAAATAACGAAATCCCTGCAACCCTGACAGGAATGTACACAAACTTCCTTCTTCAGCAAAAGCAAATAATGGTGAAGAAATATCACAAGGAACACGAAGCAACCAAAAAAACTCTAGACACAGATCACATCATTCTGAAGCTTGGTAAACTGGCCTTCAATACTCTTGAGAGTGGTCGTCTGCATTTCTATGAAGATGACCTTATGAAAAGTGGCATTGATGTCGCTGGTGGCACTGTGTTCTCTGGAGTGTGCACACAGATTTTCGGTCAGGAACAAAAAGTTTCTGGAAAGAACATCTTCAGCTTTGTGCACTTGAGTGTTCAGGAGTGCCTTGCAGCTATATACGTGCATTACAAATACTGCAACCAGAGAAGGAATGTTTTTGAACCAAGAACTATTTGTAACATGCTGAAATGGAAGAATAAGAATATAGCAGACCTTCATAAGTGTGCAGTGGAAAGGGCTTTGAAGAGTGAACGTGGACATTTGGATCTTTTCCTCCGCTTTCTCCTTGGCCTCTCGCTGGAGTCCAATCAGAAAACCCTACAAGAACTCCTGAAAAAATTGAAGATTAGTGTACACAGTGTTAGGGACACCACTAACTACATTAAGGAGAAACTGAATGAGCAAACATCATCTGACAGAAGCATGAATCTCCTCCATTGTCTGAGTGAACTGAAGGACAACTCCCTGACAAAGGAAATCCAAGACTACCTGACTTCTGGATGTCTGTCATCACAGGAGCTCTCATCAACCCAGTGGTCAGCTCTGGTGTTTGTGTTGCTGATGTCAGAGGAGACTGAAGAAAGGTTTGAGCTCAAGAAATATAGACCATCAGACGAAGGACTGAAGAGACTACTGCCAGTGATGAAAAACACACAACGAGCTTTGTAAGTATCATTTTCATTCATCTTTTAAAGTTTTTTTAAAAAATTCAAAGCATGGTAAAAAACAGTATCAACACATATTCACATGGAATGAAATCCTATCTAAAATGTTTTGTACGTTCAATATTTTTGGTTAAAGAAACTATATTACAAGTATTATAATTAAAATAATCTTCTGAAGGTTGGACCGCTGTAACCTCAATACAGACAGCTGCACAGCATTGGCATCAGTGTTGAGTTCAAGTTCATCACTGAGAGAGCTGGACCTGAGTTACAACGACCTGCAAGATAGAGCAGTTGACCTGCTGTCTGCCGAACTTAGTAATTCACACTGTAAACTGGAGGTACTGAGGTCAGTGTTTTTGGGTTATGTTATATTTCTGGGTGGACACAGACATCTGCATTTTGTACATGTTTATTATGAACACTGTATGAACAATGTATAAGTATACTACTATTTATTACTTCCAAATGACTTGTGACTGCTTTCATATAATAATATATAAATAATGAAAAATACAAAACGATGTTTTCATTTTATATGTCTTCTGAGTGTGTTCCCCATTTGGGTCCGCATTGTCTAGAAAGTTTTTCCTTTAAAGTTTCATGAAGGCTCATTAAGGACCCTCAGCTAGGCTAACTGACGGTCTGGACCTGCATTTCTGTAAAGCTGTAAATACTATGGAAAAAAATAAAAAGCGCTACAGAAAAAATATATTTAGGCCTTCTAGGTGATCACTGTCCTTCTGCTGAAAGACAACAGTAAAAGACTGCAGATGCAAATGTCACATCTATCTTCTGTTTACTCTCTATATTGCCCACACAGTTAGGCCATGTGTACATACATTAAAATAATCAACACTTTATAATTAAAGCAGACAGAATCATCGGTCAGTCAGAATTTCATGGTCATTGTTTCATTTCAAACCTAATGTGAGTTCACAGCAGAAACAGTCACTGTGTTCATTATTGTCTCCACTGTAAACCTCATCAATATAACTCCTGTAGTTTCTATATCCATTGTTTTAACGTATTTGTGCATTTCAGACTAGCTGGCTGTAATCTTACCATGAACTCCTGTGAAGCACTTGCATCAGTCCTACAATCAGAAAACTCCCACCTAAAGGAACTGGATCTCAGTGATAATGACCTGCAGGATTCAGGAGTTAAGCTGCTTTCTGGTGGACTAAAAAGTTCACAATGTAAACTAGAGGTACTCAGGTGAGTTTATTGTGAATATATTCTTTAGTACTACATGTGAAACTGTAGGGTGTAATTTTACAAAAGATAATAACACAAAGGTATGCAGATAAAACTCAAGAAGGACTGAGCCCCTCTACTTTGTTCTCAGACAGAAGTGCCCTCTTGTTTGTAGTTATAATAGCTATATTTTATATCGCCTCCACCATTCTTTAAGATCTGTTTCAGTGAAACGAGGCTCTTTCCTGCCCCAGGAATAGATCTTGAGTTCTATGAGATTCATCACTCTTGGGCCCTGCTCTGGTGCAGTACCACTCCATGTTGTTATCCTCAGTAGCCCTAATCTGTCACAAATTACTCTAGGGCTGGAAATCCCATTAATAAAACATTGATAATCTCTTTAAGAAATCATCACATTCCATTATGTGGTTATTTTGAGCAACAGCCAAACAGCAATGCCAAACAACATCGGCAATAAGGGATGTAAAGAACATGCTACACCAAGTTTTCATTAAGAAACAGAGCTGTTAAATAGAGCTTTAACTAAAAACTATATAGAAATTAACTAGTGTACTGAGTAATGCCACAGCTTTGCAAGCTGTAAACTGGGGTTCAGAATAGATGAAAAATAAAACTTAGCACTCAGACCCAACTGCTATTGAAGAAGGTGGATAAGCTTGCCCGAGTGTGTCTCTCTTCATCTGTTGCCCGGAAAGTTTTTTTCTCCTAAAAACTTGTATGTGTTAAAGTTGTTTTTTTTTTTCTTCCTCTACAGATTGTCTGGTTGTTTAGTCACAGATGAAAGCTGTTCTTCTCTGGCATCAGCTCTGAGCTCAAACCCCTCATACCTGAAAGAACTAGATCTCACTTACAACAACCCGGGACACTCAAGGGTGAATATGCTGTCTGCTAGACTGGAGGATCCACAATGCAAACTGAAGATGCTCAGGTATGTAGAGAAAGAGAAAAGAAAAAGTGCTTTATAGTTTTATAGATCTTTATTTATAGAGTGCTTTTCATACCAATGGCAGCTCAAAGTGCTTTACAGACAGGTGACAAAGCTTAACAGTAATAGATGAAACTATGAATATTAATTTAGAATTCTATAAGGCAATGAGGCAATGATACAGATCAAATTAAAAAGATAAATACCAAATAGTTGTACTATTTAATTAAATTCTAAGTTAAAGAGAGGAGTCACAGCTGTTACTGATTGTCTTTGGTGTTACACAAGACACCAGTGACATTTTTAATGACAAATGCATTTTACAAAATGGCTGCTACAGAGCATCAAACCACATGTTGTCAGTCATGGAATATCCACCAAAATATGTAATTTAATCCATTTGTATTCTATTTTTTCACAATTACCTCAGAATAAAGTCGGTCACACCAGTGACTTAACTAAGAGCTTCATGTGAAATCATGAGCTAAATGAGAAAATCTCTGAAACTGAAAGACACAGTGGACTTACCATGTGCTTTTCTTCATAGATCCTCAGAAAACAGGTAAAAGGAAGTCAAGTGATGTCATTGGTGTGATTTTTGTCATGCAGTAACACCAGTGACACGACTCCTGGGGACCACAATTATCATTATATATTTTAGAATATTTATTTGCCATTTGTTTTCTTTCACTGTCATTTAAAGTATATATTTCATAGTCATGTATAGATGATTGCAGTTACAACTCCAGAAAAACATGTTTTTACCTCAAAATATGGCCTCACCCTTTACACATGACTGTGGGGACAAGCTCTTCTGCGGTGCTTAGAATTCTATATAATTGATTTAAAAACCATTTGACGTTTCCATAGAATGACTTACATACATTTTTCAAATGTTTCTTAAAAGTAAGCACTGAGCTTGGCGGCCTAAAAAAAGGTGGAATTGAACACAGTTTAGAAGCATAATATGCAAAAGAGGCCTCGCCATGTTTTCTGAATTTTACGGATCAGCATATGTGCAGATTTAACATCACATGTTGAAACATAGACAGGCATCCTGTGAGATCAGCGGGTGCTACAGCAGGTCATTTAGACCTTTAAAATATAGTAACATAACTTTAAAAATCTATATTAAAATATTTGGGTAGCCAGGGCAGTGCGTGCAAAATAGCTTTTTGTACAAGTTGTAGACGATGCAATGCAAAGAGCATTACAGTGATCAACTTTGCTTGCAGCACGAATGCATGAAGAAGTTTTTTTGCTTCGTATCATAGAAAGCATGGTATGTACTGTATGCACAAAACGTGCCTTGATGTGACCATGACATGCGCCCACAATAAGACCGCTGCTTAACACATGAACTGTGTGTAGCCCTGCCCACTTGCTTGTAAGGCGCAGGGTTTTAAAGGTGCAGTGAAAAAATTGTGCTGCAAATATAAAGAAAGTTCAGTGAAAAAGTGATAGCATTGTTAATGTAAGAATTCCTTTTCCACGAAAACATTCTTTGGAGGCCTAATTTTACTTTGGCCAAGAATGTAGAGTTTGTGAGACAATAACAAAGACTGCACGCTCATATTGTGGCCACAAAAAAGCTCATTTTGCACTGCGTCTTCTCACACATGTACATCTAGTCCTGAGAGTTGAAATATTGTGCTTCTAATGGTGATCATACTTTCAGTTCGTGTTTGAGGCTTATGTCTCCGTCTAGCTACTTTGTCTGCTGCCATTTTTACGGAAGACTCCCCATAATACGCCTTTTGAGACTCTAGTGATCATTTTTGTCTAGTTTTAAAAGGACAATGAACACAAAACCAGCCACCGCTAGCTGCTCAAACTTGAGTAAATCTAGCGGATTATGTAATCAGCCACATTTCCAATATTGTCACCTATTTTGGCCATGATTCTCCCAAGTTTTGCCTGGCCTTCCCTTAAATGTATAAGCATAAGGAAGAGAGACTTGTGCAATTTTTTACATAACACATGGGTAGAATGTGTTTAAAATGCACATGAAACTGGCACAAAAGGGTCAGTTCATCGGGCCCTGACTGTTTTGGTTAATTTGTCTATGTTTCCTTTCTTAGGATGGAACATGCAGGGAAGAACAGGATCAAACCAGGCTTAAGAAAATGTAAGTGTAGTGGATAAAATGCAATTTTCACTCACAAACAAGCACACAGACAAAAGTATGAATCAGTACTCAATACTGTTCTGTGCAAAACTTGGAGACCACCGTGCTTTATTTAATTTCCAGTCAATTATCCATCCATCTATCCATCATCTAAACCGCTTATACTTCTGGGTCACGGTCAATTATATTTAATTAAATTTAAAATTAATTATAGTTGCATAAGGAGTCCTCTCCCATCAGATAAACAGCACTTAAAGCTTTCATCTCTGAGAGAGAGGAGAAAATCAAGCTGCTTCAGATCTGAAAACATCCACAGGTGTTTCTGTCCAACCTTGCACCGTGAGAAGACGACTCAGTGCTATGGGTCTGAAAGGATGTGTAGCTGTCAAGAAGAACCTCACTGAGAAAAGGAGACGGACACATCAAACAAAGAAGCTGAACGATGGACTGACCACCCCAGAATCCAGATCTCAACATCACTGAATGTGTTTGGGATTACTGGAATCATGAGAAGCAGAAAATGAAGCTAACTTCCCCTCTAAAACCCAGCCCTAGGTTCCTCTAGCCTGCACATTTTTAACACCCAGAGGACAATCAGTAACACAAGCAAAACAAACTAGCTAGAGAAGATGTGAGGAGGTGGAGATTCCTGCAGGTAAAGCATGTGCACAGATACAATTTTATAGTAAATTTAATTGATGAGGCTGCAGGGATGGCGCTCATGATCAAAGTCCATGTTTTGTTGATTTTCTATAGGAAAATAAGTGAACACATCCTGTACAGAGAACACACTTCTGCACATTTATTTATTTGCTGAATTTGACATAATGGGGATTAAACAGAATAATAAAAATGAAACAATAACTAAAAACATACCAAAAATAACTTTAGCATGTTTTTTGTGCTTCTTCATGGGCTGGAGGTTAGGGAACCAGCCTTGTGACTGGATGGTCCCCGGTTTAATCCCCTTGAGCAAGGCACCTAACCCCCAACTGCTCCCCGGGCGCTATGGATAGGGCTACCCACCGCTCTGGGCAAGTGTGCTCACTGCCCCTAGTTTTTCCCTGTTGTGGGACTAATAAGGGTCATTTAATTAAATTTGCAGAACAATGCCATATTTAGGCGTGTTCTCTGTAGAGGACGTGTGCACTTAGTTTTACTTAGAAAATCAACAAAATGGAATTTGTACAGGGGGTGTTCAACTTTTGCATACAACTATATGTTTACTGTGATTTCTGAGGCTGAAAAAATGAATTGACCGCAAATTAAATAAATGAAGGGCAGTCTCTAACTTTGGCACAGTACTGTATCAGTTATAGATAAGACATTTGAATATAGGGATGCTCAAACTCAACTTAGTAGTCTTGTCATTTGTTTTTTCACTTACTTACTTACGTACTTACACACATTAGTTGTCGTCTTCTCCTCTAATCTCTGTTCTTATGTGCAGATGGCTGTGAACTCAAACTGGACCCAAACACGGCACACTCGCGTCTCTCTCTGTCCAACGGAAACAGAAAAGTGACGTGTTCTGGACAGGTGTGTGTGCAGCAGTCGCATCCTGATCATCCGGAGGGATTCGATTACTGGGAGCAAGTGCTCTGCAGAGAGAGTCTGACTGGACGCTGTTATTGGGAGTGTGAGTGGAGTGGGGTGAGGGCTGAAATAGCAATAACATACAAAGGGATCAGTAGAAAAGGAAAAAGCTATGACAGCAGGTTTGGGTGGAATGAAAACTCCTGGAGTTTGGACTGCTCTGAAGACACCTGCTGTGCCTTACACAACAAGAAGGGAACGGATATACCTGATGCCCCCTTGCTCTCCAAAAGAGTAGGAGTATTTCTGGACTGGTCAGCCGGTACACTGTCCTTTTATAGCATCTTCTTTGAGAAACGCAAACTGATCCACACATTCCACTCTAAATTCGCTGAGCCCCTGTATGTCGGGTTCAGGGTTGGTGAGGAGTCCTCTGTGTGTTTGTGCCAGATAGAATAGCCTCCTGGAGGAACACCTAAGGACCAATCCCATTTCTTCATTAACAGCTACTAGCGCTGCTCTGTAGGCGACCCTGCCAGTCTGCAGTGACAGCAGAGGAGGGTAAAGTTCAGCTCCTCACTGCTGGGCTTTAGTTACATTTAGGGCATCATATGCCTTCAAAGAGGGGGCAATTATTTATTATCGCCCACCCCTAATTCTTCAGTGATATGAAGCTGAAGTCAGATATTCTCCAGCTTCTTGTTTGAATTTTCCCGTTCCACCTTCAATGGTGCAGCAGTTACATTCCGGCGCTTCAGGAGTCAGAACTGCTGGACTATTTAAGGTGGAACGGGAAATTTAGCAAGCTAGCTACTGAGACATTAGCATGCTATTAGCGATTTTTTAAGCTTGTTGTGGAGAAAACGACCATAATACACTGAAACTACATTAAACTAATATAATACAATGTTTATCATAATTATTTTACAGAGAAAATTCTCATATCTGTGGGTTTCTTTGGTCTCTTGTTCTCCATCTTGCCGGTTTTTCTTTTTTCCTCTGTCTGGAGTCTCTGAAAAACCTCCGTTTGAGGGGCCATGTAGCCCCAACACTTCGCCCTGCCCCTCTATCTCAACAAAAATTTGGACACCCTACCCCTAGACGTGAACGTGCGAAACAGAGGGCTAAGGGCTCAGTAGTAGGGGCAATTAGTGAAATGGGACTGGGCCCAAGTCTTCAGGGAAACACAGACTTGCTTAACTACACAGAGCTATTAGTTTCACACCCCACCTTCACACAAACTGTATATTCCAACAAATACACAATACTAGAGCAGGTAATTGAGAGGACCAGAAGACTTCCTGGTGGGCTGATAATGTTTTGTGCTGATTACTGTGTACATTTAAAGTGCCTTGTTGCCGGGAACAAGCATAAACACAAAAACGCATTCCCAAACTGCAAAGGTCTCCTTTTCATCTGCCCAATAAATTATCTTCTGTTTTATTTTCTTGTCCATTGATCCGGTAGAAATAATGTTGATGCATTATTGGTGTTTTGATCGGCTGTTTTGAGAAACTTGTTTCACAAAGTTGAGCCACCTGCAACTGTTGCATCTGAGTTTCAAGTGAGTTGCAGAACGCTTTACATCGCACAGCTCCAGTGAAATTTAGTTTCATGTAGCTTTTAAGCAACTAAAGTTGCATTTAAAATTTTAAAATTTCACCATGTAAAGCCAGCCTAAAAGGTAGCTGAGGTAACACAGGTTTGGGTGGGCTGGTCGGCATCACGTAACTGAACAAGTCTCCAGCTCCAGCCCTGATCTTACTATACATGCATGGTGTAGTAGGAGGCTGGTTTTACATGATAAAATTTCCGTGTAACTTTAGTTCTGCACTTGAGTTGCATGGCGTAAAGCATCCTACAACTCACTTGAAACTGAGCAAGAGAGATATAGAAAGATACAGAAAAAAGAACTGCAATGACAGCTGGAAAAAATATACGAAGACGATAAAAATGCTGTTGCGTGCAATTTCAAGTACTTACCAAGAATGGTGTGACAAGTAAAAAGCTACTAGTTACTGGTAATCCTGTGGATGAAAACAGCATGTGGATCAGATGGATCAATGGAGAGACAAACATATGTGTACATTTGTATATAAGTGATGTTTTCGTTGTTATTGCTTGTCTGTTTATGAATGGTAAAAGTAAACACTATAACACTCCAATCAAGGACTACTGAGCTAGAGTTCATTTTTGTACGTGTCATAAGTGCTGTTCTATGAAACATTACCTTTTCTTACTTTGTGTACTGGACATAATCTAAAGTTCAAAGGCAGACATTAATATTTGGACATTTTAAAGTTACATATTTATGCAAACGATTATGTGCAGAGAAAAATTGTTTTAAAAGCCAAAACTATATTTTTAGTTTATTTTATTTTCCTGTTCTGAGGTCCACTTATATTTGTGTGGTTTTTTGTACCAAAAACATCCATAATTTTTACATAAGCACTTTACAAGCTCTCTTCATCCGTTAGAATTAAGCAGGCCATTTTTCTTGCATTGCTTTTAAGGCTGATATATGTAAATGAGCTCTAAATATCAGACCAGACCTTCCTTTTGAGCCTGTGCGTGTGAACAACATTACAAAGTGCAGTGATTTATTTTCATACAACGATACAAAATATGTACATATGTGAAATACATTTCTGTAACAAGTTATTAAGATGATAAATTTCACCACCATGTTTTTCTGAGTATGTCCTGCAAATCGTCTCATATCATACTTACCAACAGCATGTCACATTATAGAGAGTATAGTTTGTCCTACTTAATTAGTGCAGTGTGTAAAAATCATTGCATTTATTATTATTATTATATTATTATCAAGCAAAACAAAATGTGAAACATGCATTGTGAAACTGTCTTCAAGCTTTGTGATATTATATTGTTAATATTTCGCCCACTCCTAAGTAAGCCGAGTATAAAGTCAGATGCAAAAGTTTGAACACCCTGTTCACATTTAAATGTCTTGAAGTGAAAATATGTTTACACATCTTTTACAGGACATTTCTGCAAATTTTAGTGCACACTTTCTATGTATTTGTTGAGTTTGACATTTGGGGGAAAAATACAATTGATATATAAAACATACTGTCATTTTTGCACAGGCTACATTTTATGTCTTTACTCAACTTAGACTCTTAGACTTTTTCAAAATCTCTGCATAATTAAATACTTAACATGTCAACAAAGTCATTCAGAGCAGTTTGGTGTGAAATGCTCTGTTCTAGAGAAACTTACCGAGTCAGAATTGTTCACAGTGGTGGTGATAGGAACCAGACGTCCACCTCTAAAAGCTCCCTCACAGAAAGTTACTACATGAAATGGTTATGAATACACTGACATTGTTTTACAGTAGTTTTGCAATAAAGTTTTTAGTTTTAGTCTAAAACGTATTTCAATCTGTTTATTTTTATCATTTCATGGTGGAAGGATACAAGAAGGGTGGTCTGAGGCAAAATAGTCCTCAAAGAAAACATTTTTCAGATTGAACAATGCTTTACCATCATTACATACACATAAAAGCTCAGAAGACGCATGTAGGCTCACTGATGGTTTTGGATAGTAAATAAAATGTCTATATTTGTGTTGTAGTCATGGTGACCCCTGGTTCCTATCACCACCACTGTAAAGACATCTGAACCGTTTCACACCAAACCGCTCTGAATCACTCTGTTTACATCTTAACCACTGAATCATGCAGAACTTTTGAAAAATCAGTGGAATTCCCCTTTAACATAATAGGCCTTAGGATTGATCCCTGGAGAACTGAGGAGTTTTTAAACACCTCAGTGTCACTGCTGGACTGAGAATAGTCCTGTGACCACTGATGAAGGACTAGAGGATGACCAACACAAACTGTGCAGCAGCAGATGAGCTATCGTCTCTGACTTTACATCTACAAGGTGGACTGAATGGGTAGGAGTGTCTAATAGAGTGGACAGTGAGTGGACACAGTGTTTAAAAACTCCAGCAGCACTGCTGTGTCTGATCCACTCAGACCAGCGCAACACACACTAACACACCACCACCACATCAGTGTTACTGCAGTGCTGAGAATGATCCACCACCCAAATAGTACCTGCTCTGTGAGCGTCCTGACCACTGAAGAACAGGGTAAAAGGGGGCTAACAAAGTATCAGAGAAACACATGGACTACAGTCTGTAACTGTAGAACTACAAAGTGCACCTATATAGTAAGTGGAGCTGATAAAATGGACAATGAACGTAGAAACAAGTAGGTGGTCATAATGTTATGCCTGATTGATGTAGTTGTATAATAATTAGTTCTAGTATCTATTTATAAGACACTATTCAAGTGTTATTTACAATATTAAGGTATCTAGACTTTTTTAATGTTGAGCATGTCGTGATAATCACTAACTAAAGCAGGGACCATGGCTCATGGCCCAACCCGAAATACAGATCAAATTCAGTTGCATGAAAGTAGACTAGACTGATGTTGGATGGTTACTGGATGGAGCCCCAGTAATTCAGAGAACTCAACTCCACTGCTTCACAGCCCAGTGCTGGGGGGCTTTATGCACCTCTATCTGATGCGTGGCATCAGGCCTAATGGTCAATGCTTTTCTATGGAGATTATACAGACTGTGTGCAATTGAACACCCATGTCAGCAATGGGTGCACAACAAAGCAGCTAAATCTTCGAATTTGAAGGGTAGGTTTGTACATAAAAGAGGTTCTAATAGAGTTTTAGATGATAAGGTGGTCCACAAAAGGTTGTGTCAGAAGTGGGATTCGAACCCACGCCTCCATTCGGAGACCAGAAGCCCCATATCAGAGGAAGGTATTAACCTTGAGTCTGGCGCCTTAGACCACTCGGCCATCCTGACAACTGAGCAGTAAACACACAATTTTGCTCTTAAGTAACTTTGAAACTTTATCGGTGATATTGTCTTAAGTTTTCTTGTCATTTTCCCTGAATAAATGGAATTCACCCGCTGAGTAACAGCTAACGGTAACAGTTACTGTTTAGTTAGCTTGCTATCGTAGCTACCAAGCTAGGCTAACATTAATAACACGAAGGTGAAGTCAGCTTCGAATTTTCCCGTTCCACCTTAAATAATGCAGCATGTAAGTTACATTCTGGCGCCTTACGAAGGACGTAACTGCAGCACCATTTAAGGTGGAACGGGAAAATTCGAACAAGAAGCTGGTGAATAGGAAGACAACTTAAGCTTCGGTTTAATATCTCCGACTCAGCGGCGACAACTCGGTCTTTACTATATGAAATACTTCATATTTACGCGTTAAACTAGCATTTTGTGTCGCAAAGTCTTTCTAAACGTAACCTAAACCGCCCTTTCCTGGCTAACGCGCTAACTGTAGCTAGCCTAGCCAACTCGTGCTAGCGCGAGTTATCAAACCACAGCAGTTTGTGTAACATCAATTGTGCTACACTGCGCATGTCCGCTAATCTCCACATCATGCCCTGTAGGTAACCGTTCGTGGATATGATGTATAGATCTGCACAAAATGCCCGGCGACACTCAAACGAGACCCAAGCTTCCAGTCATTCTTATGAAAGGCGTGAGTGTCACGCAGCCGCTTAGTTTGCCTGTTTACATATCAGTACACAGCAGTAAACCTTCTAAAAAACCTAGAAATGTCTTTTTACAGAAACGCAGTTTGGTTCCTGAAGGGTCTTCAAGAATATACAAAGTAAGTCTTCACATATTTGCTTAATATCTGCACTTCAATTGAGGAGACTCAACTCGATACGACTCGAAGACAATGATTCGATATTTTGGCGATATTTATGCTGCCGTTAATGCGATACTGTTACTATGTGCATGCAGCTTATTCTTCACAAGCTTCTCCCAAAATCAGGTTAACAATAAGTGTTTATCAAAGGGGAATTCCACCGGTTTATCAAAATTTTAACATAATTCCAATGTCGCAATTGAAACAAAGCCCTTCAGAGTGGTTTGATGTGTAGAAAACGTTTTCTTTGGGGAACATTTTGCCTTACAGTGCCCTGCTTGTAACTCTCTGCCATAAATGGACTTTAATAAATGGATTAACAAGACATTTTAGGCCTAAACTAAACTAATCATTTCATGTAGTAACTTTCTGTGAGGCAGCTTTTAGAGGTGGATGTATGGTTCCTGTCACCACCACTGTGAGCAATTCTGACTCGGTAAGTTTCTCTAGAACAGAGCGTTTCACACCAAACCACTCTGAATGACTTTGTTTATATCTAATTTAATTATATGGAACTTTTGAAAAATTGGTGGCGTTCCCCTTTAAGTTCTGCTTGAACAAAAACAGTAAGGAAAAGTTCCTTTGTAAACTGCCCTGAAAACAAAATATGCACTCTTCGCAAAAAGGTTTCTATATAGTACTGAAAAGGGTTCTTTGCCTCCTAACAGTAGTGGAACTCTTTTTGGTGCTAGATAAAACCACCTACCTGTTGTACATGATCCATATACAACAGGTTTTCCATCAACGACAACTATTTGACCATGCAAATAACAACTTATGCATTCAGATGGTTCTTTGAGAGTTTGTGCTTCTACAAAGAACCAATGCTGTTACTAGAAAACCCTTGAAGAACCGTTTTTGTAGGAATCCATAGGATTTGATAGAAACCGTCACATTGAAGCCTTAAATGCATTAAACCCTGTTAGCCCGTTCTCATGTCGTATTTGTTACAGTTTCCATTGGTCATTTTAGTGCATACATGATAATTTTTAGGCTTTTTTTCCAAAGATTTTCTCTGTGTATGTTAGATTTTTTAGTCAGAATCCTGTAGATTGAAATATTTTCCATTTTTGACAGGAGCGGCTATGAAGCAGCAGCGAAACACTTTGTATCTTCCGATCTGGAGGTGAATTTGAGCGGCAGGTCGTTCGTCATCACAGGGGCCAACAGTGGCATCGGGAAGGCCACGGCGAATGAAATAGCCAAAAGAGGTCAGCATGAGGCAATGAAGCAGATACAAAACACACTTTGACAAAACTGGATCTCAGGCAGTCATGAGGTTCCAGTTAAAATCGATTTGAACTGAATCCCTGCATGAAGCCCCAGCAGTTAAATGCTTTCTTATCTGATTTAGCTATGTTACTGTTGCTTTAGGATGAGCTCGTAAAAACCTACACTGGAATCTTTCTTTCTCATAAATGATTAACACACATGTCACATGGACAGTAGAGCTGTAGTTATGTCACTTAGACCAGTCTTTTCCAGCTATAATTGACCCTGACCATGCTCTGTTTAGTACACTCTCTGGCTGTAGATGCCACACCTTCTGGTTAAATAGTTATATTTCTGACAAAAACACAGAAGATAGACTCAGTTTGAAGGGGCCCTGTTGAGCCCCTGTGTCAAACACAAGGCCAGCGACAGGATCCTATCTGGCCCAAACAAAGTATTTTAATTGTTTCACAGTGCACTACAGTCCCCAGCATGCACTGCCATGTAATGTTTCCTCCAACTTTTCTGCCTTAACAACAATCTATGGGACAGCATTACACCTCAGTTCTGCACAACTCTTCACAGTTCTACACCAGTCATATCACACTAACTGCAGTTCAGCCAGCATAAACACTTAACGTCAGCTCAGGTCCACTACAAGAGCCTAATTTTTAATGTTGAAGTTTTTTGTGTATTTTGAATAAACAGTGGTCAGTTCGGTTTATAGCAAAATGTTTATTAAAAATGAAATGAAAAGAGTTGAGTTTGACACCCCCGATTTGGAGGTTGGACTGTGAACCTCTGTTTATCTCTTAGAATTAAAAAGGCTGTTGTACAGCCAGGTCCATAAGTATTTGGACAGTGACAATGTCCGAATACTTTTGAGTCTGTGAAAATAGAGAGACTTTGTCAAAAATGACTGTAATTCCTAAAAGGCTAATTAAATATTTTTGTTAAAGCCCTTGAAATAAAGCTGGAAGTCTTCAATCATGTCTTAACTGTTTCATTTCAAATCCATTGTGGTGGCAAAATTATAAAAATTGCATCACTGTCCAAATACTTATGGACCTGAGTGTATGTAGATGAGCTCTGGTCTGATTGGCTGTGCCTCATTCAAAAAGCAGTGCAGGCTGAAACACTTTTTGTAGCTTCAGTGTGAATGGGTGGAGCTAAACTGCTGTAGGCAGTACTTTTGCTTACTTTCCGTATATGGACTGTATGGAGTGAATATGTTTTGCAATGTTTACATGCTATATCATACTGTTATATCACCACAAGCAAGGAAAATGCTGTTTTCTATGTAATGTGCCATTTGACGGAAATCTAATCTCGTCTAATCTCTCAGGTGGGACGGTGCACCTGGTATGTCGGAATAAAAGTCGAGCGGAGGAGGCCAGAAAAGACATTGTGGAGCAGAGTGAAAATGAGGTACGGATTATGAAGACAGATGATGTTTTGAGACTCGTTTGCAGTGGTGGACAGTAACTAAGTAAATGTAATTCGTTACTGTACTAGTTTTTTCGTGTATCTGTACTTTACTGAAGTTTTTCCCTTTTGGGCATCTTTTTACTTTCACTCCACTACATTTCAAAGTCTAATATCTCACTTTTTACTTCACTACATTATGAGAAATCTGTCGTTCCTTTTGGTTTATGTGTATATAAAAATGTAACATGTCAAAATGAAAGAAGCCTGAAGCAACACACCAATCAGGGCACAGCGCACTTAGTTTTGAGCTTGTTTTGACCTGTTGGTCATACCGACCCAGTGCAGCACACGGTTCAACATCAGTGCAGCAGCGTAAAATTTTTGGAGAGTCTATTCAACATAAATGATGGAACTAACTTTGTGTAAACAGACCACAATATAGAAATATGTACACACATGTAGTTGTGACTGACGAGTCTTTTTTCTGAATTTATACAAACACTATTTCATTTTATAGTAAATTAGTTTTGGCTGGTTTATGTTTATGAACAGAGACCTACAGATGCAGTTTAGTAAAGGAAACTCATTTGTGAATCTGAGTTTAAAGTTTTTATTAAACTTAAACTTGTAACTAAGTTGCAAATAAATCTTAAACTGAAACTTTGCTTGTTTGTAAGAAGTGATTTCAGAGCCACTCAGTTCTACCTGATGGAAACTGTTTGCCTTCAGTGTTTTGTGCTTATGATAATTTTAATAGACATCAGCGTCACTAATTAATGACATTCTATTAAAAGACTGGTTTACCAAGAGAGACACTGGAGTATTTTCACCTAAAAAGAGTTAAAGAAGCGAGTCTTGTTTCAAAAATGGTAATAGGACATCAGAGCCATAATTAATCTTTTAGTACTTTTACTTTCAATACTTAAGTACATTTGAAGGTGAATACTTTTGTACTTTTACTCAAGTGGAGGTCTAAAGGGAGGAACTTCTACTTTTACTGGAGTAATATTTTACCTTGGGTCTCTCTACTTTAACTCAAGTACATGGTTTGTGTACTTCGTCCACCACTGTTTTTTTGTGACATGGCTATGTTGTTTACTGTGTTCTGTCTGCTGAAGTCAGCTACATGCTAACATTACATTATGCTGGCTTTTATTTAATTCCAGAACGTCCATGTTCACATTGTGGACATGTCCAGTCCCAGGCAGGTGTGGGAGTTTGCCAGTGCGTTCAGTCAGAACCACAGCGTGCATGTGCTGGTGAGTTGGTACTGGATGCTTCTACACGGGCCCATGCGCAGACTGTTTTTTTGGGGGGTGTGTGGGGTTGGGGATGAGCTTAAATTCATCCAGAGCATATTTCAAACAGGCTTATCAAGAAAACAGTGCTATGGAGTTAATTTTGTGCCAAAAGTTTCAAATAAATCAAATAAAAATAGTAAAATCAACAAGCAAAATATTAAGTATCAAAAAATCTCCAAAATATTTTGCTGTTTTATTTTTGTTTCTGACTTTTGGCACTTTTGGCATGTCTTAGAGGAGGGCGTTCACCTGCACTCTCTGTTGGTCAACTGATTTGGAGTGACAGGTGGATTTTATTAATGTATTTGAAAGTTTTGGTACAAAAATAACTCCATACACTGCGGTCACATTTCAGCAGAAAGTAAATGTGATGTTGGGAGTCTTTCTTAAGGGAGCTAAAGTATTAGTATTACTGCTTTAGCAAGGACTTGAATTCCACTGTCCAGAGTACAAGGCTGTGATGTTACCTGCTGTGCTTCACTACTAATTATTGCCAAGATTTCATAACATTTAACACAATTTGTTTTCACAGTAAAATACCATATTCATCATTTTACTGTGAAACCAGACCATTTTCTGTAATATTAACACTGCAAATTACTCTGAGGTTAGGGTTGAGCTACACTGAAAACAGCATTATGGGACAAGACAGTGGTTGAGAGTTAAAAAGGTGTTAATATTTTGTTGTTGTTTTATCTTCTCAAGTTAAAATGTGTATTTGCATTCTTAAAATCCACAAAACCTGGTGAAGAAATACATTCACTAATGCTTTTTTTAATCAACAAATTTTTAGCTCTAAATGTAAACTTTTTTTCACATGTACTTTAAAGCTACTGTGTTGCATTACTTTTAAAGTTTTGTAAAAATACAGGATTCCTGTATTTTAAATACAGCTTTTTACTGTAAGTGTACAGCAGAATACAGCTAAATCACAGTAATCTGGTGGTACAGGTGGCTGATGTCACACTATATAAGCAAACTTACTGTTAAAATTATAGAGTAAATTACTGTGAAGGTAATGCAACGAGTAGCCAGTAATTTACTGTACTTTTACAGTGATTTTTTTAAGTGCATGTAATTACTTTAAAACTGATACAAATCCTTGCTTTATCACCATAGCAGAAACTTGGTTTAGCAGGTTATTAGCTCTGACTTTATGTTTGGTTGTTGTTCAAAAATAACGTTATCATCAGTGTTTTTTATTGGTGGGATTTCCAGTGTTGTGGGGATCTGCGCATCCATAAAGGGCTGGAGTTACCAGGGTAAAGTCTAGAGGAGGCGCCCATAAAAGCTCATAAAACCTGAGCCGACCCACTGGCTTTTTTCCTGGGGTGAGGGTGAGCTGAGCATTGCGGAAATGGATCTTGAAAAATGGCCATATTAATAACATTTATTACCCATGTCGACCCAGAGTAGAGGTAGAATCTGAGGGCAGTTGCGCAGAGGCTCAAGCCCCCCTGGGGTCTGTCTGTTCAGGTGCCTGCTGTTCTTATTAATGATGTGAATCTGTTGATCCTCTGCAGATCAACAACGCTGGGTGTATGGTGAATCAGAGGGAACTGACTGACGAAGGCCTGGAGAAAAACTTTGCCACGAACACGCTCGGTAAGCGAAGTCCGTAAAATGTGAAATTGTTAGAAGCTTCTGTTTAACATATTTGCGCACGTCCTGAAATGTTCTACACCCATGAATGTGTCTCAGTGAAGCTGCATGCTTGATTCCCGCAGGAACGTTCATCCTGACCACAGCACTGATTCCTGCTTTGAAAAATTCCCAGGACCCAAGAGTTGTGAGTAGTTTTTACAAGCTTACCTTTGCTCATATTTAAAGCTTCTTGGAGCAGCAGAGCTAATCTAGAACCAGACTTATCCCTTGTTTATTATGACCTAACTGACAGGTGTTTCCCAAAAAGCATCTGAATGCTGCATTTATAAACCATTGTTTCATGCCTCATAGCAGAATTGCTGACAGTACGTTGGCAGGCAGCTGTGTAAACGTTGCCATGGTGATAGTGGTGCTTATTGATGGTGTTAGCTACTATTTTATCCAAAGAGAGTTTTGAATATACAAGAATATTTATAATGTTTGAATACAGGCTAATGCATGTTCAGTGAAGTCTGGGTTTTGTTGTTTGTACATGAAAGTGCTGGGCCAGTGGCAAAAGTTGGAAAATGGATGGTTATAAGAGGAGAGCTTTAGCACTGTATGTTACAGACGATGGTCTGTACTTTTAGCTTTACACACATATATATATATATATATATTTAAATACAAGGTGATTTAAAAAGATTCATCCGATTCCAAAGCATCATATTTTTACAACCGTGAGGCGCCGAGGAACCAATCACATACAAATTGAAAGAGGGGGTCATAGAGTTTCTGACTATCACTGGAAGATGGCTCCCTCATCGCTGGATTGACCATAAAGGATCCCACAGTTTGGCACTTCTGGCCCCCAAGATCACCAGATTTCACACCGTGTGACTTATTTTGTGGGGGTATGTTAAGGATTCTGTTTATGTGCCACTCCCAGCAACACTGGGTGATCTCCGAAATCGCACTGAAAGAGCCGTGAGTGCAGCGACACCCGACATGCTCAATCGAGTATGGGATGAATTTGACTATGTGTGTGTATGTGTGTGTATGTGTGTGTATGTGTGTGTGTGTGTGTGTGTGTGTGTGTGTGTATATATATATAAGTACTAGACTCGTTTGGACTTGCAGTCGGTTTATTCCACCTCCGTGGTTGACAGCAAAAATTGGGAAGATTGAACTCCTGATGGAAAGTTCCACGGATCACTGCAGTTACCGCTGCTAGAGTTTTCTATCACTGCTGTATCCGTTTTCTGTCGACCGCCTACTGCTGACATGTAAACGCACCATGAAGATTATCCTAACTATTATGCCACAGTCACGTGTTGCCATTAAAAATAGCATCACTCTGTGCCTCATAGAGCACAAACCACATAAGCAAGTCTGTTAGAGATTACTTAACATCTCCACACGGATTGGAGCAAGAGATGATTTAGGCACGCAGTTGGGGGTATAAGCTCCCATTGCAAACTAAAGAAACTTCAGACACCAAGTACGTCTTTGCAGACAGTTTTTTCAGAAATATGTAACATTTTATATTGTCGCTGCCCAACATGTACCTACATCTTTTGCGATTCTTATTTCTTTACATTATTTGAGCTCAGCAGCTGCCTGTGTTAAAACGTCATGATGACTGGACCAATAGAAATGCTCTGAAATTGCTTGGAATAACCAGTTTGGAGATACTCGTTTGTCTTTGGACAGCGAGGATATGATAATTGTGAGTCCATCAATGTACAATTTAGCTTCATGGCCACATTGATTGTATTTTTTAAGGAAAAGCTCTTAATTTACCGTGTGACCATCCCCTTCCTGTTAGGTCACTGTGTCGTCTGGAGGGATGCTGGTTCAGAAGCTGGACGTAGAGGATCTACAGTTTGAGAAGGGAACCTTTGACGGCACCATGGCTTACGCCCAGAACAAGGTAATAATGTGTAGCCAGTAGGGATTGGAAAGGAATGATAGAACACATCGCGCAATTGATGTATGGATATCAGAATATGTTTGTTGCACAGTTTTCGGGAATCTACGCAGTCTTATTTGACCAGAGGCAGCAAAATGTGAAGTATACATACATACATACATACATCATCTAAACCGCTTATCCTTCTGGGTCGCGGTGGGGTGCTGGAGCCTATCCCAGCTGTCATTGGGCGGAAGACAGCAAATGTGAAGTATAATTCATTTGTAATTCGTAAGTTCGCGTTAGATGTTAGTGGCTGGAGCGGTGTGCCTTAAGAGCATCATCCTGTTTGAGACGTAGCGAGTAAACAGGCAAATTATATTGTCATTTTTTTATTCATTGAGAATGTTTTTCGTACAGAGGAACCAATTAACTTTTTTCAGCCCATAATTACACCACTAATTTTTAATGTGTATGAACCCTTAGACGTCACAGTTACTGCCAGCGCTATAAAAAAGCATGGCGTACTCATTTCTTACTTAACTCACTTTTAACACATGTAGAATTATCTGAAAAGTACAGGTTCCATAACACATTTGTGTCTATAAGTAGAAGAGAAGATGAAAAGTTACACTCTCAGAAATAAAGGTACTAAACTGTCTCTGGGGCAGTACCCCTCTTGTCACTGGGGTGGGACCCTCAAGGGTACATCTCAGTACCTTCAGTCAGTGAACATAACTGAACCATAATCCACTAAAATGATATGTTCTAAGCTGTACTGACTCCACACACCCCGTCTCGCCTCCAGGCTTTTATTTTACTGTTCTGTTTTAAAACATTTGGTTATGAAAAGGTACAAATACGAACTTTTCACCTGGAAAAACTTATTTAAGGTTCACAATCAGACCTTAAAACCACTGTTGGACCTTTGAGGGAACATTTACATTGTTTGTACCTTGATGAATGAAAAATGTACCTGAACAGAACAGTGTATAGTGTGCACAGTCTTAATTTGCAGTTTATACCTTTTACATTTTTGCTATGTTTTTGTCATTTTTAACATCAAAACAAACAAAAAAGGTCATAATGACCTGCTTCAGAATGTAAATTGAACGTAAATGTACTTTACTGCGTAATGTACTATGTTATTAAACATCAGTGCATTTGAATAGTGGAGCATTTGAAAGTACTAACTCTCAGCTTCTAAGGGTTAAGCTCGTTTGTAGGCCAACAAAATGCCAAAATCCATTGTTTTCTTAGTCCACATGATGGCACTGAAAAGCCGTTTTTGGGACCAAGGCCTCCGTCTTTGGTGAGAGCAGGATTTTTTGAGCATTGAGTGAAGGTTGATTTGTCTGCTCCACAGATCTGTGTTGTTTCACTAAAAAGAGTGAAATGAGATGAACAAAGTGTGAACTTTATTAGAATTAGACAAAGCTGAAGGTTTTCTTTTAGGGCACCGTGGCCCAAAATGTGGCCCGAGGACCAAAGCCACGTCCACAAGAACGTTTGATTTGGCCTGCCAGATTTAGCCCACCAGGAAGTTAACCTAACCCCACCCAAGCATCGTATGAGATACTGTATACAACTAATTTTCCTTTTAAAGGGCCCATATCCTACATTTATCTGATTCTGTGTAGCAAAAACATACATTTATTTCTACCTGACCATTTTTCCAACCTTACTTTGTCCCTTAGAATTAAACAGGCGGTTCTTGTCACCGGACCTTTTAATACTGATACAAACAAATGAGCTCTCTTCTGATGAAGCAGTCTGGGCTCAAACACTCCTTTGATTTGGTAAAAATAACAAAATACAGGTGACTTACAAAATGAAACATTATTGATTTTTTTTTTTTTCTTTTTTTTTATTTAAATTTTGTTTTTAAAGCAGAATAACTCCAGTGGTCATTTCATGTTTCAGAGTTAAAGTTTATTTTATTACAAGTTTCTTTCAAGGTCACTATTTAATGTTCTTCACCATAGAACAAGCAGATAAAGAGCTGAAAACAGCAACACAAACAGCTCTTTAATGGTCAGTATTAAACGGCTCACTGCTCCCTATATCACGGCGGCGTTTTAGGGCCACTGGTTATAAAATAAAAATAGTAGACTTTGAGAATAAAGTCATAATATTTTGAGGAAAAGGTGTAATATTTCAAGAAAAAAAGTCATAATATTTAGAGAATAAAGTCGTAATATTTGTAGGATAAAGTGGGCTGCTGTACTGTAGGGGGGCTGCCTGGGTTCTCGGTTGCTGTACTAGCGCCAAAGTTCCACTCACTCCTGTCTCTTTGTGGATCATTTTGATCATCATTCTCACTGTCTGTGAAACTTCATGCCCTCTTTGAATGGGGGGAGATGTAGCCCCCGATAGCCGTGTAGACGACCCTGCCTGCGATTCTCCTTCAACAGCACAGACAGACAGTTTCCTCCGAGTCCGTCTGGCTCTTTATTTTAGATGAACACAGTCTGCTCAGCCGTTTCAGCCGGTTCTTATACTAATAACAGGCTGGTGCTGATGTGCAGGAGAGACAGGGAGGCTGAGTGTTTCTTTATGGGTGAATCGATATGAAAGTAGAACTCCACCAACTCACCGCCCCTCATTTAACACCAGGAGGTGCTGCCTTCACTTTGCCATGTCCTTTGGCCACAATATTGCGACCTTTTCTGGTATTAATGCCACTTTATTGTTGTAAGTCTACGACTTTTTTCTCTAAATATTACGACTTTATTCTCAAAGTCTGCTGTTTTTATTTTTATTAACAGTGGCTCTAAAACACTGTCGTACTATATAGTGCAGTATGTGAGTTATGGAATTTTGGCTTTTCCACCCAAATATTGCGCTTTGTGTCCAGTATGAATTGAGCTCTCATGGCTGAATCCAGAGTGGTTCTCTGTCAGACTCACTGAGCAGTTTGAAGCAGTGTTGCGTCACCTGACTCGAATACTGCGCACTGATTGACTGAACAGATTTATCGGGTTCTGCTGGAAAACAGCGCTGGCGTTTGACTGTTCCTGCTGTAAAATATGAATTTGTAACACCTTGACGATGAACAAAAACAGCTTTTGTTACAATGTGTTTAGGGTTCAAAATGCGCTGAGTGTTAAAATAACTCACCACAGTCAGTTCATATATTTTTTTTTTTTTAAAGTTAAAGTTTCTTGTTTTTTGCAAATTAACTCCTTAAATTTAGTGTAATGTTATAAAATACATTTAAAAAAAAACACCTGCCCTCTTTATTTGTATTGTTTTGTCTTTTTGGCCCACCACAAACACTGCACTTTTACCCCCCCAGGACAAAAATGTTTTGGCACCCCTGTTTTACAGGCGTAACATGAAGCATATTACAAATATTTAAAATCGCAACATAATGACATTGCCTCAATATCATCATAATACCGTGTCGTAGGGCTTCTACTGATTCCCATCTCTAGTATCCATGATACCACAATATAAACAAGCTGTGCTCTATTCTTAGCTAATAGGCTAAATGATTATCACTGACGTTTTATTCTTTTCTCCCTTACTGGAAATGTGATTGTCTTTCTGTGTAATTGTATTAAGGTTTTAATACAGTCAACATGAAATGTGTGCTTTTGTTAGTGTTATGCTGTTATGAGTTGTTTACCTTTTCGCTGGGTATTTTGCTGCAACCAGAGGCAACAGGTGGTCATGACAGAGCAGTGGGCAGCTCAACACAAAGAGATCCACTTCTCGTCCATGCACCCAGGCTGGGCCGACACGCCAGGTGCGTTTGTGCACATAACATATTTGCATTTGCACTTTTATGAGGACAGTTTAATATCCCGCGCTGTGAAATGAGGTTTTTCATTTGACTTTTTAAACTAGTGGTGGGAGAAAAATATCAATACAACATAGTTCATCAGTTTAAAGTTTAAATGATACAACATCTCTGTTTAATGCAGCTGTTGAGAGTCATTTAGAGTGGTTTGGTGTGAAACGGTTGATTGTAGAGACTCAGATCTCTTTACAGTGGTGGTGATAGGAACCAGGGGTCGCCATAACTACAACACTAATATAGTCAAATCAAGTCAAGTCAAATTTATTTATATAGCGCCTTTTACAACAGATGTTGTCACAAAGCAGCTTTACAGAGAATCCGGGTCCCCCAGTGAGCAAGCATTGGCAACAGTGGCAAGGAAAAACTCCCTCAACAGGAAGAAGAAACCTTGAGAGGAACCAGACTCGAAAGGGGAACCCATCCTCCTCTGGTCGACACCGAATAACAGCACGGACACAAAACAGTATAAGTGGGTACAGTTTTATACCACTGTGCAGTGCGCCGGCCGCATCAGATCCCCCTGGGACGTGATTGAGTGGTGTTCACATCAGACCCTCTTAGGACAGGCAGCCGCTCAGCTCAGGGAAAGAGAGGGGGGGATAAGGGGGACAGATAGTTAATTCAGCACCGACTTTTGTTTACCATCCAGAACCACCAGTGAACCTATATGTGAAATATGTTCTCTTGTGTTATAGTATTTTTCCTTATGGTGCCCTGCATGCGTTTCCCATAGCTTGGATAGGCAGTTTTCGTTGTACTGTGTCAACACATTCTAATGTGATCTGAAGCTGCTGCCGAAGCTTTTATTCATCAGAGAAACCGTGAGAAGTCATAATATTTTTCAAAATGGTGAATTGTGCTGTACCTTGCTTCAGAAAAAAGTGCAGGGAGTATGATTCAGTGCATTTTTTTCCCACCGGTTGCAGTCACCATCTCATCTAAGCTCTTAAATAAGTGGCATTGTGACACGAAAATCATTGCAACACAGTTTTGGTAGGCATCTCAATTTCCTTCTGCCTTTTTTTTCAGGCCATAAACCTTAACACAGTGTAGGCAACGTATCTGTAAACACCACCACTTTGAACAACTGTGACTTGATGAGTTTCTTTAGAACAGAACTTTTCAAACCAAACCACTCTGAATGACTGTTTACATCTCAACCTTTAGGCAAAAAATTTGGAAAAATTGGTGGAATTCCCCTTTAACATGTATTAAGCCCTTTGGCTAACTAATAGAGTACACAACCACAACATAAAGCTACAACACTACCAAACCAAACTATTGATGTTCTTGTTTTTTGGCTGCAGCGGTGCAGTCGTCCATGCCAGATTTCCACGCTAAGATGAAAAATAAACTGCGCACTGAGGCGCAGGGGGCGGACACGGTGGTCTGGCTGGCTGTTTCGGATGCTGCCGTTAGACAGCCCAGTGGCCTCTTCTTCCAAGGTCAGCAAACATATTCTGTAGCCCTTTTCTCAAACAAAATAATATATTAACCATATATTTTATGATTTTATCACTCTATCAGGCTCTCAGTGAAAAAGCTCACTAGCTAATTCCACCCAGCGTCCACATGATTAGTCTGTTTATAGCCTGACCCTTACCGAGAGCTATGAATGCCCTCAGGCCGATAACTGCGTAAAACTAATATTTAATGCTGAAACCTTATAACACTATAAGATTAATGTAAAAAGTGTCTTTTTTCTGCTGTTTATTCTACTCTTCACCATAATAATGGGTTTCTCAATGCTGTTATTGCATTTATTCTGATACGTAAAAGACATAATCTAACAATAAAGGCAGGAGCTTCTTTTACACAGGAAACACAATAGAACACGAAAAGCATCATGCTTGTCCATTTTACTGTGGCAGTTTTGACTTCTCTTGCTTTATAAATAGCATTTTGCTGCTGTTGGAACAAACGTTTTTCAGTTTTTGACATAATTTGAAAATACCTGTTGTCTTTTACATTGTCTGTAAATTTCATGATGACTGGACCAAAAGAAACGGCCCAAAATGGCTTGGGAAAACGCCTGGTTCCATTGACTTATATTAAAAGTAAAGTAGGTTTTTTCCTTCTCCTGTTACCATTTTGGAGATACGAGATTTTGTGCAGTTTGTTTATCTGTGTACAGCTGCTAATTTCCAGTAGCACATCTGTGAAATTTGCAATGTTATGATAGCATCAGGGTAGCAGTGGTGTATATTCACATTGGATGGTAGCTTTAGCTTGAACACATACATTTGAAGCTTGTAACAGATGTTTTTTTTTTATAAATCATTTAAAGCTTATTAGAAAATATATATTTGACCAGTCTTAATATCTGTTTGGACACTAGTAGTCTTTGAAGTAGCGTTCAGATAGAAAAACATGTTTTGACCGTTTGAATTGCGCAAGAATTACAAGTTTAAAATTACCACAAAGGAGTGTCTGATGACGGACATATAGCCAATTGACTACAGTTGAGGTAAGGAGGGAAAATTTGTTGTTTGTCAACTTTCACTTCAGCCTTGGTCTTCTCCCATTACTCTGCAGACAGAAAGGCAGTGTCCACCCATCTGCCCCTGGCCTTCTCCAGGTCCTCTCCTGCTGAGGAGGCGAAGCTCATGAGCACACTGGAGCAGCTTGCGGAGAAGTTCAAACCATGAGTTGTGATGTAAGAAGTTATAAGCTCTCTATGGCGCAGTATCTGAAGGCCAACCAGGACATTTTAAGGGGAGTCTGAAGAAAAAGCAGACACATTTGAGGATTCTTCTGCAGGTCATCCATCATTCCAGCACTTAAACTGTCTAATGAGTCTGGATTCCGTGTTTTTATTCTTGCCACAACACTAAATCTTTATTTAAGTCTATGTTGAGCTGCTAATGCTAGCACTTGAGAACATTTCTTAACACACACCAAGATGCACTACCTGTCCAAAAGTTTGTAGACAGCTGCTCCGCCAAAGTTTCTTCTGAAATCAAACGTACTAATAGTGGGTTTTTCTAACTTTGCTGCAGTAACAGCCTCTACTTTTCTGGAAAGGCTTTACACTAGATATTGGAACATTGCAATGAGGATTTGATAGCGTTTAGCCATAATAGCAATATCGTTAGTAAGCTCAGGTACTTATGCTCGGTGATTAGTTCTGGATCCCTCCAACTCATCCCAAAGGAATTTGGATGGAGCTCCATCACTCCAGAGAATGCAGTTCCACTGCTCCACATCCCAGTGCTGGTGGGCTTTATACCCCCTCTGGCTCACACTTGGTGTTGGGCATGGTGGCCTTAGGCTCAGGCAAGCTGTGGGTGTGCACTTGAACACCTCTCTCCGCAACTTAATAAGTGAATTCACTCAGTAGAAGGGCAGTCTGGATACTTTTGGATATACAGTGTGCATCCTCTTAGGAGCAAATGGACAAAACCAGTGCTTGTTTACTCATGAACAAATTTAAATTTTTATACATTTGATATACTATGTTAGATGATTTACTTTTGAAGATGACATAGCCAGAAAAAAGAAGCTCCACACATATTCTAATGGATCTAGTGGATGTTCTTTGTATACAGCCACAGATTTCCACCAATAAAAGGCAATTAAAACTATGTTCTTGCGAAAAGTTCTTTGCTTAAGATGTTCTTAATGTATGAGCTGTTGTCTGTTGACCCTTGCCAGAGCTGATGGGAGGGGAGAAAATTTTACAGCCTGTCATTTTAAACCAAGGTGGCCCAAAGTTGCCCGATGAGGACATTTGATTTGCTACCCTTTTCAAGACCAGTTTTAACCTGCCTTCATCCACTTGGGCTCACCATTTACCCTCAGAAGAGCATTTAATGGCCATTCCAATACTTTATTAGCTAAAGAGAAGTGTATTAGACAAGCCCTTCAAGAGCTGAGGGACCAGTTGAATCCATCGATCTGATACATTTTCATTTTCAAACACAAAAATAATGGCAGACAAAGCTGTTTAGAAGCCAAAGCAGTAAAATACTTCAAATGTTAAAAATCATAACATCAAATTTGCCAGGCTTTAAGTTACATACCACTTCATTTCTTATTCATGACTGCTGATAACACATCACCAGAGAACTTGTAGGAGGAGAATTACCACTGTGTAATGTCTTCTGGGTTTCTCGACCACTAGAGGGTGCTCATGAGCGAGTCCAAAATGAATGGGTTTATATGGAGCGTTTGAGCAAAATCATAGTTTCTAAATGCTTAAGCATTTTTAATGTAAAAGAATACAATCATTTCCTGAACAGCATGAAACATTTTAACACTGCTGTTATATTTTTTAAAGCTTTTAAACTCGAGTTATAGGAGTTTAAAATGGCACCTCTTGTACGTTCATGACGTCAGTGTGTGCGAACAGCCGAGTCAGCACTCATTAGCAGTAACGTTAGTGTCCTGCTGCCCAAAACCCGTTTGCTGTAGAAAAACGGAAACATCCAGGTGAGTTTTCTTCGCTTTTTTAGTGAAATCCATCCTCCTACGTTCTAAAATTAAAGGAAAGTTCTGGGCGAGTGATTAGAAACTATTTTAACTTTGTTTTTTTAATCCGTTTAGCTCCATTTACTCCCATTAATTCAGGACTCGCTCGCGGACGCCCTCTGGTGTTTTGCAGTCATGTTTTTAATATAATGGGGGAAATAGGAAGTGGCCAGGCTCCACATAATCTGGCTCTGACATCACTCTGCTAGCTTGCTAGTTAGTATGCTAAAGGCAGTATGCCACAGTTCTACATCTTTGGAGCAGCTTTCTAATCAAAGTATGAAGCCAACTTACTTGAAAAGACATTTGGGAAACGAAAGTCTGGCCATAAACGTTTCATAAAAAAAAGCCTACTTAAAATCTTAGGGAGTATTTAAGGCAATTAATTTAGTTTGAAGGGGATCTAGTGCAAGTAGTACAGTCTCAGAAAAACTGTATTTGGGATGGTTCCTTCAAGATGTTTAGTACCTTTAGTTAGGGAACCATATTTATTTAACCCTCTACTGCACACATTATGAGAGCAATTAAAAATAATTAAATAAATATTCGATTCACTTTTCGTGCATAAAATGGCCCTGACTGTGTGTGCAGGGGTCCTTTTGGGGCATGTTGCCTGGGAAGAAATGATATAGAGCCGTGTTCCCTCAGGTGGTGAGACCTGGCTTGTGGCTGGCCAAATCCATTCCACTGTCGCACAATGTTGCTTCTAGGCAACAAACATATTCCTGCAAATTCTCATAACAAAAAAAGTGATGCTGAATGTTGAAAAAGAGGTTTAAAGGTGCCCACTAAGAGACAGTATAACCAAGTGCATGCTTTTTATTGACTTACTCAAACTTGAGTAAGTTGTCATTGTCTTTAAATATGCATAAGGCTATCTTAAAGTGAGGAAAATGGGTTTGTTGCCCTGAGGCAACATTGTGCAATAGAGGGTTAAGCTGCACTGACTCTACACGTTGTGTCCTGACTCCTGACTTATGCTAAGTTACAAAAATGCCTTTTTCTCCCAGAAAGAGAGGAATAAATATCTTTAAAACTAATTTGAGGTACACAGTTGGACCATAAGGACCATGTTTGAGTGTCAATACATTGTTTTGTATCCTGGGGGGACAAATATGAACCTGTACAGTCCCCTTTTTTCTGGCGGTATAGATACCAGTTATCTGTGGTGCTTTGTGTCATTAGATGTCTTTATCAGCCATTTAGGACAACTTTAAAACAAAATTTTCTCAGCCATGTGACTTGTTGGTTAACTTTACCAACTGGCCGCCGTGTTTAGCCTTGCTTACTCCTCCACACCTGCAGGAGTATGTCCAGTGTATGAATAAAATGAGGGTGAGCTGTTGCTCTAATATTTACACAGTTATTGTAAACAGACTGCAATTTTATGTAACTTACATATTTTGTGTAACTTAGTTCAAGTGACGTAGTCCTCAGTAAAAACACATTTAAAGTAATGAAATATTCAGATCTTAGACATTTACAAGGACTGTGTTGTGATCTATTTAAACCCAAGGCCTAATTGAGATGATGTTAAGCTAAATACATACAAAATCATCATTTTGTACTTTCTACTAGGAGGTGTTTTTCCCAAACCATAACCCCTAGATTTATACTTGTGAAAGTAGGTGAAGCAATTGCTTCGAGAAAACAGTTCAAGTCTATACAGGCATCAGGAGGGTCAGTGGCATGCAGGTGAGGTTTGCAGAGCGTTGCACAAGACTTGACTGAACAGTGAAGTTTTTATTGAATTCAAGCACTTAATTCAGCTTTCAGATCTGAGAATAGGCACAACCTGAAAGCTGGTATCACAGCCTGCAAATTCAAGCACACTTTGTCAACAACTCAAGCCCTCAGCAAATCCAGGCAGTTACAGACTGCAAGGGCGCAGTCAACATTTACATTTACAGCATTTGGCAGATGCTCTCATCCAGAGCGACTTACAATTTGATCATTTTTACGGAGGTAGGCGAAGGTAGTGTTAGGAGTCTTGCCCAAGGACTCTTATTGGTATGGTGTAGGATGCTTGACCAGCAGGGATTGAACCCCAATCTACAGCGTAGAAAGCAGAGGTGTTACCCATTACACTATACCAACCACTCCTCAACAGCTCATCGGCCACAGATGCCTCCCTACGACCTGAACTCAAGTCGTTCTATGATTGCTTTGAGATCAGCCAAGCTCAGCTGACCAGTGAAGCCTCAGCAGAAGAGAGGGTACTCATGCTGTCTGTAGACGAAATGGGGAGACTTCTGTCGAGCGCACACCCACGCAAAGCTGCCGGACCCAATGGCATCCCAGGTCGGGTCCTGGAGCCTTTCCCAGCAGTCACTGGGCAGAAGGAAGGAAACACCCTGGACAGGTCACCAGTCCATCACCACACGCAGACATAAACAATCACACACACATTTATACACCTAGGGGCACTTTAGCAAGCCCAGTTGGCTTGACTGCATGTACAGGGAAATGTATCATCAGGTTTGTGTGTAGTTTCATTGACGATTTGGCTGCCGCACCCAATGTGCCTCATCAGGCTTTCTGTGGCAGAGACGCCACTGATGACAAAGTTGAATTGAGTAACTTTACTCTTGCTAAGAAACATACTTTTGTCCATTTCAGCTGGTTGGGGGTGCAGACTTCTCTCTTTACAGGAACCCAACATGAGTCATCTATATAAAAAAGCCTAAAACATCCTGTTTAAACACAGGGGCCTAATGGTAATCACGATACCTGAGTATCATTTTGTCTTAATCTTGTCCTATAATGCGGCTGGTAAAGACATCTAATGACACAGAGTACCACAAACAACTGCTACCTACGCTGTCAGAAAAAAGGGCTCTGTACAGGTTCATATTCATCCCCCCAAGATACAAACAATGTAAATGGACCCTCAATGGTACAGCATGGTCTTTATGGTCCAACTGTGTACCTGAAATGAGTTAACGATATTTTCTCACTTTTCTGTGAGAAAGGGGGCGGACTCAGTGATGTAGGAGTGCTAAATCATGTGTGTTTTATTGATTGTGTTTTTATTTGGATTGTTAAAACAGAACGTATCATAACAGATATGCACAAATGACCAACACAGCATCCACTGATGCACACCCTGCTGTCTTTGCGTTTGTTTGTTTTGCTGGAAGAAATTTATGCAAATGAGCCGAGCACCAACCAATCAGGTTGTTGACATGAGGTGGGGAAACCACTTGTGTCACCGCCACTGCTGGGTCTTCACTATGCTCAAAATATTTAACAGTTCTATGCCTTTGATATTATTCTGTTACTGTTTTTAGTTGCAGTTAAATAGTGCTGAAATCTGGGGGTGCTGCAGCCCCCTCAGCACCCCTACTTCCTGCATCCCTAGGCATACTTGAACCTTTTCACAACAGTACAAAGTCTGGAGTCAGGACTGGGTGCCTGGAGTCAGTGCAGCTTCAAAAAAATAGTACAAAATGTGGTACAATGATGTGGAACAAAAATATGAACCATTTCAAGATTTTGTTGACAGTAAGTGAATAAATGTAAGTTTGACGACTACAGGGAGATTCACTCAAAAGAGGCCCTGAATATTCTGTAATAACTCTCGCTAGGATGAAGCAATCTGAACGAAACAATGTACAATGAGCTCCTCAGTATATGGAGTTTCGTACAAGCCAGGATGCCCCTGCGTTGGAGCGATGAGGTGGACGCCGGACAGCCGTCATGACGTTTAACCTCTGTTTGCAACTTCTGGGTGCAAACCCCCGTACCCCTTCATATGTCTGGCAGAAAACGGAGATCGCTTCTAGCATCGCATGTAATGCAATTGATTACACATACACCAAGGTATGTAGCATATTTTTGTGGTTCAGATTGCTTCATCCTAACGGGAGTTACAACAGAATTTTCGGGGCCTCTTTCGAGTGAGTCTCCCTGTATAATGGGTTCATTAGGCTCTTATCTGTTTTAACTGCCTTGGGGATACAAATATGCCTCTCTTGGTCACAGACGGCCTACAAATTTGGGTAGTATCTGGCGTATCCACCATTCATCTATAGCAGCACATGTCAAAGTCAAGTCAAAGTTTATTTATATAGAGCTTTTTACAACAGGTGTTGTCACAAAGCAACTTTATAGAAAAATCTGGGTCCACACCCCAATGAGCATCGCCAGTGGCAACAGTGGCAAGGAAAAACTCTCCTTGAGAGGAACCAACACTCAAAAGGGGAACCCATCCTCCTCTGGTCAACACTGGATAGCAAACACCATTAGTATAAAATATGAGAATACAAAACAGGGAAAAACAGGCCGAACAATAGTTAATTAGATAGTATGAGATGACGCAGCAGCATCATTAGGAGGGTCAGTTCATGCAGGTGAGGTTTGCACAGCGTTGTACAGGGGCAGAGGAAGCAACAGCATCAGTCCGCACAGGACGGGCAGCTGTTCAACACAACAAAGAAATCACATCACATCACCTTCGCATAAAATTGATCACCCTCGCATAAAAACCCGATCTAGAGCGTCTCAGAGATTTTCAGGGGGTGACATGCATGGTGAGTATGCAGGCCATGGAAGAACTGGGACATCTGAGCTGCCAGGAAGATTCCTGTGAAAGGTGAGTTCATGGCGGGTGATGAATGGTTCCACAGTGAGCCTCAGGATCTTTTCACGGTGCCTCCACGTTCTTTCAAACTGCCATTAATGAAATGCACTTGCATTCGTAGGGGGCAGTTGAAATTCTTCCTGAGTTATATGTCATAACCGTTGTACCGGTTTACCACAAATAAGCACAGATAACGCAACATGCAAACCACACTAATGCTATCCCATTTAGCTGAACGGCTAATGTTGTGGTCACGTTTCAAATGAAAATGAAAACGCAGCTCACCTCCTACTGTCTAGTCCAATTCATCTAAATCAGTCCACTTTATTTCTGAGGCAGTGGACATAAAGGATTGGCCAATGGAGGCCTTTTGCCCACTCAAGTTTAGAGGCACTATTGCATCAACTTGCAGAACCAGACCACAAAAAGCCACAGTAGGTCAGATGTGGTCTGTGGACGTTTCAGTGTGGTGTCACTCAAGCATAGGAGGCTTAGCCTATGCAAGTGTTTCCTGACCATTCCTCTTTTTATGGGTATCATCAGGGACTGGGCATAGAAGCTCCTGGCCTGGGCTTCCGTTCCAGCCAGCACCCCTGGGTATCATCAGTATCATCAAAACGAATCATATCAGACCAATTATAGTCAGCCTGTAAACGACAACAACAACCAGTTTATAACAGTTCTTAAATAGTTCATTTGTGCAAATGTCTAACAAAAATATCACGTTAATGATGCTGTGTTTCTGTTTATCGTCCAGCCTTACGTGTAACGACGAGCCAATCACAGCGCAAGAAGCGGAAAACGGGTGGGAAAAAAAAAAACAGCGGCCCATCGAATGCTCTAATATGGGCAGATGTTTTTTTCCCAGGCGTTTTGGTCATTTCTTCCTCGCCCTTGAGAGAGAAGGTCCAGCCTAACGGTGTAGTTCAGAGGGATGCTGGAAAACATGCTTTTCACCTTCGCCATTTTAGCAGTTTTTGCTGTAGGTAAGTCAAAAGGTTTCTTTCAGTTTAATTGAACCTGTTAGAGTGGAGACACAGCAGAAAAGTAATGGAAAACAGTGCGTCAGGAAACGCTTTTGGGGGGAATTTGGGAAATTACATTTTCTTTGAGGAAAAAAAACGACTGAAGTTGGCTTTTTCGAATTCCACCTTAAATTTAAGGTGGAACGGAAATGCGAGTAAGAAGCTGGCGCATGTGAAGCGCTTTGTGGAGCTGAGAACGTCCTCTGAGACACCTTTACCAGCAAAACATCCACTGTACACAGTTCTGTAGTGGAATAATTAACAGTATGAACCATTTTGAGTGCCTGTGTGTCCAGACCCTGCTCATCCAGCGTCTGTTATATCACCATCGCCACTTTAAAGGACAAATCCACCGAACTTTTCAAATTTTCTGCATGATTCAGTCGTTGAGCAGAGTCGTTCAGGGTGATTTGATATGAAATGCTTCACTGTAGTGAAGCTAACTGACTCAGGCTTCTTTACAGTGGTGGTGATAGAAACCAGGAGTCACAATGACTACAACACACATATAGCCATTTCATTTTATTTATTTATCTAAAACCACCAGTGAACCTACAGGTGTCTTTTGAGCGTTTATTTGGAAAATAAATACTCTGTGAAAGACGTTGTTTACATCTTAACTACTGCAAAAATATGCAGAAATTTATAAACTCGGTGGAATTCCCCTTTAAAGGGAGTCTGCTTCTTGCTATTAATTCTATTATACCCAAAACATGACTGCTGGAGGGAGGCTGAGATAGCCTGCAATGAATGGGAGAGAATGCTAAATGGCTAAAAAGATACATGAACGCCTTCAAGTCCCAGGCTTATTACATACTAAGGCTTATTATTCAGCAACTACAGGGATTTCAATGCAAACTGGCTAAGCCATTCTTAAGTTATAGTGTGGGTACCACTTTAAAACAAGATTTTCCTTATAAAGTGTTCATGAATGGTTAAAAATGAGTTCATTAGTGATTATTAATTAGGTCATAAAGACCTCAAAATCATTAATGAGCAGTTAAAACACAGATAAAAAGGGCAACAGTGACCTGTTTGCTTAATAGTTAACCCACATACAGTTCTTCTGTTAAACCTCAGATTTTGATGTTTACTGATCTTATTTTGTCTTCTCCATCACATTTATTGTGTTATAACTGCTTATTAATGGTATTTAAAATGTTTATGACCTAACTAATAACCAATAACAAACTAATATTAAATCATGCATAAATGCTTTATAAGGGTAATCTTACTCTAAAGTGGTACTGAAGGATGTAATTAAGCTTTGGGCCCACCTGGTGGGCTCTGGCCATTTAAGGGGTTAAATATGTTAATAGTCTTTCACGCAGGACTGACATCATCACTATTAATAAGGCACTGTTATGGTCGTATAACTGGAGTGGAAAAGTGTGAATTAGCATTATGTAAATGATAGAAATCTGACAGAAGCTTTTTAAAAGAAAAATACACTGGATTACCAAAGATCAATGTTTTTTTCTGCAGAAAACAAAACATACAACCAATTTTGATGCATATCTTAAAGAAAAAGATTAAAAATGGGTGGAAATCAGTGCACGTCTATGGGGAACACTTCCAGGAAGTATGTGGTGCTAGAGCAGTGGCTTCATTAGAGTGCCCTCTGCTGGCAACCTAAATATATACGGTATATATCTATGGCTGAAATTCTGTATGATGTTCTGTTTAAAAAAAATAACAGAAATTGTCTGTAAAAAAAAGTAGGAACCGTTCACAATTGCACTTTTCCTCCAAAGGCCTTCCTAAACTTCATAAACATTTATTTTGGGCTCGCACAAGCCCCATCTTGCGTTTAATCAACCCATAAGGGCTCACCGAGTGGAGGTTCTCCTGAGTGAATTTTGTCACTATTCTGTAAACATGTCTCTGTATTGATCAGTGGTAGAGCCGAGTGCACATGGCAGTGGAAACTGAGTGTCTAGCGGTCAATTTAATGCACACTTTGGAGAAATGAGTATAGCACAAAAAAAATAAAGTGGCGTAGCTCTGAAGTCTCTGTTACCTGATTGTGCATTCATATTGTGGCATATTCAGATTTAGCATTACACTATTTTCAGATCCAGCTGATGCAAAGTGCGAAGTATGTCGAGCTTCATCATGGGGAGAATGCAGAGGCAACGTGACGGACTGCGGCCCAGAGCTGTCCTGTGTGTCCTTCGGCGCCAGCCTCAGTGAAAGTGAGGCCATTTCTACACAGTTCTTCTTCAAGAACTTCTTTCATTTGTCCTATTAATTATTTCTCATATTTGAAACAAAGTGTACAGTAAGGGCCTGACTGATGTATCAGTGATATTGGGCAAAACTAAAATATCGCTCAGGCCCTTATTCTGATTTTTCAATCGATACCACATTTATGTCTGTAAATAGAAGAGAGAAAAATGGACAAAAGTATGTACGTAATTCAGGATTCAAGATGGCCGCTCTATTTTTATTGATAACAGTGTATAATACTCATGAGTGTGATGAATTAGATGGTAGTTTCAGTCTATAATCTCCCATTGCTTGTTAGCCACATTAGCCTCATAGCTCCCGTGCAAAACTAAGGAAGAAAACTGTACTGTAGAGTGGCTAACGGAGCTGCACCCGTGGTTTTGTTGAAATGATTGCAGGGGGAGGCCAGGAGACCACAAAGAGGGTGGGCAGGGGGTGTGTGCACACCAGCCTCTGCAACAAGGAGCTGTCCACTAACTTCAAATATGCGCAGTGGAGAATACAAACTGGATGTGACGGTGAACCAGAACCACGTAAGGCTAACACCACTCAGCCCCTTCATGTTAATGCAGGTCCATGCTAATCTCCAAACCGTGACAACATAAGGTCAAAACATGGGGAATAAACTTCTTTTAGCATCCTTATAGGATTCTAGTAGTTTGTTAGCGGTGAAGTCAGCTTCTTATTCAAATTCAGTTACATTCTGGACTTCTGCACCGTTTTAAGGTGGAACGGAAAACTGGAAGACATAGACACTTGAAGCTTCTAAAAGACGTTTTACGTGAAGCCTGTGACGCACATATTAGCATATATTTTAGCAGTTTCACTGTGACTCTTTCAGTAGTGAGCGCTGGTACAGAACTGCCGCCGCCACTGTTTTCCATTTCTAACAACCCACTGATTAGGCTGCTGCTTGTATTTAGTCAGTGACGTATCTAGAACCTCCAAAAGGCATAGAGTGACCTTTTTCTCATTACATTGGTCCCACCTATTGGAAATCAAAAACATGATTGGTTCTTCTTAACATGTTAGGACTTTACTTTAGCTCTTGAAGTCCTAACCAATAGGAGAGCTTGCTTAGCTATATCTATATAGATTCCACAGAGAATATTTTTTTTTCTTTTATTTACATCCTAAACTTAACGATGAAACAAGTATTTTTAGTACCTATAAATTATTATTATTAGGCCTTCTCTGAGGACTACCTGCACCATAACAGATGCTAACCATGTTTCTTGAAGGGTAGAAATTGTACTAAAAGTCTTCTTAAAGCTGTAAGATTTTTTGCTATAATTGAAAGAAGTAGCATTAGTCAGGAGGGGTACTGAACATCCCTGTTTTTAAGCCACACTATGTAAGATTTGAGGATTTGGAGACCTCTGTGGCACAAACGTGTTATTGCATGCAACGTGTGGAAGACGATTTTGTAATGTAGGTTGTGTTTCGGACCCCTTCCCTGAACGGACGAATCTGATGATTGCGAGCGAAAGAGCGTTAAAAGAAAACTTGGTAAAGGACACGTCTCCCAGGGCTGTGAGTGAATGATCTACTGTTGCCATCATATCTTCATGTTGATTTTGCATTTAAAATCTAAACATTGAGCCAGACCTTCTTTTGGAGCCTGTGCTTGTGACATGGTCTGAAAGACTCCCATGAAATCCGATTGTACTGTTTTTTCCTTACTCAGTAATGCTACTTCTTTCAATTTTAACAAAAAGTCTTACATAGTGCAGCTTTGACGTTTAGAGTTTGATTATCCATGAAGTTGGTTTAGCCATTGCAGCATCTTGTAGTTTGGATGTTTCAGCAGCTGTTATCAACAGAACTACTGCAGATACGTTACCTCCACCTGTCTCTCTTCCATTCAGGTCAGTGGAATGCAGGACAGCCGAATGGCAGGAAGTGTTTTGGCTGTATTGCTGCGCCCTTTGAATGCACTAAAATTGTGGAGTGCAGTGGTGAAGAAACTATGTGTATCAATGCGGGAGGTAAGTTAAGTTCCACTTATTAGTCCCACAACAGGGAAATTTGACTTCTGCATTTTAACCCATCTGTGCAGTGAAACACCCACATATGCACTAGTGAACACACACACCAGGGGGCAGTGAGCACACTTGCCCGGGGGAGTGGGCAGCCCTATCCACGGCGCCTGGGGAGCAGTTGGGGGTCTTGCTCAAGGTCACTTCAGTCACGTACAGTTGGCTCAGGGGGTGGAACCGGCAACCTTCCTATAGTCTTTGTCATGAAAACCCAAATATTTTTCTCCAAATAATTTTGGAGCTTTTCTATTGGTCCGTTCACCACAGTGCATCTGGCACTTTGTAATTAAGTATCTATAATAACTGTATTTTATATTACCAACCCCTGCTATTTTTCAAGATCTGTTTAGGCAGGGCACAACTGACTGCCTCTAAAATTATGGTTAGTGCACCTCTCATCCAATCATAATCATCTCTGAATGTTCCTTCCTTTGGAGCTTTGGCAGAACTCCTCACAAAAAACCTGCAGTGAGAACGGGGGTGGCAGTAAATTAGAAAGAATTATGCTAAGAAATGGTGGAAATTTGTTACTGACGAAGTTTTGAACTGACAAAATCTTTACAGCTCAATGTCAGAACTATTGATGTACAGAGTTAAGTCCTTATAGGAAAGTCTGTTCACTCAGTGGCCATCTTTGCAACGCCACAGGGCAGTTATTTCCAGCCATACAAGACCAGACCTCTCTCTCTATAAATGGGGAGAGACCAAAATACACAAAACTAAGGGTCAAATTATTGTGCAGAAATATATTTGAAATCACTGATAAATTCTGACAAAAAAACCTCATAAATAGTTTGTAGCGTTTGGCTCAATAACACACAAAAACATGATTTGTTGTTCTGGCTACATCACGAGTCTGCTTCACAAACCTTCACAGAAATCATGAATCAGCAAGCTGGTTGGCTCTTTTTTTTGAAGGGCGGAACTTACTCTGTAAACAGATGCTATTTTAAGCGTTATGAGCGTTTTAATTCACAATTCAACCAGCGACTGTCTCCTCATTTATAACAGCTCTGCTTATACTGGCTCCATGGCCACTTTTAAAAAGGAAATTTTTATTTTTTTAAAATACAGACTCATTTTTCATTTTTATTTTTAAAAATGTCAGTTCCCGACTTTGAAATTTAGATAACATTGTATTACTGGAATTTTGGTCCATTTCTTTTGGTCCATTCATCATGAAATTTACACACAATGTAAAGGACAGCAGGCATTTTCAGATGTCCAAAATGGAAAACTGCAAAAATGCAGATACAAGGTTTTGTTCTAACAGCAGCAATAAATATAATAAATTGCGTATCAAAAGATGGGCCACAGTCTGTAACTGCAAACCCACAAAATGCACCTTAATGGTGGGCGTAGACACAAGGTAGATATACTGGTGACTCTGTGTATTTCGTAGTTCCAATATTAGAAACTATAAAAAGTTGTTATTTAGGCCACATTTATGTAATATCGTTAATAATATTTTTTAGATGATGTCACTTTTCAGCATGATAATCAATGGATGAAATACTCTGTTTTTTTTTTCAGAAATAGTTGCTGGGAACCTGATGGTGAACAGAGGTTGTGCCACAGAAAGCATGTGCAAATATGGCGAAAACGTCTCTGAGATTTTGGGTACGAGGGTAGTAGGCAGTGTTTCCTGTTGCAAGGAGAACCTCTGTAACCACAGTGTGATACTGAGAGACCCACCTGCCCTACACTTTTTAGTGCTCCTGCTGCTGATTTTAATGCTTATTTGATCAAACCTTTAACCATCCTTCTTTTTCTACTTGGGTCATTTGAAGAAGCAGAAGTTAATGTTGCTTTATTTTATTGTGCCTAATTAATTTCGAACCCAGAATTGAGCCCTGTGGGACACCACATACATACCGCATTATATGTACTGCAGTATATCCAACAGCGCTGGTCCATGTAAAAGGGAGAAACAAAGCTTTCTGAAGCAGCAACGCTTTCCTTAAAAAGTGTTTATTATGCTAAGTTTTTCAAAATATTGCTGTTAATGTGAACCATTTTGAAAGTGTTCCATGTGATTGTTAGAACCGCAGCAATTAACCAGCTGGGTCCTAGCGTGTGCTACTTTTGGGCTAAAACTGTTTACAATCTGTCCTTCAATTGCTTTGACAACATGTTATTTGTTTTTTTAAAAAAATAAATAAATAAAGGTAATTAGTAATGTAAACATGTCATTTGGTTCTGTTACATAATGAGTCACCGTAGAGGCTGCTTCTAGAACCGGTAACAACTGCTGAATAGCATGCATAACCTTACGCTAAACCGCTGTAGCCTAAATAGTGTGAATAGATGGATATATAGTTAGGTCCATAAATATTTGGACGATAACAAAGTTATGGTTATTTTAGCTGTCCAGCACAGCAAATTGGAGTTGAATTAAATAACGAATGAGCTCAAAGTGCAGACTTTCAGCTTTAATTTGAGAGCATTTACATCCACATTTTCATGTTCATCCATTTTCATACAAGACCACCCATTCTTAGGGGCTCAAAAATAATTGGACAGTTGGCTGCTCATCTGTTCCATCATTATTTCGCTTACTAAGCAGATAAAAGGTCTAGAGTTGATTTCAAGTGTGGCATTTGAATTTGGAATCTGTTGCCGTTAACTCACTATGAAGGTCAAAGAGCTTCAGTGCCAGTGAACCAAGCCATCATCAGGCTGAAATATCAAAACAAATCCATCAGAGAGAAATAGTAAAAACATTGGTGTGCCCAACCAACTATTTGGTACATTTTTCAGAAAGAAAGAACACACTGGTCAGCTCAGAAACACGAAGGCCCAAAAAACGATGGAAAAAACTGTGGTGGATGATGGAAGAATTCTATTTCTGGTGAAGAAAAACCCTTCATAACAGTCGTCCAAATCAAGAACACCTTGCCAGGGGTCGGCCTGTCTGTGTCAAAGTCAACAATAAAGAGACGTAAAAACTAGAGTACATCCAGAGGGTTTTAGCACAAGATGTAAACTAAAATCAGGGTGATCTAAAAAAGCCTGCGCCGATGCAGAACAACATCTTACAGACAGATGATACAAAGATCAACTTGTACCAGAGAGATGGGAAGAGAAGACTAAGAAGGGAAGGAACTGCTCATGATCCAAAGCACACCATCTCGTCTGGTTGTGCTATTATTTAATACAATTAGTGTGCTTACATGCACTTAATTATCCGATAACTGCATAAAACCAGATTTCAGTAATCTGATCAATGCATTTACATGCACTGGAGTAATCAGATAATGGGGAAACTCCGGGTCTACATGAGTCAGGCAGTAATCGGATTTCTGCTTTGCAACCAGCCAATAAACTCACAAGACGTGACGTAAACAGAACGTAAACCTCAAACTTCATGCAGCAGCTTTGTTTTTAAAAACACCGCACCACTTTACCTGAAAATGTGGAAGAATGTGAGAATGTGATGAACAAACATCATCTGGAAGATGAAGAATATTTAAATCCTTCATTTCCTTAAGCATGCAGTCGTTTTCAGCAACACTCCAAAAGTGTTTTGCTGCGTCTCGTGGCGACGCTGCTCGCTTATTTCTGGCACCGCCGTCTGTTTACATGCGCAGACTGAGAAATCAGAAAGAAATCAGAGTAAGAGTTTACATGCACTGAGAAATCAGATCACTGAGCTAAAATCCAGCTAAAAGACCGCAGAAACTTGACAACTCTTGACGATCGCCCTTACAGGTATAAGCCTTAATCCGAATGTCAGCAGAAGAGGGGAGGGTTTTTTTTCTGTGCACGCTTCTCTGCAAACAACATATTCCATGAATGGCTATCATAGCATAAAGTCACCACAGGATGAACAACAGGACCCTTTTGAACCGACATTCAGAAACATGTATGTTCTGGAAGTTAGGGCTGCTCTTATCTGTTTCTTTGTCACTTGTGAGACTGACAATCACAGAGAGGTGAGTTTCCTGTTTCAAACTGCACCAGAGTTTTCACTTGATCGCAGAGTTTTACGTAAAAAGGGTACAACATGTTTGACAAACACATACACTCAGTAATTTTCCACTAACACTGAGCTGAATATATGGTGAACGCATAGGCAAAAGCATCAAATCAGTACAGCTACATCTTTACTACTCATCACTAAATAAATCAATTACCACAAAACAGAAACTGAAAAGCATGCAGGAGTAATATCATAAGAAATTCAGATGGCATTTTAAGTGTAAATTCAAAAGAGAAATTGCATCCAACTTGATTTTCTTCTCTGCTGAAATCTTGTGGTTTGCTGTATGTCAACAGAAATGGCTTGTGGCCGATGTTTTTCTGTTTTTCGTCTGCATGGGCATTATCTGGAGAGCTTACAGGAAGTGGAGGCAAGACCACAAAGGCTGCATTTGCCTACAAAGTAACCTACTTTTGATTCCGTAACAATCAAGTGCAATGTTTTTGCTATTCCCTTAATAAATTTTTAGTATGCACTATAGAATATGGCTAAAAAATACTGTAAGATATGCATAGGAACATTTCCTATGTCTATTTCTATTCTGCTACCGCCATTCTACTATCACCCCATTCAACAGCTACCTCGAGTCCATGAGTGATGAGGAGTGCCATCATAATCTGCCTAATGAAGCTGCTGAATATATAGTTACATGAAAGTTTTCAGCTTCATCTCTATCTGTATCATCTGTATTGTACCACTGATTATTATGGACAGTAATTTTGAAACACCTTTCTATTTATCAAAATCAATAATCAACTGTCATGTCTGTTACCTAGCAACTAACCATACGCACACAGCTGAAACCATGGACCACTGTAGTCGTGCGTCATTCTGTAGTCGGCGCCATGCTCTTATGCCCATATTAGGAACTCCGGGTCTAAGCTCTGTTTCTCTATGGCCAGAATGAATATACGGGTATACCTGTAAATATGCGCTATGGTAGATGATCTTGATAAGGTAGCACAGCTGGTCAGAGCTCCACCACAGCCCGCCTTAGTTTAGTGTAGCTTAGTGACATCAAACTGATGCGCAGTAGCTTTAGCTCGCATGTAGCAATATTAGTATTATAGCTCTTTAATGACCTCGTAATTCAGAGGATCCAGTGGTATTCAGGAGAAAAATGTTCACAGGACAGAACGTGTTCAGATCGGGATCTGAACATTTTTATTCAACAGGGGGCGATAAAGGCGATTTTTCGAAAACACTATTCATTCTGACCATAGAGAAATGAAGCTCAGACCCGGAGTTCCTAATATGGGCATAACGAGGACTACAGAATGGCACACGACTACAGTGCTCTATAGATAGCTGTGTTGCCTGTTGAGGTGATACTTCTGTGCGTCCACCATGTTGGAGCGGTCAAGATCCGCTTGTGGACAAATTCACTTGTAGTGAGAGACGATGAGTCTCAGGATTAAATCAGCCACAACTTCCTTATTACTCAACTGATTATCACCAAATTTGTTTTGTTATAATTCTCAGACACAGATTAATCCAGGCTGCACGGATCTGCTCTCGGTAGCTTTTATTTCTTTAATAACTGATCGTACTAATTAGCCGTCCGGACCAGCAGGAAAGTATTCAGTCTGCACCTGATGTTAAAAACCGAGTTTAGCGCGAGAAACACAATCAGACACATCAGCAAATCCATCAATGTGTGAATCACGTCTAATCTTAATACACATAACAATAAAATAAACCCCACAAAACACAGTAAGAAGGACGAAGCTAAAGTTGGCTTCCTATTCGTCAGCTTCTTCTTCAAGTTTTCCCGTTCCACCTTAAATGGTGCAGCAGCCACTTTCTGGTGCCTGAAGCTGCACCATTTAAGGTGGAATGGGAAAATTCTAACAAGATGCTGGCAAATAAGAAGCTGACTTCAGCTTTGTGTAAGAAGGTTCTAACGTTAATCTGTTTTGAATATCTACATGGATTAAGGAATGCTATAACTTAGCTACTAAGCTTTAACCATCATTGTAAATAAATAACTACTACATAAAGCTAAGACCCCCTGAATAGACTATTAAATGAAATAAGCTTAATATAAAACCAGAGGAAGAACAATCACATCAACAGGTTCTCTGTGCATCACCACCCACACGGCCACATCTACAAAAACATCACACAAACAGTATGCATCACACAGACATGAGTGTGGATCGCTGCGTTCCCTCCGTTATATAATCCTATCCCACTTTCTGAGTGTAATATTCTTGAAATAGTATAATATTGGACAGTGTCTTTCTTAAACTATCTAGTACCAACTCTGAAATAATAAATTATACTTATGTACAAATACCCTAGACCAGTGATTGGGCACCCCTGGACTAAAGAATTCATGAAAGTCCTCAATAGTAAGCAAATATTGGTCCGCTGGCTTAATAAGGTCGGCAACCCAAAGACTGTTTGCCACTGCTGATCCACCCTCGGACGACCCAGATTACTGTCCTACATACAAGCTCTAACTAGTTTTTAATTTCCTTAAACTGATTTTAAATGCACAGAGACTTTTATTTTAGAAAATAAACTGAGACCAATATTACAAACAACTGAGAGAAATGACTAGGCTTAATATAAAATGATTTTATAGAAAATGTTTCATTCAAATGATTTTCTAAACTAATTTAACTAAAGAATGGAAGGAAGGAAAAATCAGTAAATTGGACTGTGAGTGGAAAATGAGCGATGATAAGTGGAATTTTGTCCAGCAGTCTACAACAAGTGGGCTGCCCAGAAAATGCTGCGCATAACACCAGTGGACCACCAGCTATCAGCAGGCCAACAGTGGACCACTATCCTCTTGCTATCAGGGGTGTTCAACAAAAATGTGTTTACCAATGGAATTCAGCAACTGCCAGTCTTACACCGTGCTACTGTCTCATCGAGCCAGTTAGAGACTTACAACCAGCTTGTTTAAGTGGTTATCATTGCCTAGAAAAGGTCTTCAATTTGACTATACACCTGTTCTTAGTGAAAAATCAGCTTGCAACCAGTTGGTGCAACCATCTTAAAGTCACACCCATAAAGTTGCACCAAGGTGTAAAAGCCCTGTTGGTGAACCAGCCCAAAGATATGCTTGCATGGGGATCTGTAAAAGCAAAACCTGATACTTTGTCAGAATAGAGGATGCCCATTTTCAGAGGTAAACACAAATAAAAACGCTGTTGAAGATGAGTTGGACCTTCAAACGAGTTGAAGAAAAAAGTTGCTGCGTCGTTGTCGGCAGTGATCTGCAAACTGTCTACATGTTTGGCAGTATGCTTTAGTTTAGGATGTATATCATCACCCTTCATGTTCCAATATTACATTTGATTTTGTTTTTACTACAATAGTGTTGTAATATTGGAATATATAGGGTGATGACTGCATTGCTATCAGCAATAGGCTATAACATCATATCATGCTACTGATATGTTAACACAGTAACCTTCTAAACAATAACAAATAAATGATGAATGATTTAACTTTACATTGAGCCATCACACTTAACAGAAATACTTCATTCAAGAGGGTGTGGAGAACGTTTTCTTGGAACACTTTGGGCCCGTTAATACCAATCAACGATCGACTGAATGCCACTTCTTACTTCAGTATTCTTGCTGACCACATGCATTCCTTCATGGCCACATCCAGCATGATAATGCACCATGTTAAAAAGCAAAAGTCACCTCAAACTGGTTTCATGAACGGTGAGTTCAGTGTTCTTAAGTGGCCTTCCCAGTCATCGGATCCGATTCCAATAGAACTCCTTTGGGATGTGGTAGAACGGGAGATTCACAGCATTAAGAGCACCTGAAAAATCTGCAGGAGCTGCATGATGCAATGGACCAGAACCTAAAAGGAATGTCTCCAACATCTTGTGGAAAATGCCATGAAGAACTGAGGCTATTTTGAGAGCAAAGGGAGACCTTACTAAGCAATAGTACAGTTCCTAATAATGTGATCTGTGAGTGTAGATCAAGGGTGTACAACTTCGGTCCTGGAGGGTCAGGGAAACCACGAAACCGTGCTGGACACTGGCCCTCCAGGACCGGAGTTGTTTTGGACTAGAAACGTGCCTGTATGCAGTAAAAAAAGGACACTCCGTTGAGTGTCAAAAAATGTTCGAAGCATTTCAAGTTTTGCTGCAATGTATTCTGACGTGGAAGCACATCAACCAACAGAAGCATGGATGGGTGGGCTGGTAGAACACGGATGAAAATCCAAGATGGAGGAGAACTCGCCTCAGTTTTGTACAACCCCATTTCCAAAAGGTTGGGATGCTGTGCAAAATGTAAATATGTTATTGTTGCTATGATGTGCAAATAATTTAAACCCTATATTTCATTGGAAATACTACAAAGACAATATATCAAATGTTGAAACTGAGACATTTTATTGTTTTTTGTAAAATATTTGCCCATTTTGAATTTGATGCCAACAACACGTTCCAAAAGAGTTGGGACGGGGGCAACAAAAGGCTGTTAAATGTGTGTAATGCTAAAAATAAAAACACCTGGTGGTTAATTGGCAACAGGTCAGTAACATGATTGGGTATACAATTAGCATCTCAGAGAGGCGGAGTCTTTCTGAAGTAAAGATGGGGAGGGGTTCACCACTCTGTGAAAGACTGCACCATCAAATAGTGCAACAATTCAAGAATAACATTTCTCAACGTAAAATAGCAAAGAACTTTTGCTTTTCATCATCGATGGTACATAATAACATTAAAAGATTCAGAGAATCTGGAAAAAAACTATGTAAGGGACAAGGCAAAAACCAGTATTTGCTGGCTGTGATCTTTGGGCCTTCAGGCAGCACTGCATTAAAAGCAGACATGAGTCTGTAGTGGAAATCACTGCATGAGCTCAGAAACACATCCGAGAAAAGTTAAAACTCTAAAACTCAAAGACGAAATCATATATAAAACAGGATCCAGAAATGCTGCCACCTTCTCTGGGTCGGAGCTCATTTAAAATGGACTGAGGGGAAGTGGAAAAGTGTCCTGTGGTCCAATGAATCAACATTTGAAATTCTTTTTGAAAATCATGGACACTGTGTCCTCCGGGCTAAAGACCACTCAGCTTGTGATCAGTGCACAGTTCAAAAGCCAGTATTCATGATGGTGTAGGGGGCATTAGTGCACATAGTATGGGTGACGTGCACATCTGTGAAGGCACCATTAATGCTGAATGATATATACATGTTTTGGCAACATGTGCTGCCATCCAGACAAGGCCTTATCTGGGACGGCCTTGCTTATTTCAGCAAGACAGTGTCAAACCAAATTCTGCATGTATTACAACAGCATTGCTCTGTATTAAAAGAGACCGGGTGCTAAACTGACCTGCCCGCAGTCCAGACCTGTCAGCCACTGATGACAATTGGCACATTATGAAACGAAAAATATAACAAAGGAGACCCTGAACTGTTGAGCAGCTGTAATCCTGTATCAAACAAGAACAAGAAAGCATTTCACTTTCCAAACTACAGCAGTGTCTCAGTTCCCAGATGCTTACAGAGTGTTGTTAAAGAAGAGGTGATGAAACACAGTGGTAAACAGGCCCCCGTCCCAACTTTTTTGGAAAGTGTTGTTGGCATCAAATTCAAAATGGTATATTTTTTAAAAAAATAATAAAATTTTTCAGTTTCAACACTTGACTTGTTGGCTTTGTAGTATTTTCCTTTCCTTCCTGGTTTACTTGATTTGCACATCATTGCATCCTATTTTTATTAACATTCTTCACAGCATCCCAACATTTTTGGAAATGGGGTTGTACATGGTCCCTGACAAAATAAACATAAACTAACCTCAAGTCGTGACAATGTTCTGCTTAGCGAATTATCTTTACAGCCATGCAAATCCAGTAATTCATACCCATTTTACCAAAAGAAATCAAATTTTGCACGGTCCAGTTTAAACTGGATTTAGCTTTTACTGATCCAAACAGGTGGGCTTCACACATAAAGTGTGACCCTTTTCAATAATTATTACTACAGCTAAACAACATTCGTTTTAATTTAGTGTCAAATCGGCGATCCATGATCAACTGACAAAGTATTACATAAATTAAGTACATATGAGAAAGGCACTTCAATGTGAGCTTTGTTTTGTTCACACATGCCACATGCCTAAAAACAATACGAACAGTTTGATTTGCATGTTCACAGACAATAAACACAACACTAGTTTTTAAAGAGGGTAACAAAGTTTAGGTGTTTTTCACAGGATATGATTAAGCAGGACGTGACTGGCCCATTTTAAAGGAACAGTTCAGTCAAAAAAGCTAATGTTGTTTACAATAAATTAAAAAGAAGAACAGCCACCAATTAGTACTGTGCCAGTGATGTCATGCTAACTGCTGGCCATTAGCTTCCATTCACTGATAGCCACATTAGCGTGTTTGGTCAAGCTATTCTTTTCACATGACTGTACATGGTCCCACATGTCGCTCTCTCACACACACACACACACACACATGCACACATCCTGGGTATCTCCTGTAAGTGTCCACCCTCTGTATCAGTGCTAGACTTTTCCTTGAGTTCAGTTTGTCTTTGCAGGCTGTTTGAGCTGATCCTGTAGAGGCTTTTCATCTTCTCAGCAGACAACATCTGGGTCCATGGTGAACTCTGTGTATCTTCTCCATCCACACAGAGCTTGTGCTGAGTATTGCCATGGTGTCAGCATCCTCTGGTGTGGGATGGTCACCGCTGGCCAAGGTAATGGTCACTTTTCAGGATACCACAGGGGTCATATCCCATAACTACAGAAATACAAACACATAAAATGGAGATATTATTATTTTATTCTAATTCTGATTGCAGGAAAAAACCTCTTTGGCCTTGTTCAGACAGACAACTCAAATCTGAATTTTTGGCATTTGCAATTTGAGCTGGACAGTGTTGTTAGGTTTACTAAGATGCACCCCTATTTAGTCACAGTATGCATGCATTTGTTGTTACTATGGCAAACAGTGTGGATATGGGAGCAAATGTGGCTACAGTCTGAACATACAAATCAGATTTGATCAATTGCAACTAGAAATTTGAACAGTCAGTCTAAAAAATCAGATTAAGAAAAAACAAATCTGTTTTGCCCTGCAGTCTGAACAAAGCCTAGATGTCATAGAACGGTCTGTATGTGTGTGGCAGTATATCGTTGTCTGAAAAATAGGAGAACAAGTGGCCAACAACATCTCTGTTTATTCTGATGTTTAACTTTTCTACATCATTTGAACACAGCAGCTGCTTTTCACATTGTGTGAAAATTTCATGATGAATGGACCAATAGGAATGCTCCAAAATGAATAAAATCTCTTTAGATTACCTCTTCACTAAAAGTTAAGAAAGTTTTTGCTTTCAAATTTAACTTTTACATTAAAATTTAAGAACGCTTTTGCTTTCTCTTGTGAAGTTGATATTTTGGATATTTTTTGGACAATATGCAGTTCTGCTAGGAGTCATGATGCATTAATCTGAAGGTGGCTTCTCAACTACACTGATTTTGCAAAGTCAAAATCATTTTTAGCGACAAATATTTAAAAAAAATGTGCTAATTTTTGCCAAAATAAAAATTAAAAATGTAAAAAAAAGTGTGTATTTTTTGTGGCTTGTTTTCAATATTTTGTAGATTTTATACACTACCTGTATATTTGATGTATTTTAAAGTAATGTGGAATCAAACCAAAATAAACTGAACCAAACTGAACTGATTCATGGTAAAATCTGAGATTTCCTGATGCGCTTGAATCATTTCTAAAAGTCAATCTTAAATCAGAAAGGACCTTGTGAGTCATGTCTCTGGCCATATTAAGCACAAGTCATCATATCATTTAAAAGACAAAATTCTTGTCATGTTTTTATTGCCCCACCTCTAAAACATCAATATAATTATTGCTAGCATGTATTTCACTCCACTCACCTTGATGACCCTGTCTGCTCCAGAGGTCAGCAGCCAGCTCCTGGTCGGCTCATAGTGCATGTGCACGACGGCATGCTTGCTGTCATGAAACGTTGCGGTGGGTGCCCGTCTAACAAACGACAGAAATAAATAAATAAATAAATAAATAAATACTGTGGGAAACTCACAGCACACCAGTCCAGCTGGGAGCTGGGTTTACAGGAATCACTCTTGTGCTAAATAAATATAGAAATAAATAATCTAGAACATATTCTCTCTCCTCAGCATGTCCTCAGACATTTAAGGAAGCACATTCCCACCAGACAGAAGGAAAAAAGCACACAGGTTTTTTCCCCTTTATTTCGTTTCTAGCTTAGTTTCTCAAAGTTACATTTTCTAAAGATTTAATATTTTCAAGATTTGCTATTAAGATGAAATTCCAACTGTGTTGAAATACCAAAATTATGTAGTTTTTGTTGGATGCCCCCTCATATGTTGCATAGTAGAAAGTGGTTATTTTATTTTCATGATACAGTTATGATGCAGCTCTCTCCTGCTAGAATTCACAATGCTAAGGCTTCAACAATCCAAATATGGGAAAATCTGGCTAGTGAGCAGTGTTACTGCAGTGCTGAGAATGATCCACCACCCAAATAGTACCTGCTCTGTGAGGGTCCATGGGGGTCCTGACCACTGAAGAACAGGGTAAAAGGGGGCTAACAAAGTATCAGAGAAACAGATGGACTACAGTCTGTAACTGTAGAACTACAAAGTGCACCTATATAGTAAGTGGAGCTGATAAAATGGACAATGAGCGTAGAAACAAGGTCATAATGTTATGCCTGATCGGTGTACATTCAACTAAAGGTGCAGATCAGTGGAGACTGTTTTTAGCTAAGCTGAGTTACTTTTTGTCCATTTTTATAGATAATAGTGTGTTGTACAGTGTCAGAAACCACATGAACCAGTCCATTATAGATTACTTAACATTATAGACTACTTTGAGGCAAGTATGTTTTGATTTAGCCATGCAGTTAGCACAATGCTACATTAACTTCCATTACTTGTTAGCTCCATTAGCCTCTTAGCTTCAGTATATAACTTGGAAGCAAACTTCAGACCCCAAACATGCCTTAGCTGGTTGACTACGATTGCAATATGGGGGATAATGGCAGGAATTAGATTAAATAAAATAAAAAACTGCTTTACAGTTCAGTTAATGGATTAGCTAGCACAGGCTGTTAGCAAGCAATCAGCTTCTGTGTAGAATAAGGGTGCGTTACAGTGGGAAGCAACTGGAGGTGTAACTCACTCTTCATCAGTGATGGACTCGTGGCAGCTGTCGCAAACCCGCACCTCAAACTCGAAGCCCATGAGCGGAATGGTGGAGCGCTTGGACGAGCATTTACCGCACACGGCCTGCCCGCACTTCCTGCAGTGATGCTTTGGAAAGAAAACAACAGTCAACAATCTTTACTGATGCGCTACGGCGCTGGTGGTTTTTAAATTTACCTACAAACAATAAATCATATTGTAAATAAAGTGCAAGACAAAAGGTGCAAAGAGGAAAACATTAGAACCCCAAATGCTTATAAACAAGGACATAATGTGTAATTAGAAAATGCATCTGAATGTGGTGACGGCATTGATTTTAGAAGGTTATAAAATTCTCCAGATGTTTTCTCTCTTCCTTTTCAGCTAGCCAATAAGTTAGCCTAGCTAACTTAAAACACTGAGTATTTGTTCCGTGTTTCTCACTAAAACATAGGTTTCAGGTGAAGCCGTTTCCACTGCAATGAAGCAAAAACATACTGCAATTTCTTCAGATAGAACATTAACAGTCTCGTTGTGTTCATATGAGTACAAGCATCTACACATGTACATAAAAAACGAGCATCGTTTGCACTGCTCCAGCACAAAACTCCCATTCTGCCTGTGGCTCTGATCTAAAATGACCGCTCAGCTATTTTAGCATGAACATTAAGCAGATTGCTTCTGTTTTTATTTTAAGAAATCAGTGTTTTACTATATAATTTATGAGTTATAACTTTAAAAAAATAAGTTGTCTACCCTGCTTTCAAGTTTTACTGCTTTGGTGTTACACTGCCCCCTAGTGTGCACAAGCAGGACCTTCAGTTTTAAAAGTTATACAGTCGTGCATGTAAGTTTGGGCGCCCCTGGTCAAATTACACATTTTGCTGATTTTTTAAGTGAAAATAAGTGAACACGTCCCCTACAGAGAACACATTTCTGCACATTTTAATGCACACTTACTGTTTATTTGCTGAATTTAACATATGGGAAAAATAAGACAAAATGTGGTATGTTCAAAAGTTATGGCACATATTATTTTCTACATTTTATTTTCATCAATATGTTAAACTCAGCAGATAAACAATAACTGCATTAAAATTTGCAGAGAAATGCTATATTTAAGTTTGGTCCCTGTGTAGGATGTGACAACTTCTTTTCACAGAAAATTATCAAAGCATGTAATTTGATTGAGTGTATATAACGGTACCAATTAAACTGAAGGGGAAAATTGAGTGAATGAGATTGTATATGGCTACGTTTACACAGCAGGTAAAAGTGGCCCAAATCTGATCTTTTTCCTTCATATGTGACACAGATGTGTGTCTGTGTGGCAGGAAAAACACATTCAATCTGACAGCTTCAATTCCGATTTGAGACGTTTTCACAAATCTGATATGCATCCGATATGCGTCAGTGCGGCTCAGTCTGAACAGCCAGACTGGAATTCATGCGACTTTTATGTCAATCCAACTCAACATTCATCATGATCTGAGACTCATAAACATTTGGGCTGATGTTTCTGTACAAAAATTAGAAGAGACTCATCACAACCGCTCTGCGTTTGAAGAGATTTTGAAAGAAATGTCCGAACGCGGCCGTAAGAGAACGAGGCTGCAGCGTCAAAGAACAGTTAAAAGTCTGAAAGCAAAGTTTAAAGAATCCGAGGACGCGAACCAAAGAAGTGACCGCACCCTTTTTACGGCGAGCTCGGACACATTCTGGGTGATGAGCCCAGCTGTCAGTCAATGAAGCTTCATGATGGCTCCTGTGATGCTGGTGAAGATGAAGCTGAACCCTCTGGAAGCGACTGGCGTTCGTTGGCAGTTATGACTGTTTACATCTGGACGAGCCATGTGAAGCATTAATCTTTTGCGCGTGTGGGTCAGTTTCAGTTGATCTGTCCAGACTGATGGCGCAAGATATTGTGAACAGCCAAATAAAAAACTCGGATTTGGTGAGAAAATCAGATTTGGGCCACTTTTACCTGCTGTGTGAACGTAGCCTATGTGTGTTTTGTGGTGGTTACCTGTCGCAGGCCGATCTTTTTGCTGTCCCACATTTGTTTAAAGTTCCAGAAAAACGGCTGTTCGCACCTCTGACAGGAGTCGCTGTCCAGCCACTCTGGAGTCTGAGAGGGAGTGCCCAAAGAACACACAGCGTTTAGTGGGAAGACACACAAACACATTACAGATTAGATAACACTTACATAAAAATCTATTGTATGCATCTCCCTCTTACCCCAAATGTAGTGGATCAGCCAAGACATGTTTGATATCACAAGTCTCCTTCTTAAGTTGTACACTGGAACTAAGGGGCTAATGTAGCTAACAAGTAATTACCATCATGCAAGCCGCATCCCCAAATCACTAATAGACTTGCTTATGTGTTTTCTGACACTGTAGAACACAGTTATCTTTATTACATTCAGTTATTAATGTGTGTTTCAAGATGGCTGCTACTATTTTTAGCTACTAGTGCACACACTTAAGCATGGTGTTTCTTCAAGGGTTCTTTAGTAAAGAAAATAGAGAACCATGAACACTCAAAGAACCCTTTGCATGATGAAATCGTTCTTCAGATTTATGGAGAATGTCCTGTAGATGGTTCTATATAGAATATTTTCAAAAAGGGTGCCATATAGCACCAAAAAGGGTTCTTCTACTGTGTCAAGCTTGACATTGTAACAATAGAAGAATCCTTTTCTATAGAATCCGTGCTATATGAGACCCTAGAACCCAAAAGGTATATAGACCCATATATAATGTATTCTCGGTAACACTTTACTGTAGGGTGCTGTTTATAAGGCTACATGACACCTACGTAAGCTTGTCATGACAACTGACATAATCCTACATAAATGCTTATTTCAATAGGCGTCATCTCTCATAAAGACTGCTTTAGCAAATTTTGATCAAAACTGGCAAATGTAACCTTTATAGCGAATGACGCCTATTGGAATAAGCATTAACATTTATGTATGGTTATGTCAGTTAACATGCCAAGCTTATGTAGGTGTCATAAAGCCTTATGACCAGCACCCTACAGTAAAGTGTTACCGTATTCTCTATCAATCTGAAGAACCATTTCACCATGCAAAGAAGCCTTTAATCATGCAAAGGGTTCTTTGAGTGTTCATGGTTCTATATGGAACCATTTTCTTTGCTAAAGAACCATCTTTTTTTAAAAGTGTACTTTAGGCCATGTTTACAGATGACAGTGAATCATACGGTGTGAAGGAATGATCTGTTGCATTATGTGCTGTATGTAATATAAATTACAGTATTATGAATTATAATACATGTGTGGTCTGTGTATGTGTGCTTATGCCACCAAGAACATACTGAGCGGTTATTTCTGTCTGTCAACATGCTCTCTTTATTTGGTAATGGTCCAAGGACAGCTATATGCCTGAGACGCCTATATAAACACCACTCTTTGAATGTCTCAGTCGGTCAGCCAGTTGTGTCTGTAAATAGCCTGCAAGACTAAACATCTATCCTCCAGACTCAAGGCTGATCTCCTGTTTCTAAATGGTGTATATAAACTTCTATTACTTGTTAGCTACATTATCTTTGTAGCCCCACTGCAAAACTAAGACTACATTTGGGGTAAGAGGGTAAAACTGTGAAGTTGCAGATTAATTCGTCGTGTTCTCTCTCACCTCTTGACGTGTAACGTCCATGTTCCAGACGACGATTCCTCCATCAGAGCCGCAGGAGATGAGCTGGCGAGTGTGGGGAGCGTAGCACAGTCCCTGCACCTTCTCACTGCACACACAGTATTAATACGCTGACTTAAATTATGCAATTATACAAGCACTATGGTCCTCAGTGACCAGCTGACATACAGTTCAAAGCACAACAATCCATAAGCCTAAATATATTATTTACAGGCATACTGTCTGATTTATGCTCCAGGATCTAAAAGGGCCTTTATATCCTACATTTCCCATTTTCGTCCCCTAAGGTAAGCACAGCGTTTTTGTTGGCATATGCACTAAAGAACAGTCATAATTCATTTTTACATGACTGTTCTCCAACCACTCTATCTCCTCAGATCAAACAGGCTGTTTTTGTAACTGTGCCTTTAAGCCTGATGCATGTAAATGAGCTCTGTTCAGATTGGCTGCCCTGTGTTGTGCCTCATTCAAAATGCAGTCTGGGCTGAAACGCTACTTGTAACTTCAGTATGAGTGGGCGGGGTTAAACTGCTGTAGGCTGAATAGGCGGATACGTGCAATTATGTTATTATTCGTGACATCACAGAAACAGCTGATTCAAAACAGGCAGCTTAGTTTTCATATATGGAGTGTATGGACTGAGAAGTGAGTGATACAATTTGACTTTAACAAAGTTTAACATACTACATCAAACTCTTATTTGGGTTTTCAATTAAATGGGCCCTTCAATTAGGCCAAAGTATTGGACCATAAAACTGTAAAATGCCATTTTCAAGGTATCTAGAGGTTTGGAAAACACAGAGGAAGACAAGATTACAAGAATAATTTACAAATGCTTGTGATAATTTGTGTGGCAAAACACAAATTTAGATCATAGATGCACCACAGCTGTACCTATAATAGGTTAAACCAAGGTGGGGTTGATTAAACAACAAAGTGCAGTATCTCCTTAAAGTTTGTTCAGAAACATTAGATTGAACTGATCTTTTATTAAGGCTAAAGACCTGTGTTTTTGTTTTTAACAAAAAAATATGCATTTACTGAGTTAATTGTGGTGCTTTGGCGCCTCCTGGTGGTGTCTCACATTGATCATCTTAAAAACTGATCCTAGCCAAACTGACATCTGAACAGGCCTGACATCAGTGGGTTATTTAATACAGTAGGTCTAAACCTGGAGGTCTCAAGATCATTTTGGAGAACGGTGGGATGGTTGGTAAAAAAAAATAAAATAAAAAAAAAGTCTAGCATCATTCTTTAGTTTGCATTATGCCCATGTTAGGAACTCCAAGTCTAGGCTGGAGAAAAATGATGGGATTATGGCTGTCGTGCCCGGTGGTAAACAAGAAGGTACCAAAAATTAACTAACCAACAGTTTAAATTTGATTTCCTCCTTCTTTTAACGCAGCATTTATACTGTGTGTAAACGCTGCAGTTCTGTCCATCAGACTGAAGGATTTTCTGTAATGAAAGGCTCGTCTTATGTGCTGTGATATATTATTTTTGACCGCAAATTAACCTCCAAAAGAAAACTGTTTTATCCAAAATACGCTATATATCTCACTTCAATCTTAGTACTTTTTTGTAGAAAAAAAAAGTTAAATGACTGAAGTGAGATGTTGTGAAGGGGACAATCAACAGTGAACATGGCAGGTGAATGAAACGTTAGGAGTGAATAACTCTAAAGTATTATAATATGGAGGCCTTCCTGACTCTAAACAGTGGTTCACTGGTGGTTTTTTGGATAGAAAATAAAATGGTGCTGTAATTGATTGACTTCATATCTTAGTCACTAAATAAAAAAAATAATAATACTGTGTTTATTTTAGTATGTCACACTTTAACATGAAGATCACGCCACAACTTTTAAAAAGTCGCAGTAGAATTATATCATGGTGCCTCCATTGATTCCCACCCCACTACAAAGCTGTCCCTAATGTGCTAAACCCCTTAACCCCAACCAGCAAACCAGCACATCACCTCTACCACACAGACCCTGTTCTATAAGCTCTCATGAAAGATCCAGGGAGTTTATCCAGTGCAGTTGTGTCACGTTACTGGTGTGACAAAAAGTCAGCCAGACTGTCATATGAGTAAACAGCGGATGCTAGTTTCTATTTTGGTGTGTGAGAACTAAAAACATTACTGTTGACTAATACGCTCTTATATATACACATAACATGCTTTCTGACTGACTATAAAGGGTCCATATCCTACATTCTATGCATTATAGTTTTCACTAATGCTATTTCAAAAACATAGTTTATTTGTAGATGACCTTTTTTTCCAACCTCTCCTTAGTATTAAACAGGCTGTTTTTGTTACTGCGCCTTTAAAACCAATATATGTAAATGACCTCTGTTCTTATTGGCTGCAATATATTGTGCACTCGTGTCAAAAAGCAGTCTAGGCTGAACCACTCTTTATAACTACAGTGTGAGTTGCCAGGGCTAATCTGCTGTAGTCAGAACAGCTGAATATATGTAAATATGTTACATAAATATATGTAAATATGAATTTAAAAAAAGGCTGTTTTGCCCATTTTTGCACAATGTTTACATACTACATCAAACTTATGTCTAAAAAGTGACAAATTCAGTTTTCTGTATTAAAAAAGCTCCTTTAAAGCATCAGTCAAGTTGTGTAGGGACCATTTAACTAAAACAGGTGGAGCTGCAGTTTCACAGTAAAAAACTGTTTAAAAAAACAAAACAGTAAGTATTAAGAACTTAGATCTTTACAAGAATTATGAATTATGTTATGACCTATTTAAGCCCAAGGCATTAACTGAGAAGCTAAATATACAAATATACAAAATCCTCATTTATAGGGTGCTGTCTATTGACAGGTGTCTGTCCCAAACCCTAATCCCTAAACTTACACTTGTGAAAATAATACTCACATTTTTTAAGATCTTTTTGAGTTCTTTCAAAAGATTTACATTTATGATGAGTTTAATTTTGAAATAAAAATGCTGTCCCACGTTTTCATGTCACTACTGAAACACAGAGTTTTAGTATGTGGGCGGAGCCTTATTTTAGCCACGGCCCCTGCATTATAGAGTAAGAAGTGAGGCTGCATCCCTGTCCCTCACAGACACATGGTGAGGAGTTAAATCTTGAAGTAAATGTGTCCCAAATTCTGAAAATCAGTGTGGAACATCAAGAATTGTCAGCACATGTTTTCAGCAATTAAGTAAACCTTTTTTGGTGTTTAATGAACATATAATGATTCTGTGTGTGTACAGCTGTTCAAAGCTCTGTTCGCTAATCATGTACAGGCCAGAAATTTTGAGTTCTGCTCAAAATTGTCACTACTGAAACAGTCACTACTGAAACATTTGGCAAATCTTCCATAGTGCTCTGCTTGTTCTGGTAGTGACAAAACAGAATGTTCCAACTTTTGTTTGATATAATAAACAAACTTAAGGTATAAAGTCACTCAAATCAAAAGGATTTTAGTCTGAATTCCAAGTCAGTAAAAACTGAAATGGGTTTTCAACTCTAACTTTGAACCAATTTGGTTGAAAGATCCAAATATGAACACATTTTTTGCCCAATCATGTAAGCCTTCAGCATGTGTATATGTAAATCTTACTTGTGTCCCTGCAGTTCAATGGCTGTGCCTTTCCGGCCCCCGATGTCCCACATAATTATGGAATGATCTGAGCTTCCAGAAAATAACACCCTCTGTACTGGATCCCAGCACAAAGCTGTTACACTACCTACAACACGAACACATTTACAATATCATTAAAAAACACAGAGAAACAACATCACTACAAAGGAAAACATTAGTATTTATACATGCACTGTTTACATATACAGTTGGATGCAAGTGTTTTAACACCCCCAGTCAGACGACAAGTTTTGTTCATTTTCTAAGTCCAACCCAAATGTTAAGAAGAGCCATTTTGTCGCTTTAACAGAAAAATCAAACCACCTTGGGAGCCACAACATTTTATGCCCATTTTACCATCTTGGCTGTAAATATGTCTCAGTATGTGCTGATGTACTAGTATAGGCTAAAAATATAATGTAAATAAAACGCAAACTTACTTTGCTCTGCTTTAAGCTTTTGCTCAACTAAAGCTGCTTTTCTCGCATCTCCAGCAGGAAACATTTCCCCAAAAGTGGAATAGGTTTTTGTAAAATGTCTCTCAACGTTCGACTTTTTATGAGTCTGAAGTCGCTTCTCATTCAAACAAACTTAATTAAGACATTTTTATGTTAATTTTAGCACATATATTCTATTTATTGTTTTTAATATGTTACCATATCACAAAACATAAAATGTGCCAATGTGTTCTCTGTAGAGGATGTTAATTATTTTCACTTAAAAAAAAAAACTAAAATCAACAAAATGTCATTTAACCAGGGGCGCTCAAACTCTTGCACATGACTGCATTTCTTTGCTAGTGCCTGCCTGTGAATGTGTACCTGTGTGGCCTTTGAAAGTGGTGACCAGACTGCAGCTGTCTTGTTCCAGTTTCAGGATGGTCACCTGACCAGAGTGGTCACCCACAAAAGCGTGTCTGGTCTCCACATCAAATCTGACAGGCGGCTTGTCAAAGAAAACCACGACATAGACACCACTGGGCCAGTAGAGTTTCAATGTGTGTGCCGTTAGTACACAAGTCACTTTAGTGTTCGTCAGTTAGAGAAGAACCTTCTGTGAATCCACACCAGCAGGATCTAACACACTAAGCTGGGAACCCACATGTGCTTTTAACAGCAGTTTGGAAAGAAAAATCAAAATCATTATTTAAAACTTGCTCTTCATACCAAGAAAGACACTTTGATGAACATGAAGCTGAGTGCTGAAGATAAATATACTAAATGTAAACCTTTACAGGGATTTTTTTGCTTACACTGCAAAGTAACAGAGAAAATCAAACATTAATCCTAAAATTTGAAAAGAAGGAAAGATGTTTTTAGGGCTGTGGAATATGACTATATTTATCATTGGCATATCGTATTTGAACACTGAACAACTGCATGTTTCATTACAAAGAGAGCACTATTAGTCGTGTGTCGCTGGAGATCCATTCTGAGAATTCGGTAGCGGCCTTTTAAACTTGTTTAAATCTGCTGCCACAGGAGTTATGTTTTGTGTGCATGTTCACGTTGACCACAGTGAAAAGTATCAGCATGTAGAACTGGAGCTCTCTGTGAGCTACGTTTGCTATCACTGTTTATACAGCAGTTAGTTCCGGCCACGCAAGCTGATTGGTTGAGAAGCGATCTAACTGTGCTGATATTTCACCATAACATCACGGTTTTTCACGAACACTATCACCCAGCTGAGACGACGTTGCTAAGCAATGACTTTGACAGCTGCAGGAGATGCTGAAGACATTTGAACGTTTTTACTTCTCACTTTGCCACAAACAGAAAATGGATGCTTTTAAGATCAAATTTGACCTACAGCTGATTTGGTCAGACTCTGAAGATGAGATTCGCCAGACAAAATGGGCTGTAAGATGCTTTACAGACTGGCTGGAACAAAACAACATTAATACTGATTTGGTCAGACTCTGAAGATCAGACTACACGTTTGGCGAATGGTCTTGGGTTCATTTCTGGCTGATTCCAGGTTGTTTAGGTTATTCTGTCACAGCTGCCGACTGAAAAGCTGCTCAGTGGTGATGACAGTTTGGGAATTTAGTGCAAGGAGCTGGAGAACGAGCTGCCGGCTGTGCAGCGAGTGGGCGGAGCTCGTTACTCTGACGTAGCAACAAGCTGCTCGTTAAGGAACTATAATTTGGTGAAGGAACTGAGAACATTAAAACATATTAAACGCCGCGTTCACGGCCCAGTTTATTAATTTATTAATTTATTTATTTAACTGTTGTATACAAGCAATAGACCACGAGAGGGAGTGTGTTATCGCCAATAACATCATGGCTGTGATGATCTACGGCGATCAAATCACAGCTGTGATGTTATTTCACGATAACACACTCCCTCTCGGGTTCTATTTCTAAAGCCGAAATCCAGAGCAACTGGTGGAAAACCCCTTGTTTTTTTTTAACATGTAAAAAAAGCCATGTGACATGGCTTTGGAACTCTTATCCAGCAGTCTGAAGCTTCTCCAGCAGGGGGTGCTATTAGAACACAAGTATTTGTCATTTAGAGAAGAAACAGCAGTGAATCCACATAGATGCATGTGTTTGCAGTAACATCTTTCAAAACCAGAGGTAAAGAAGTTTATTATCAAAAGATATTGAGTTACTCAGTATTATTTATGTGATTTCTGTTAAAGAATAGCATTAAATCTGTTACTGTCACTGTACTGACCATATTAAATGCAGCTGCAGAAGACAGTGTTCGTGTCTCACTGTTGATCTGCTGCTGCTCAAACTGTTTGAATTTTCATTACCATTCAGATTATTTGTAAAGTGTTAGATTTTGACACCTCATTGTAGACCTGTTTAATCTTTAGCTTTTTTAGCCTTTTCCTCTTTTGACCATTTCCGTAGCAGGAATTTTGGTGCATCCCTATTATTTATAGTTTTAATAACATTTTAATAATACAGTATTTAATTCAAGATACAAGGTTCAAGAGTTTTACTGTCATACACACAGTAAAACAGGTGTTTACACCGCAGAATGAAATTCTTTGCTAGTCCTCTGTTCACAAAGAAAAAAAACAAATGAGGTAGACAAATGAGTAGACTTAGTATTATAAATTGGTAAATAAATGTGGCAATATTTTTTGTCAAAGCTCAGAAAAGAACTAAACACTGTGATGCATATTGGATCATAAAAACGGCTTGAAGTATTGTGATATTTTTCCCACATTGCCCACCCCTGAATGTTCCCGCATTTTGGCAGGCAGTCTGTGTCTGTTAAAAAGGATACTGAAGTCCAGACACCCACGCAGTGGTTCTGTAGGTGCCAAGCTGCTGACCGCTCTCTGAGCAGTGCCAGGTAAAGCTCTTATCCTGTCCTGTGCTCAGAACCCACTCCATCTCCAACACAAATAACACCACAGTCACACCACCCTGATGAGCTACACACACACACAAAACACAAACAAAAACAATTTAGCATAAAGAGACACAAATCACGCACACTCAAAAAATACAGACCGAATGGTATAAAGCTGAGAAATATGGCCTGTAAAATGTTACCCCAAAGTGTTTTTCTATATTCATTATAGTCATTTCAGTCCCCGAAGTTCTAGATATTAACCAGGTTAATGTGAGGTACAAACTCTAAAGTGCTAGATAATTATTTTGGGTGATGTCGAAACAGTTTAACTAGATTTCACTAAAATGAAGCTGATAAAGGACTGAAAAGACTAATAGGTATTAAGATAATAATAACCGTTTGTGTTACTGCTACTGAGTGCCGATTGGTCGGCGTTACTGCTACTGAGTTCTGATTGGTTGGCGTTACTGCTACTGAGTGTTGATTGGTCGGCGTTACTGCTACTGAGTGTTGACTGGTCGGCGTTACTGCTACTGAGTGTTGACTGGCCGGCGTTACTGCTACTGAGTGTTGACTGGCCGGCGTTACTGCTACTGAGTGTTGACTGGCCGGCGTTACTGCTACTGAGTTCTGATTGGTTGGCGTTACTGCTACTGGGTTCTGATTGGTTGGCTTTACTGCTACTGAGTGCTGACTGGTTGGTGAGCTGATCAGCTCAGTGGCTGAGTGGAGCAGTTTGCCCTCACTGACATCAATCATGAACATACACAAGGCTCCGTAATAAACTCCAATAAGTTTGTTCAAAAATATAACAGCAGTGTTTTTAGTGTTTTATTCTGTTCTGTTTTCTGGAAACAAATTAATTATATATAAAATGTATATAAAAATGTTTAAGCATTTACAAACTATGATTTTGCTCAAATGCTCCCCATTAACCCATTTATTCTGGAGTCACTCGGGAGCATTTGACAAACCCGAAAGACATTACTGAGCAGCAGTTCTCTCTACAAAATTTCTGAGTGCTGCTAATGCTGGATCAGCAGAAAGAGAAGAGCATCATTTCATAAAAAAGACCTCAAATGTGCATCACTGACACCGAGTAAATGTGTGAGTTTTTTGTTAGATACTATGAACCAAACTCACCCTGATAGGAGCGAGCCGGAGTCATTTTATTGTAGTCTTCTGACAGGATGAACTCCTGAAAACACAGGAAACATATCACACACACACACACACGCACACACACGCACACACGCACACACACGCACATACACGCACATACACACACACGCACACATACACACACTGTATGTGCTAGTTTTGGGAAAGAATGCGTTGCAGTAGTTACACTGAGTTATATATTGTTAATGGTTACTCTTTGGATTGGTTTGTTTTGGCATGAATTTATAGTTAAAGCTGTTTGCAAATGTTGGCCCAGGTCTGCCCTGGGAACGCCTCAGATTTTACACAGAGCACATAAATATACCTGTGTTGTTTGCTTTAGCAAAGCACTAAAAACTCAAGCAGGTTGGGGCCTGAGGTAATTGTTTGAGGAGCAAAGACATGTTTGGTGCCTGAAGTTTGCTTCTTTGTTTTAGCACTGGAGCTACAAGGCTAATGTAGCTAACGTAATGGAAGCTTACAGCCACCAGGTTAGCATAGGCAGCATACCTAAATCTTCACATATGCTTGGGCCAAACAGTGTAAAGTTGTTTAAAAAAAAGAAATCAAAAAACAAACAAATAAACAAAAAAACACACGCATAACAACAACAACGACAACAACAAAGGTACTGGCTAAATTCAGCCTACAATTTCTCTGATATTACCGTTTTTAGCCATGCTAGCATACGCATAGCTTTTTATTGAAAAGAGTGTGTCATACAGTGGCTGTGACCAACATGGATGCATACGTGCATTTAGAGCACTTTTAAGAACATCAGCTATTTTGTCTCTTAGAGTCCAAATCGTAAATCGTAAAAATAGCATCGCAATTCATTACAACAACTGAATATATGCAGTGCATTATGTAAAGGACAGAAGAACGTTACGCTAACAGAGGCCGCTGAGCTGAAAACAAAACTTAGCATTCTCTCTTGACTCAAAAAAAACTGCAACTCTGCACAGTTAAAATCAAAGACCCCAACACGTTTACTGCCTCCTGCTCATCATACAGCAAAAACACTGAGTGCTAACTGAAGAAAAGTCCATCCACAGACCAGGAATTAAAAGTGTTCTCTAGACAAGCTTTCACATTTTCCTCGTCGCCTGCATTCTTCAAAAGGCCCATGTCTATGGCAATGAATAAGATGCTAATTTCAGCCTCGCAAGCTTAGTTTATGTGACTGTCGCAGGCTGATAATAAGAAAATGTCCAAATTCTTTTATTAATTCATGTGTTTTTACAGCTATTAAGTAAACTATACAGTCCACCATTATATAGCACAGGACTACTGAGGGAGTAGGGATCTATTTCAGTTACAGTCATTGTCAGAAACCGCATAAGTCCCTTTAGGATTACTTAAAGGACTTATTAGCACAATGCTAACAGGCAGCGTATGAGTTTCCATTACTTGTTAGCTACATTAGCCTTGTAGCTCCAGTGCAAAACTTTCAGAAACAAATTTCAGACATCAAACTTGAATTTATTATCATGAACTGTAGCCGTTCTTTGGTTGAACAAGTGCTTTAAGTTTAGGTCTGATGGGCGAGTCTCTGAGTGAACTTACAGAGACGACTCCGTTGTCCATCCCGACAGAAAGCCTCCTGGTCTCAGGGTTAAAAGACATACACGAGCAGGGAGCTGCAACAGAACCAAAGAACATGAGTGGTAAAAACGAACAGAGCAGGAATCATGCAGCCACTGGCAAGCGCTGTACATTACAGGTGTAACGATACTGATGTTCTTTTTTTTTTATTTGAGGGTCCCATTTTGTAGGGCAAGATTTCAACCACTACCCCTTGTAACTCAGTTAGGGTGACACTCGAAAACAAGGGGTAGGGGTAAAAAGAAGAAATGGGATTGGGCCTAATAGGCTGCACCCAGACGCCTAGCTTATATCACTGAGAGACAGAAAAATAAGAGATGCCCAGAAGAAGCGTGGCTGTACAGATTTACATTTCCATACACTACACATTTTCTCAATTTCGTAACTGTATTGAAATTATTGGTGTGAGTGTACAGATGCATGAGCACTTGCACACACCCAGGCACACCCTTTACTGGTAGTAAGTGGACTGTTTTGTAGCATTTCACAATCACAAACAAGTGGCCTGTCAGCAGGACCTGTGAGAGAGGAAGGAGTGCACATGGCTGAACGGCAAAAGTGATGAAAACAGCAGTTTTCTGCCTGGAAGGGTCAAACGAGCCTGAACACGTGCACCGCCTCACTCACTGCTGGGTGAAGGACTGGAGCATGCACTCTCTTCTACACAGCGCACTAATCTACAGCAGTCCTGCTGCCAACATGACACATTTGTACTGTCTTGTGTTGTGTGACTCAGAGGCCAACTATTAAAAAAGAAAAGAAAGAAATTCCTACATCAACTGAACAATCAGATATGGATCACTAGCTGAAGGTTGAAGGAACACTACCATTTCCAACCTAACTGCTACCGCAGCTGTAGCATACGGTCAATTACCACAGACAATAATTTCAACATATTTCCCTGAAAAAAAGAAGAGAAACCTGTTGACTCAAATTACACTCATATAGAAACCAAGTGGGAATTGCTGAATTTTATTCAAAGAACAGTTTGGTGAGCAAATTTTGCTTCTTTACTTTAGAACTCGAGCTACAAGGCTAATACTGCTAACAAACACTTGAACTCAATAGCCACCCAAATAGCCCAAACTCGTTTCTGTACAGATATATGACCAAAACTTCCCTCAACCCACTCAAACCGCATCCAGCTCTTTGTTAAGGTTGTGCAGACTTGCCAACATGGTTCAGAGCACAGCACGACTTACTGTGAGCTATAAAAGTGAACAGAACTTCACTGCAGCCATTTCAGACGACAACAGGGCCACAAGGCATGACTGATCATGGATCAGATTCCTCCAGATTTCTGATAAGCATTGTCACGAATACGGTCTCTAGATCAGCATTTCTACTCCTGATGTGGTTTGTGAATACAGATCCTGTTGTCTAAAGCGGCTGCCAACAACTCAACAGCCACCCAAATAACCCAAACTCGTTTCTGTACAAATATATGGCCAAAACTTCTCTCAACCCACTCAAACCGCATCCAGCTCTTTGTTAAGGTTGTGCAGACTTGCCAACATGGTTCAGAGCACAGCACGACTTACTGTGAGCTATAAAGGTGAACAGAACTTCACAAAACAGTACAAAGTGCAAAAATCCACAAATGAAATTCAGTAACAGCCTCTATTATAAAGGTATTTCTGTACTTTTCTAAGTATACAAAGTACAAAGTTTTTGTCCTCGGTAACTGACCAGACACAACACATGCTGCAGAATGAAAAACACTGGAATATTCCCTTAACAGTCATTTATTGCATGCAGCTAGCATAAGAAGATGGTCTGCACCTGACTGGTCAGCTGACTTAGAGATTTATCCTTGTGTTGTAGCAGTAAGAATGATAACTCTGAGTCACACAACACCGTGCAGACGGGTCATGTTTCAGTCTGAAATATTTCCATACACAGCTCAGCATAGATCAATATCAGGTGATGCGTCTCCACATTCTCTGCAGGTCTACACCACAATCAGTCAAAAACACTGTTAAAACAGTAGAACAAAATACAAGATAATACACAATATATTCCTGTTTTTATTCTAAACTGCGCATGCTCAGTTAAGGGGGAATTCCACTGGTCATTCAACATATATGCATAATTAAATGTTGAGATGTAAACAAAGTAATTTTGAGTGGTTTCACGAGAAACGCTGTTCTAGAGAAACACAGAATTGTTTACAGTGAATGTCTGAAGTGTTTAATCCCTTATAGAAAGTTACTACATGATATCATTATGAACATGCTGCTTCATGTCAGGGACATTGTTTTAAGATAGTTTTGAGAAGATTCTGAGTCTAACACAGATATTTAAAAACCCATTTATGGTGGAGGAGCACATGTAAAGTGTTGTAAGGCAAAACAGGCCCCAAAGAAAAAATACTTTTTTCAGAATTACCACATCAATGTTCCCTATAAAACCTCAGATAACGTACAGGTTCACTGGTGGTTTTGGTTACCACAGCCGTTGGTTCCCATCACCACCACTGTAAAGAGTCTCTACAGAGAATAATTTCACATCAAACCACTCTGAATGACTTTGTTTACATCTCAACCACTGAATTATGCAGAAATTGTGAAAAATTTGTGGAAAATGTAGTAGTAAAATACAGTAATCTGACCTACAGCAGCGTGAGCTGTCTATGACTGCATTTACATGCACTTAATAATCCAATAGCTGCAGAAAATCAGATTTTGTCAGAAATCCGATCAACGTGTTTACATGCACTTGGGTGATCAGATAATGGGAAACTCTGGGTCTACATGAATCAGAGAGTAATCAGATTTCTGCTTTACAAATCAGCCAATAAACTCACAGAAGAAGACGTAACAAAAAACCCAAACTTCATGCTGCGGCTTTTTTTTAAAAACATTGCACCACTTTAGCTGAAAATATGAACACACATCATCTAGAAGATGAAGAATATTTAAATGCTTCATTTCGTCAAAAATGTATTTGGTTTCAGTGTCACTCCAAAAGTGTTTTGCTGCGTATCGTGGTGACGCTGCTCTCTTATTTCCGGTACCACAGTCTGTTCCGCACATGCGCAGACTGAGAAAATCCAAAATCCGAAATAAATCAGAGTAAGAGTTTACATGCACTGAGAAATCGGATTACTGAGCTAAAATCCAGCTCTCTTTATCTGATTTCTTAACCGGATTTCTAGATCGGAGTCTGGTGTTTACATGACCATTTGAATAATCAGATAACTGCAGAAATCCGATAATGATCGGAATATTGAGTGCATGTAAACACACTCTATGAAATTAGAAGAAAAAGGGCATCACTGCATCTTTTTACACTGAGCCAAGTTGCACTATATAACCAGAGTTGACGAGTACAGTACTAGTGGCCTACTCGTTATTTTAAGTGTCAGCAGCAGGTCAGGATAGGCAAACTCACCCGGCATTGTGTGGTAGATGCTGGGCCAGTACTGTCCACTGTCTCTCTTCAGCCATACACGGACCGTCCTGAGAAAGACAGGCACCATTCACTACATGTGCATCTATCAATGCTTATGTACAGTAATAACCACAACATATTCATCATTTTATAATATAATCCGGACTGTAATAGTGTTGTAGTAGCATAACAGGTGATTGGCATTCCTTAAGGCTGTTTCAAGGCATTTCAACGTGTGCAATGTCACATTTCAACCAGCAGGCGGCGATCTCACAAGCAGCCTGCGTTTTGAAATGTTACAGTTTATACTGCAGTAGCCTTCAGGTTTTTCCTAAGGGTTCTTTAGTAAAGGCAACGGTTCTACTTAGCACCAATTCATGCTGAAATGGTTCTTCAGATTGATGGAGAACGTGTTGTATATGGTTCTGTAAGGAGCCTTTATTGAAAATGGCTCTATATAGTACCGAAAAAGGTTCTTCTACTGCTACAAGCTTAACACTATCACAACAGCAGACATGTAGAACCATTTACAGCACACTCTCCATCAATATGATGAACCATTTGACCATGCAAAGGGCCCATTTAAGCATGCAAATGCCCCCAGCTCTACACAGAACCATCCCCTTTACTAAAAGAACCATATCTGTTAAGACTGCATACCCTATAACCCACAGGCTTGCGGCTGAACCATGAGCTAACTATGCAAACAAACACCTCCAGCCTGTCAGATGACCAGCCTATTGCGCCAAGGCTGCTGTAAAAATGCAGGTTAAAGGGCTCTAAAGCTCATAAGCGGGCACGAACGGGTTAACCAAAGGAGATTTGCGGGATTTGCAATCGTGTACCAGGTTATAGAGCCCGGCTGAAGCTCCCTACAAGACTACTGGACATATAATGCATGCAGAAAATGATTTCATGACCTAGTGCACCACACAGTGGTTTGACATCCCCCCCGGCTGAACGCAGAGCCCCCTCGCCTTCTCTTTCAGCCGCAGCTCACAGTTTACAGCATATCATGACCACCCACGCCTTTCTACCTGTCCTGGGAGACGCTGATCACCCCGTCCTCCTTCGGTATGATCACGGCCGTGTTCACCACGTCCTGAAGGGCTTCGATCTTGCTGAGCAGGACGGGCTTGCGGGCTTGGGGACGAGGGCTGATGTCAGCCGCCATGGCGCAGTGAGAGAGAGCTCCCTTAGCCTCGTCTCCGTTGTTTTCCGTACCATAACACCGCCAGCCCCGCTCCTGTCCGGCGCCTCTCCCCCGGCTGGAGGCTGCGAGCGCTTATGAAGGCTGACCGCGGCGGAGCTGTGACAGTCGGTCGGTCCGGAGAGGCGGCTCAGCTGCACTTCCTTCCCGGCTGTAGCCCGTCTCAGTCAGTCTCCGCTCAAAAACACGGACAGAGAAGCTACAGGGCCGATTTGGTTATCTAGAACATGTGAACGCTGAAAAAAAGAAAAACAACGCGGCTCACTCATGAAATAGATATAACCGGAAGTGGGGCGTCATCATGTGAGACGGTTCGTTGACCCCCAAAATGCGAACATAAGCAGTTAGACTGAGCTGCGCTGCTGTGTGCTCGTTTTTTGTTTATTCTTTTTTGTTTGTTTGGTAAATAAAGGTACATAGTGGCGCATATTATTTTATTATTTCACGGCAGATTTTTTTTGCGTAAAAATAAATCATTTACATATTATTTAAACACATTTTTTATTTAACTTTTATTTGACTTTTAATTTTTATATAATTTATTTATTTGTTAAATTAAGGCAGCCCATAAAATAGGTTAGATATTCTTTTGTGAACAAAATACAGCGTTTATTTATTTATTTAAGCATTTTTTATTAAACTAAAGCTCCATGGGTTGCACATTATTATTATTATTATTATTATTATTATATTATTTTATTTTTATTTTACTTTTTTATATTTTATATTTCTTTTCCAGTATGTTAAACTATGTTAAATTGTGCGTTAAAATGTGCAGGAGTGTGCTCCCTGTAGAGGATGTGTTCACTTATTTTCACTTAGACAACCGATAAAACGTAACTTTTGCCTACGACTGTGTGTGTGCCATAATGAGAATTCAGTAGTATTAGAGAGCTGCAGTAAAGATTCAACATTTAAAAGGAAACAGATGGGAGGAAGCTGTGAGTGGCATCAGTAGTTACAGCTGCACTTGATAATTAAAGACATTTAAGAGCAGAACACTCCCAAAACATATATAGGTCATAATAAAAACTGGTTCAAAGCCTGAGGTCAAAACCCATTTTGGACTTTTAACTGATCTCGGCCTTTAGACCAAAATCCTTTTGCTTTGAGGGAACCAGTACGTGACTAGCAAACACAGCTTTGAACAGCTGTACACAAATAAAATTAGAATATTTTTCATTAAAACACAAACATGTTTATTTAATTGCAGAAAACATGTTTCAAGCGGGGCGGCACTGTGGCGCAGTGGGTAGCGCTGTCGCCTCACAGCAAAAAGGCCTGGGTTTGATTCCCGGCTGGGTGACCAGGGTCATTTCTGTGTGGAGTTTGCCTGTTCTCCCCGTGTCTGCATGGGTTTTCCCCGGGTACTCTGGTTTCCTCCCACAGTCCAAAAACTTGCTGTCAGGCTACTTGGACATGCTGAATTGCCCCCAGGTGTGAGTGAATGTGTATGTCTGTTTGTCTGCCCTGCGATGGACTGGTGACCTGTCCAGGGTGTATCCTGCCTTCCGCCTAATCACAGGCTCCAGCGACCCAGCGACCCCACCATGACCCAGAAGGATAAGTGGTTTAGATGATGGATGGATGTTTCAAGTGGCAATTATTAATTCTACACACTGTTTTTCAGACTTTGGGACACATTTACTTCTAAACAATAATTGCTCAACATGTGGCCATGAAGGACAGGGATGCAGTCTCACTTTCTGCTCTAAAATTTAGGGGCGTGGCTAAAATAAGGCTCTGCCTACAGACTAAAACTGTTTAGCTGCATCCAAAACCACATACTACAATATTACACATACTACACTAATGAATGGACTTCTGTTGTTGATATACTATTTAGTACAGTGGTATGCAGTTTTGGAAGCAGCCTTTGTGTTTCGCATTTTTTCAAAACAGTTTTTTTATTCAAAGTTTTTTTATTCAAATGAATAAATTTCAATAGTTTACTTTCACTTGAAAAGAAATCAAAAGTATCTTAAAAAACTGTATTATTATTATTATTATTATTATTATTATTTTTAAAAGGTATGTATTATTTTCACAAGTGTAAATTTAGGGGTTAGGGTTTGAGACAGACACTTCCCAATAGAAAGTACCCTATAAATGATGATTTTGTATTAATTACACAAACATAATCATTGTAAATATTTAAGGTCAGAATATTCAAATTTTCTTTTAAATACTTTTATTGTGGAACCACAGTTTGAGCTAATTCAGTTTAATGGTCCGTTTAGAGCTGTTACAGCTTGTCCAGTATTACAGCAGAACGGCAGAGAAACCCTACTGAAAAAAACAGCACAGACCAGCAAGCTTTCATTCTGGTTTAAGCTGGTCTTTGATGGTCTATGATGGTCTGGTTCTGGTTTATCTGATCACCCAAGACTGGTTGACCAACATACCAGCGTCCAAAACACAACACATGCTGGTTTTGCTGGTGACCAGCCATGCTTGTCTCTGATGGTTTTTCTAGCAGGGAAATCAGCAGTTTCATTTAAAATGTGTCTAAAGGGCTGTTCAGTTACCACACTAAAGAAGCTAATCCATGTGTTTCTGGTGAAGAAATGCAGTGTCTGAGCTGGAACAACCATAATAATGTGCACCTCTCCTTCCGACACTGACTCATCGAGGCTCTGGTAGATAAATCTGTTATAAATATCTGACCCATTGTGTTTTAACAGTGTCTGTTCCAGAGGGTGTTATGTATCCAGAGGAATCGTGCAGGGCTGTATCTCAGAATGCAGTCGCGATGTGAATAAAGAGTGGAGGGAGTATGTTTGTGTTTTGACAATGCACACTAATCAGCATCATTGCTTTATGATGTATATATGCCAGATTTAGCCAAATGGCTAATGTGGTGGCCCTGAACAGGCTGATTTTTAAAAGAATAGTTCACTCAAAAAATGCTAATATTAACAGTGAAAAAAACTGCACAGACAACAATTAGCATGCTGCTAATGCCTTTATGCTAAGTGGGCTGGCTATTAACTTCCACTCATCATTAGCCATGTTAGCATGTTTGGTCAAGCTATTCTTATAAAATCATGAATTTTATGGAAAAGAAAGCTGCCATTAGGTGAGTTTCCAGTATCTATATATAACTGAAGGGTTTTATGTGGTAAAATAAAAGGGCTCTTCAGGGGAAAAAAGTACATTGCTGCTTACTCTCATCTGATCTTGCTTACATTGCATTAGCCAAGTCTGTTCCTCCATCAAATGAGAAATCATGCCATGCAGTGACTCATCTGCCTAGCTGTCAGTCCTGTTATTAATCCACAGTGCAAGAATGAATTACGGAGGGCTCTCACTCTTGAACATAAAGGTTCCTGAGTGGTTCCAGGCCTGGATGTGGCCTGGATTCCTCGAAAAACATTTCATTTTTTAATGATACTTCCACCCACAAATACATGCTCTCTATCATTCTACCATAGTTACTGTTGTGAGGTTGGACAAGCTTTGCAGAATGCTGGTAAAACCCCTTTCACCTCATTCATTTAGCTTAGACTTTAACGTTACTACATATTTTCCAGTTTCACATGCTATGCTAGTTAGCTAGCTAACCAAAACTAGGCAGGCATGCTACCATTTACTTGACAATAAAAAGAGAGGATGGTGAATAAGAAGCCAACTTCAGCTTCGTAGTTTTAATGCTGGTAGTATTTTTTGAAAAGGAGATTTTCAAAATTTCCTACCAAGAGATCTCATAAACATAGCTACCTATAAATATGTGCTACTGTAGGACATTTCAACAAGCCTTACTTTCATGTAGCTTAGTGACGTCATATTGGCACGTAGCAGCATTAGCTTGCATGTAGCAATATTGCTATCACAACTCTTTAACCTTGTAATTCAGAGGATCTAATGATATATGGAAGAAAAATGGACACAGGGCAAAACGCATGAGGTTCTCAACATTTTTATTACCACAGGGTGTGACAGAGGTAAGTTTTCGAAAACCCCATTCGTTTTGGCCATAGAGAATATGGCCATCCAAATATGGGCATAATGTGTACTACAGAATGCCACATGACTTCAGTGGTCTATGGATGGGCGGAAGACGTGGTCATGCAGAACGGCAACATGTAGAGCACCACAGGAGCGCTGAAGTCGCATCAAGAGAGACTTAAATCTTGTAAATAAGCTTTTGCTGATTAGTTAAGATGTGTACATGAGTTGTATGTGCTGTTCTGTGCTGGACTGTGGGGTAGTTTGTGTGGGTTTACTGGCTACCATCAAGAAAAGTTGTATGGTTGGAGGTGACCTGCCTCCTATCTTGGCAGTGCCGCATTCTCCACTGCTGCTGTGTTCAATAAAGAGAATTTGCTTAAAGTGCTACGTTACCTGTGTCATGTTCCATAGTTCCTCATTAAGCTGAATGAAGACCTCACTCTAAATGCAGGTATTGTGAGTACGTCAGGGTTAATGCCCAGTATTTTACTTTGTTTATCTGTGAGATATGACACGTACAACACAGCATGTTCAGGAAGTCTGTTATTTTAAATGTTGGTGAAAGTGTGATGGCTTTCAGCATACTGACTGCAGTCAAAGTGCAATTGTGACTACCAGTGTTTGGCTGTAATAGAACCTCTGCTATATACTAATTATAATAAACTATATTAATCTTAGACACATGTTATCATGTTGTCATGGAAAAACAAAGCAGTCATGCAGTAGAGCATTAACACTGCTTTTGGTTAGTGCAAAACTTGTGCTTGTAAAAAAGCATAAAACAACATGGCGTGACAAAGTAACAGGAAGCGTTTAAAAACCTTTGCCCAAGTCTATTAATAAGTTACAATTAGCTTATGGATCCTTCAAATTGAATTTATTTTACAACCTGGAGCCTCGAGTTTGTTGTGTCCTTGGTTATAATGAGCATAATTCAGGGCAAAAATCTTGCAAAATGTAATGACTTTCGCCCTGCCTCAAAAATGTCCTCTGATTATGCTACCATGCACATGTGGTTGGGGGGGCAAAGCAATCTTAACCAATATCGTGTTTCACCTCCTGCTCTCACCACCCCCACCTACACTATATGGCCAAAAGTATGTGAACAAGTTCAGGTGTTTCAGCCACACCCATTGCTAACAGATGTATAAAATCAAGCACATAGCCATGCAATCTCCATAGACAAACACTGGTAGGTCACACTGAAAAGCTCAGTGACTTTAAATATGGCACTATTATGAGATGCCACTTTTGCTACAAGTCACTTGGTGAAATTTTTGCCCTGCTGGGATTTGCCTTGGTCAACTGTGAGTGCTATGATGGTGAAAAGGAAGCCACTAGGAGCAACAAAAGTTCAGCCACAAAGCCTCAGACCATGCAGACTCACAGAGCGCTGCTGAAGCACTTAGCATGTGAAAATCACCTGTCCTCTGTTGCATCACACACTGTAGAGTTCCGCACAGCCTTTGGAACAAACTTAAGCACAATATTTGTACGTCAGAAGATTCATGAAATGGCTTTCTATGGCTGAGCAGCTGCACACAAGCCTAAGATCACTATCCACATTACCAAGTATCAGCTGAAGTGGTGTAAAGCACACTGCTACTGGACTCTGGAGCAGTAGAAATGTGTTCTCTGGAGTGTTCGCTTCATTATTTGGCAGTCTGATGGTTGAAACTGGGTTTGGTGGATGCCCAGAGAACGCTACCTCCCACAAGGCATAGGGCCAGAAGTAAAGTTTGGCAGAGGAGGGATAATGGGATGGGGCTTTTTAGCAGCAGGATTTTTTTCAGAGTTCGGGCCCCTTAGTTCCAGTGAAGGGTGTTATTAATGCTACAGCATACAAAGACATTTTACACAATTTCCAAGTTTGTGGCAACAGTCCGGGAAGGCACTTTCATGTTTCATCCAGTGTGACTGCGCTCCCGTACACAAAGCAAGCTCCATAATAACATACTTTGACGAGTTTGGTGTGGAGGAACTCCCGTGGCCTGCACAGAGCCCTGACCTCAACCCCATGGAACACCTTTGGGATGAACTAGAACATTGACTGTGAGCCTGGCCTTCTTGTCCAACATCAGTGCCTGACCTCACAAATGCTCTTTTGATTAAATGAGCATAAATTCCCACAGACACACTCACAAAATCTTGTGGAAAGTTTCCCAGAAGAGTGGAGGCTATTCCAACCGCAAAGGGGGGCCAACTCTGTATTAATGCCAACGGTTTCGAAAGGGGATGCCTAGCAGGCTCATATAGGTGTGAGGGTCAGGTGTCCACATACTTTTGGCCATGTAGTGTATTATCGACAAAAAACGCTCAGATAGGTCAGAAACCCTCTCTAAGTGTCATGTTAATGGTCTACTGTATGTAGGTTGTCCTTTAACTCATGTGGCTGCACTAATACAAGACTGGGCCTCGTCCAACTCTCCATAACTGTGGTCAAGTCAAAATCATGAAGTAGACAAAAGAAATCATCTTTAAAATAAACTCTTATTTGTATCGGTGAGTGTAAATCAACTGAATCTAAGAGACAAAAACTCACTGCTACTGACTTCAAGTTCATCCACCACGTTCCCGTCTTGCCACACGCATGCGCACTCCGACTTTGGACCCCCCCCCTTATTTGAATATGATAACGAGCCGCCTCCTAGGACCAATTAGCGCAGGCGTTTTGGGCACGTGGTAAAAAAAGAGCCGCCGAGGGGGCGGGGTCAGTACCGAGCGGACAGTAAAACCGGCGGAGCCGCGGACGGAGTTGCAGTGTGGGGAGAATCATGGAGGCAAACGGAGTAGAAAGTTGCAACGATGAAAGTTAGGGAGTTCTTCCAAAGGCCAACAGAAATACATTTACGCCCCCTGTGAATCAATAAGCGTCCCCCGGGGGGTCTTTTTAAAGCTTTATCGAAGTTTACAAGGCAACGAGCCTCTCCACTGACTGTTCTGTACACTTTGAGAATGTGCGAGTCGGTTAGCATTAGCAGCTAGCTGGCTAGCGGCGTGGTGACAGAAGCGTCAGGAGGCGAACAAAAGATTTTCGTGGCTTTTTTCCTCCTCTCTCCATCCGGCCGACCGCACTGACACTCGGTCCATGCAGAACGGGGCATTATCAACACAATGCCCGTGATACTTTTTCTGATAGACACGTCTGCCTCTATGAACCAGCGCTCCCATCTGGGCACTACCTATCTGGATATAGCCAAAGGTGCCGTTGAGACTTTCCTGAAGGTAATGCTACTCTCCAGTTAGCCGGCGAGCTAACGGTAACGTTAACTCCGAACTGCTCTGGCAGAGGAGGGGGGGCTCTCCTCCGTCTGTCTTGCTTACAAACATCGACTTCCTTTTGTTAGAAAATGCTTCTAAAAGCTTCTAATGCTCGACTGTTGGTTGTGTTTTACTGCTTGTTTCCACACAGCTCAGGAGCAGAGACCCGGCGAGCAGAGGAGACCGATACATGTTGGTTTCTTTCGAGGAAGCTCCTGCTGGAATCAAGGTACTGTGTCGTTTCCCCTCAAAAAAGCCTGGGAAAAAGAGAGGGGGAAAGCACGAAATTACATTCCTGCTGATTTACTTCCTCAAAATACTTGACGACATTGTGTGAGGGGGGAAAAAAGAAAGCATCAATAACCTATCTCTTTCAAAACATGGCCGACATTTTGTTCCAGTGTGAGGAGCAAGGCACTGTGGGTGAGGATGAATGTACAAATACAGGGCTTGAGTTGTTTGAGGTGTTTTTTTTGGTGCTGCCAAACATACTTTCCTCTCTTTTCCTTGCCAACATCTCCTATTTTATGTAGCTAAATGCTTTTTTTGATGACCAAACCCAAAGCTGTGTGACAATAGACAGTATGAAGCCTCTTCAGTTAAAGTTAGTGTTTACCAAAAGAGCATTTTTCACCTCATTCATTCAGCCAGCACAGATTTGCATCTTTAGTCATGAGTCTGAAGAAGAAATAAAGCCATGAAATATCTTTTTTGCTTGACTTCTGTTTCAGTCGCCCCAATGCAAAGGTACAGAAGCAAACTTGACAGGTTGACTGTGTTTGTGCAAAGGGGCAAATAGACTTTTGATATTTTCTTGTAACGTTGCCCGTCGAGGTTTCCTTTACTTTTGCCCTTCTGGAGGCATAACCATCACGCCCACTTCTTGTTCTCTCTCTTATTCCTCCTGTCACTTTTTTTTGCCAGGCCGGATGGAAAGACAGCCATGCCACGTTCATGACGGAGCTGAAGAACCTGCAGGCCGCTGGTCTCACCACGTTTGGCCAGTCTTTAAGGACTGCTTTCGATTTGCTCAACCTCAACCGATTAGTGTCTGGGATAGACAACTATGGACAGGTACGTTGTCAGCAAGGAGGATGGAGCCTGTGGCAAAGTCTTTTCAGAATACCGCCACTGCCCCCTCAACCCCAAGGCTCTCTTACAGTCTTACAAGCATCCATTGGTCTCACATTGTGCCAATACATTCCTCCCCCCCAATTCCCTGGTGCCACATGGTTGAATGGTAGAAGATTCGCACATCGTTTCGAAATTGTATCACACATTTAAGGCCTGCTCGCCATCTAACAGATCCATTCAGAAATTACTAGCTTAAAGTGGTTTGCTCAAAAACCTAATAATGTTTCCCTTACACCAAATGTAGGCTGTAAGCTAAGGACATGTTTGGTGCCTGAAATGGCCAAAGCTAATACGTAGCTAACTAATAAAGGGAACTTGAATCCCACCAATTAGCATCATACAGACCATATGCTTAAATCACAAGGAGTTGTTAAGAAATCTCATTGATTTGCTCCCATATTTTCTGATATTTTCTGACACATTATCTAAAAGCAAATAAGAGTATGTGCCATAGGTTTAAGCCTGAATTTTGTCCCTACTTCAGCCCATGTTTAAAGATCATGATATGTCAGTCAGAACCCACAAAACAAGTCATTAGGGATTACTTAATTCCACATGGTTTGGGGCAAGTATGTGGTGCTAATTGGTGGGGCTGTGCTTCTATGACTTGTTACATTAGCCTCATAGCTCCAGCACAAAACTAAAGAGGCAGGCTTCAGACAATAAACCCATCTTGGCTGGTTGTTGTTTGGGATAAGTAAGTGTATTATGAATAAGTGTATTTTTGGCTTTTGGTCAAACTGTCTCTTTAATGAGTTGAGTCTGAAATGCACAAGGCAGATGAAGAAACTGTTTACAGTCTGGGGATCTTGAAACACCCCAAAGTAAAGTAAATAAGACAAGGCATTTCTTTGCATGGTCTAGTTGTTTTTCACCTTTTTGCAATTTCTGTAGCTAACGCCATGTGTTGAAAAAATGGGTAGCATTACATGCAATTATTTTTGTTTTCTTTTGTGTACAGACACAAAAGAATTCAAACGAAACTTTTATTATATAAGTCAGGAGAGCTGAGGGTCGATTGAAAAGAATGAGAACTTGAGTACTTGAATAAATCTCTGTGTGTGAGGCTTCAGAGGAATTGTGCAAAACTCAAGTTATGGTACAAACTGTATCCTGGCTTAACTCCTCCATGGATCTCATCTGTGGGTTCAAGTTCATCTGTGTGTAATTTGGCAGACAATCAAAATGACACCGCCCCCCCTTACCCCAAATGTAGCCGAGGCATATTTGGTGTGTAAAGTTGGATAACCCACCAATTAGCATGCTGCTAACTGCATACCTAAACCATCACATGCATGTTTATAGATGACCGTGAGTCCTGTGGTGTCAGAAACCAAGTCTGTTGCTGATTTAGGTCTGCGGTTTGCATGGTGCTAGTCTAAATATGATCATACAGACAGCATGGTTCTGTTATCATAGTTTGAATAAAGCCTTAGTCAGCCCTAACTTGCCACAATTAAAGGAGAATTCCACCGACTTTTCGAGATATCTACATAATTCAGTGGTTGAGATGTTTGTCATTCAGAGTGGTTTAATGTGAAATGGTTCATTGTAGAGAAACTTACAGACTTACAGATTTCTTTGTGGTGCTGATAGGAATCAGGGGTCGCCATGTCTACAACACAAATATAGACATTTTATTTACTATCCAAAACCACAAATGAACCTAAAAGTGTCTTCAGTTTAATTGTGCTGGCAAAAAGGTGAAAATCTGAAAAAATAAGTTTTCTTTGGTGTCATCCTGCACCATGAATAGCTTTTATAAAATATTTTATTTCAAAATCTTCTTAAATTATCATAAAATGTTTAGGTATCAGGCAACATTCATGACTGAGTCATGTAATAACTTTCTGTGAAGGAGCTTTTAGATGTGGTTGTCTGGTTCCTATCACCACCATTGTGAACAGTTTTGACTTTTCTAGAACGAAACATTTCAAATCAAATCACTCTGAATGACTTTGTTTACATCTTAACTATTTAATTATGCAAAAATGTATATAAATCAGTGAAATTCCCCTGCAAAACTTTGACCAGGACAATACTGGCTGGACTATTTGAGAGATTTGGATTAAAAAGCCCAGATTGCTCTGTTGACTCTTGTGGACTTTTTTGTGTTTTAGTTTGCAGAAGTACCTAAAATGACAAACACTAAAAACAAAAAGACGTGTCGCTTGTGAAGGAATAGACACTCATGATGTTTAGATGGAAGGGAAAAAAAAGAACTGATATTTTATACACACAAACTTGTGTAAACCTCTGTGCATCATGAAGGAGAAATTTCATGTGGTCACTTCTAAAGATGGTTCAAGAGTTCTTTAGTAAGGAAAATGGCTCTGCTCAAAGAACCCTTTACCTGATTAAAGGGTTCTTTGCACCATGAAAGGGTTCTTCAGATTGATAGAATGTGCTGTAGATGGTTTTTAAAAAGGGTTCTATATTGCATATTTTCTGTTGTGACAAGCTTGACCTAACAAAATCAGAACCCTCTTTGGTGCTGTATAGAACCCTTTTTAAAAAGGTTCTATATACAGCAATACACAGCACGTTTGCCATCAGTCTGAAGAATGCTTATATAGAACCATTTTCTTTACTGAAGAACCCTTGAAGAACCACTTTTCTGAAGAGTATAGTTATAGTCTGATAATGTTGCTGTACGGTTGGTCTTGTATAACGTACTAGTTCAGTTTAGTTTCTTGGATTAAGGCTGTTTTCACATGTTCATTTGCTAAGAAGCAAATCAGAGCTCGAGTTTTTGTGGCGTATCTTTTTTGTGTTTGGTTGGTTTCGTATTGCACGCCAGTGGCTAAAGTGCAGGAGATTGTACATGTGGGTGTTTGTTGATTTGGTCAGGAATTTGCCACTGAAGCCGTGTTACTTCTGTGTTTTCCATTATTGCCCAAAGAAATGACCTTTTTTAAGTTTCACATCATTGTATAAAAGCCAGCTCTATCCCTCACATACACTCGTGGTATAAATGTAGAACCACCCATTTGTGTGAAACTAGAGATGCATAACATCTACATGTGTCACAATCTATTAGTTTAATTTTTGTCAGCTTGAGGTGAACCACTCGGGTTGCTGTCTGTTTTTTGCTCATGTGCTGTTATTATTCGCAGCTCAGGCTTAAAGAGAGATATAAGCGTCTCAAGAGTCAAATGATGCAACAGGCAGATAATGCGGACAGTACTGCACTGACATGCTGCTAGAAGAAGAGAAAGGCGTGCTCTGATGTTACATTCCCTCATTTGTTGTAAAAATGTGTTCCGGTGAATTAAACAAGGGTTCACTTAGTAGGGAACTGAGACTAGGCATGTGCAAGTATTAAAAAAAAAAGGATCACAATTACTTAACCATATATATATATATATATATATATATATATATATATATATATATATATATACACACACACACACATATACGCGCACACACCTAATTTTTTTTAAATATTATTTTAAATACTTTAAAAAATATTATTATAATATATTAATAATAGTAATGCTAATAATATAATAAAAAATAATAAATAAAATGTTTGTATAAATTATTATAATATTCATATTAAATAAATTAAATAAATAAATAGCAGTATGCATGTCCACTATTTACAGTATAATAATTTAAACAAACTGACCATGTAATAGTGATCATACTATAAAATTACTGTGCAAGACTGTTTGCATTTAATTCTTCAGATCCTTTTATTTATCCCTTTAATTATTGAACCTTGAGACTCCAAGACAAAGCATGGAATGTACTTTAGACTAAAAGCTGTATTATATCAACATAAAAACAGCATGTACTGCGCTGTATCATATAATCCTGTATATGCTGCTCCAGTAATTATAACAGACCTTTACTTTATTAGATGTCTGTGTTTTTTTAAATAAACCCCATGACAGTAGTGCTAATTTCTCCTAGCAGGGTTATAAGGATTTACTTGATAGGTTAGCTTTGTGCTAATGGCAGTGGTGTTTCGTTCGCCCACACTGGGTTCTACTGCACGGCTCATGTTTACACAGGCTTTAGATAAAGTTTTCAGATAAAGGCATTCAGATAATTTTATTTACATTATATGTTCTGGTATTACAGTGAAGTATTACTTAAACTAACTTTGAATAATGTTGGATTTGCCTGTTAACCTGTCAGCAGTCTGCTGAACTTCTTGTTAAACAAAACAGAGCTCTTAAATAAGGCTAAGTTTGGTGAGCTTTTGTGCCCTATTACGTAATACACATGCTGTTTGTGACTGCAAACAAAAGTGTGTTCATGTGACTCAGCGTATTTTCCTTATCCAAGTAGAGTGGGCTGTGAGCTTCTGCCTTTATTAGTGAGAAAAGGCTCTGTCTGCTCATCCTTCTGCTGTGCTGTGGTTGTTGATTGTTCAGAAACTCTGCTCAGAGGACGGACTGTGTTACATCGTCAGACCATGAGAGCTTATGAAAGCTGAGATGATCTGCATCTCAAAGGCCTCAATCTCATTTCACCCCTCGCCCCCACTACTTAGCCCTCTGTTTTGTGCGTTCACGTCTAGGGGTAGGTTGTCCCAATTTTAGTTCAGATAGAGGGGTAGGGCGAAGTGTTAGGCCTACATGGCCCTTCAAATGGAGGTTTTTCAGAGACTCCAAACAGAGTGGTATGAGAAAAAGGAAAAACTGGCAAGATGGAGAACAAGAGACCAAAGAAACACACAGATGTGAGATTTTTCTATGTTTAAAAAAATTATGATAACTGTATTCTCTTAGTTTAATGTCGTTTCAGTGTATTATGGCTGTTTTCTTCATAACAAGCATAAAAAATCACTAATAGTATGCTGATGTCTCAGTGGCTAGCTAGCTAACTTTCCCATTCCACCTTAAATAGTCCAGCAGTTCTGACGCCTGAAGCGCCAGAATGTAACTGCTGCTTCATTTAAGGTGGAACGGGAACAATTTGAACAAGAAGCTGGTGAATATCTGACTTCAGCTTCATATCACTGAAGAATTAGGGGTGGGCGATAATAAATAATTGCCCCCCTCTTTGAAGGAATATGATGCCCTAAATGTAACTGAAGCCCAGCAGTGAGGAGCTGAACTTTACCCTCCTCTGCTGTCACTGCAGACTGGCAGGGTCGCCTACAGAGCAGCGCCAGTAGCTGTTAATGAAGTAATGCTCTTTTTATTTGAGGGTCCCATTTCGTAGGGCAAGACTTCAAACACTACTCCTTGTAACTCAGTTTGAAGGGGTTAAAGTGACACTTGAAAACAAGGGGTGGGGGGTAAAAAGAAGAAATAGGATTGGGCCAAAATCTCTGCTGAAACTTCAGCTTGTTTGACTAAATTGCAGTGACTGTATTTCAAAGTGTGTATAATATATAACCTCACTATGTGTGTTTAATATCACAGTGTGCTGGATTAGCGAACACGTCTAACCGAGACCCATCCGTTTTTGGAGGATGACTTTTCGGTTGTTCTTGCGGCTGATTACGCGTAGACTGTTTACACTTGTGAAAATGCTTCACACTAAAGGGAAAAAGTTTGGCTGGTCTGCACCAAACAGAGTGGATGTGGAAACACTCTGAGATGTTTATCAACCTGCTGAGTGCAGGTAAACACAGTAACTGTTGTGGACTGAGCTCATATTTTCTCAATAGCCCCCATCTGACTCGGCTATGAAAGCTGTTGAAGCAGTATGCAAATTAGCCCTCCAGTTTACAAATAGACCAATATGAGCTGGAATGGCGGAAATGTGAGATTGTGGTTGCCATGGTAACGTGCGAGTGAGATCTTGCAAATGCATATATATCCTTCATACTTAACACTAAGCAATTTACTGCCTTCTCGAGCACCTCAAGGAGGGAGACCCTGACATATATTCAGGTGTGAAAGGGTAACTCCGGAATCTTTTACAGGTATAAAGTTTCAGTACTCCTTTGTGGAAGCACGTCTGGGAGATGGTTTGAAATGAAAGTGAATGGTTATTATGATAGTGATGGATATTTTGCCCAGTAAGGCTGCACAATATACCACTTACTAATCAAAAATATTGGCCTTTGCAGGGCTGGTTTGGCAGAAGGCTAAAGTATGTTGTAGTGTATCTTGCAGTGCACGGTCCAGTCTGTTGATGGTCATATTTATTATAGGCAGGGAGGTTTACGTTTATAGTAGGGATATATAAATTCATCATTAGTACGTTGTTAACAATTTAGTATACACATGCTATATGGCCAAAAGTATGTGGACACCTAACCATCATGTCTATATGAGTTTGTTGGACATCCCATTCCAAAACTATGGATATTAATAAGGAAAGCTTTGTGGAATTTCTGGCCATTCAGCTCCTTTTTCTCCTAGATGCTTCCATTACACAGTAATGGCACTTACAGTTGGCTGGGGCAGATCTAGCTGGGCACAGACTGACTTGTGGCAATGGAGGCGTCATATGACAGTGCCATGTTTAGACTACAGTTTTTGTCTGATGCTTCAATGTAGGCTTTATTTAACCCCAACAACTTTGCATGCTATTTGCAGCATCTTTACACTACATTGTATTTGTCATTCAGAGATGTTAATGAAGCAGTAAGAATTTAAACATTAATGTCGAACCAGTCAAATAATCATTGACAGTGACAAGTGTTTCATGTGAACATTTTGCAACAGTATTTTGTTGTTTATTGAGTATTGTGGTAAAATATATGGTATCCTTATTGAAGTTGAAATTCTGTACTTGGAGTTGTAAACATTGTGGAATTCTCTGTGCTCGTTTTCATGCTGTAATTGCTGTTATAGTTGAAATGTAATCTGCATATTTTCTCTCTGCAGGGCAGAAACCCATTCTTCTTGGAGCCTGCCATCATCGTGGCCATTACTGATGGCAGCAAGCTGACCAGCACTTCTGGGGTGCAGGATGAGGTCAGAAATGTTCTAGAGAAAATATTCCCTCTGCTTCGTCGTTTCCTACTTACTGTCTACTTGCTAGTTGCCCTCTTTTATTTCTCCTTCTGCTTAATCACTTTATTAGTCTCACCAGTTTCTGTTCTATTGGATTGTACCTATAGATGTTGACAGTTAGTGTTCTTGTCTCATAGCTCTTTAGCTGTTTTTCTTAAGCTATGTCTGTATTTACTGACACATTACAGTCCCAGCACTGAAACTTAATAGGCCTGGTTACTTAAATGTAGGTCACTGTCTGTGAACCTGCCAATGTATATGGAGCCTGTTTGTCCTGTCCGTAGCCAGGAGTCCGAGAAACCTTGCTTTCTCTCGGTGAGTAGGACGGTCGTCCCTCTCCATCCATCACCCAGCACGATACTGGTCAGCGTGGGTGGCTGTTAGCTGGCGTAACACACTTGGCAGTTAGCATTCTCCTCCATGCGTGTTGAGCTGTCCAGTTGCTTTAGCAGCCATTCGGAAAGTGCTGCAGGCTTGCTTTAGTAAAGGAAATAGTTCTGTATAAATGTTCTATATAGCACCCTAAAGGGTTCTTCTGTTGTCATGATGTTAAACTTGTAACTGGAGAAGAACCCTTTTGAGTGCTACATAGAACTCTTTTCAAAAAAGTTCTGTATAGGACAATGTGCTGCACATGATTCATCAATCTGAAGAACCCTTTCAACCCTTTCTATATAGAACCATTTACTAAGAGCCATCGTTGTTAAGTGTGTAGTGCTGGTAGCCTAAAAGGAGAGGGGAGACCTGGCTGGTAGATGGAATTAAAAAAGAAGCTATTTTTTTAAGGCTTTTCAATTTTAAAATGTTCCATCAAATATGATCTTAAATTCTATAAAAAAAAACCTTGTTTTATTAAAAAAGGCAATTAAATCAGATGTGCAGGTATTATAATTGCTAATTTCTACTAATTATGATTGCCAGTGATGAGCGGTGGAAGAGAGCAGAGGAAACAGTGTATGTTCAACAATCGTGAACAACTACTTTGCTTAACCCTCATCAGTAAGTGAGTCCGCAGTGTAGAGATTATGTACTCTGAACGTTTTTAAGCAGCTTCATGCTAAAATCCACTGTCAGTCTTGTCTCCTGGTGCAGCCTGAATGTTTCCTTCTGTTCCGGGCAGCTCGTTAGCCTGCACGCTATCATTTACTCTGGGGAAATAAACACAATGAAGAGCATGCAAGCTAGCTATCCGGCGTGGTACTATTTGAAGTGCACCTGCAGTTATTTCATTGTAAATACACTTAGGGTTAAAACAATTATTCAGCATTTATTGACTTTTCATGGAAGCACAACGTTCCTTCAACCACTGGAAAAGAAAACATGCTGTCAATTCTGAAGCAGCAGAATGGTCAGCAAATGTTAGCTTTCCTTTTATGTTGGTGTTCTGACAAACTGAATTACTCCCTGCGGTTGTGCAGTTCACGCTGTAAGTAATGTAGAATGAGCTAACATTACCCTTACAAACATCACTAAAGCTTGTTAGTCACTGGAATATTCTAAGCTGTTTCTATAGACGTATTTAGAAGCTGTTTCAAAAAACATTCGTCAGCTCGTCTGGTTACATGAGCTAGTTAACTATGTACACCTGGTTCATTCGCTTAACTCATTTTGTGGTACCACTTTAAAATAAGACTACCCTTATAAAGCGTTTATGAATGGTTCGAAATTAGTGTGTTCATGGTGAATAGTTCATAAACAATTTAAAAATCATTAATAAGCAGTTTTAACACATTAAAAGGGCAAAAGTGAGCTGTTATATCTGATGAATGTGATTTAAGCTGACAGGTTTAATGCTGACTGATGAAGAGCACAAAGATCAGTAAACATCAAAATCTGAGGTTTACCAGTATAAATTAAGGAGTGTTCACTATCAACCAAATAACAGGCCACTGTGGCCCTTTTTATTTGTGTGTTGTAAATGCTTATTAATGTTTTTAAGGTCTTAATGACCTATATAACAACTCTTAATAAACTCATTTTAAACCTTTCATGAACTGTGTATAAAGGTAGTCGTTTTAAAGTGGTGCCCATTTTGTAAACATTGTTTTTACGTCAACACTATGCAGTCCTGTCGCCTTGGAAACCTGTTCATACAGAGCTCATCTAGTGAACTAGCATGTTAAAATGTTAAGCAGGTTAAGCAATAACGATAAGATACATGTTTATTATCACTTATTTTTAGTTATTGCTTGTTATTCACTGTAGCTCAAAGTTAAGGGCGGCGTAAACAAATCGCCACATTTGTTTTCCATTGTGGAAATTTAGCTCTGAACAGTTTTAGTCTCTCTTTGTTGGAACATTTCCAAACATTTATTAGTCAGCTAATTCACATGAATAATCCACTATAAAAATGTTTTAATGGCAGCCCTAAATACAATTTTACGCATAGTTAGTTGAAGATCCTTTGCAGCTGATTTCTGCCTGGTGGCTGTAACCTATAGACCTTGGGACTCTTCCCCAGTGATGCTCTGTGAGGCCTGGAATGCAGCCATTTTGACTTCCTGCTTATTCTGGGGACTTTTTTGTCTTCAGTAAGTGAAGTGCTGCTCAGTGAGGTTTAGCAGAATGTTTGTCAGTGTCCTAGTGCAGGAGGAAGCACTATCCGCTGCGTTTTGAGACCTTAAGTTGTTAAATAGAGGAATTGACACCAGACTGGGCCCGACAGCTGTCATTGTCGTTTTCAATTCATATCAGAATTAAAGATACAGTGATTATAACTTGATCAAAGTAAATATAAAATAGATGTAGGATAGTTTTCTGTTAATTTCAGGATTCATCCTGCTGCTGTTATCTGTAATCAGCCACAGCAGTAAGCACAGATTATTGTGTATGTATATGATTGTATAGTGACACTGATATAACAAAGCTCTGAATTGCCAACATGTAAAGTCTGTAGATGAAGAAGGATTTTAAATTTCTTTGTTTCTATAAGTGATTTTGGTCCATTTCTGTTGGTTTGAGAGCTTTAAGAAAAAGAAAAAAAACTAGTCACGTTACATGTTTTTCATGATGGTGATGAAATAACTTGGCAAGCATCAGGCTTAGGTTTAGCCCAGCATGCCAAGACAAGCACCATTACACTATGTATTTATCTACTTGCTGTACAGGTTTTGTTTGTTTATTTGTTTGTGATTTTTGTATGTGTGCAGCTCCATTTGCCCTTGACGACACCATTGCCAGGCAGTGAGCTGACAAAGGAGCCATTCCGCTGGGACCAGCGCCTTTTCTCATTGGTCCTACGCATTCCAGGCAATGCCTCTCTAGAGCCAGAACCACTGGGTGGAGTCCCACCTGATGCCTCTCCCGTCACGCCAATGTGTGAGGTCACAGGAGGTGAGCTGTCTTTCCTAACTTTTAGGCATGTGATGTGCATTTGTCCATGTTTATAGATAACTGTGTATCTACAGGGTAGGGAACCACTTAAGCGAGTCTGTGTTTAAGTCTAACTTTTGTATCAAATGACTCGTATACTATGGAAACTTGCTGTTTGATAAATCAGGTTGATGTAGTATGTAAACAGTGTTAAGGTTCAATACCCTCCATTTACTCCCGAGTCCATATAGCCCATATATGGCAAATAAGCTGCAAAAGGTGTTTTTTTTGATGTCACATCCGTTAATGCTTTTATATACACCGATCAGGCATAACATTATGACCACCTCCTTGTTTCTACACTCATTGTCCATTTTATCAGCTCCACTTACTACATAGGTGCACTTTGTAGTTCTACCGTTACAGACTGTAGTCCATCTGTTTCTCTGCATACTTTGTTAGCCCCCTTTTACCCTGTTCTTCAGTGGTCAGGACCCCCATGGACCCTCACAGAGCAGGTACTATTTGGGTCATTCTCAGCACTGCACTAACACTGATGTGGTGGTGGTGTGTTAGTGTGCATTGTGCTGGTATGAGTAGATCAGACACAGCAGTGCTGCTGGAGGCTGCTGTATGTCAGTCTTAGTAGCCTACAGCAGTCATTGTCGACTGTTATTTGAATGAGGAACAATATGGGGCAGCTAATAGGAACAGGGATCATTTAAATATCTTAAAGGCACAGTAACAAAAGCAGCCTGTTTAATTCACAAAGAGAGGTTAGAAAAAGGTCAGTAAAATGCATCGTGACTGTTTCTGGCACATAAAACCACACAAATATCAGTGAATCAGTGGAAAAATACAAAAAAAATGAAGGATACTCGAACTTTCAGTATGGTGATAGAGATCTGCTGTACGTAAAACAGAAAACAGTTTAGACGGGAAGTGACACGTTATGTGTCTAAACACAGTGGTTTCACACCCAGGATGAAATCTACTAAAGTGTTGTAATCGCTTGCTTTTAAGTCTTTTTAAGTCTTTAACGAAGGCTGTGTATGTTGAAGTGCTGATTGTTGTAGAAATTCTGAATCTAGCTTGAGGCTTTAGACTTGTTAGGCTGCGTTTCAGTGGTGTTTAAATGGTGTGGGATCAGTGAATGGGAGAAAATTGCTGAGTGGAGGTGAGGGCAGATTGTACTGGGCTCAGGTATGCTGACTAACACAGCTGAGTAACGGACACACACGCACAGACCGAACAAAGGAGAAGAGCGAGGGGTCAATGCACTGCCTAGTACCGCACAATACTGCTGATCACATACTCCACACAATGGGGCTCGCCAATACGCTGCCAGTCTGTATCTGAGTACAATGAACTGACAAGGAGAGGAAAAAAAGCCGCTGTGTGTGACGGGATGAGACGACAAGGGGGGAAAAAAAAAGAGCAGTCCTGTTCTTCGGTTGCCAGAGACGGTCCATAATTATCTAGTCTGTTCTACCGGGGGGTGTGGTTATTCAAATATATGGATAATCAGATTAGTGTTTGTTTAATTAAGGGTATATTTGAATAATGCTCATGTAGTTTGGACTGAAGATGAACTAAAGAACAGTTCTGTAATTGTTAATAGGGTTCTACAGTATATGTGTAGAATATGGCCCAATCCCATTTCACCCCTCGCCCCTACCACTTAGCCCTTGAGATAGAGGGGTAGGGTGAAGTGTTGGGGCTACATGACCCTCCAAACAGAGGTTTTTCAGAGACTCACTCCAAATGAAGTGATATGAGGGGGGAAAAAAGAAAAACTGGCAAGATGGAGCACAAGAGACCAAAGAAACCCACAAACGTGAGAATTTTGTCCATTTAAAAAATTACGATAAACATTATATTATCTTAGTTTAATGTCGTTTTAATGTATCATGGTAGTTTTCTTTATGACAAGCATAAAAAAATCGATACTAGTATGCTAATGCCTCGGTAGCTAGCTAGCTAACTTTCCTGTTCCACCTTAAATAGTCCAGCAGTTCTGACGCCTGAAGTGCCAGAATGTAACTGCTGCACCATTTAAGGTGGAACGGAAAAATTCGAGCAACCAGTTGGAGAATATCTGACTTCAGCTTTGTACCCCCCCCGCCTTTAAAGGCATATGTTGCCCTAATTGTACCTAAAGCCCAGCAGTGAGGTTATGGCTCCCAATGTTATTCACCTAAGATTGTCTACATGAAGTGATATGAAACTTTAAAATGAATTCAGGTTAATTTAAGAGAATAATGGCTGAAAGACAAATGCCCAAAACTTTTGACTGACAGTAAGTGTCAAAGTCTGAGACTTTACAAGCCATTTAATGGCAATGAAAATGAGAAATAGTGATTAAAATAGCTGTTTGTTTCATCAGCAGTCAGACAGTTTGAGCAGCAGCAGACTGAGTCAACCTCGTGGAGCTATTTCAGTTTCTACGAGGAACATTAAACAGAAGATTTATAATCTCTGTTCATGTGGAGTATCAAGTAGAGATGCAACACCCAAGAACGTCTCCACTGCAGGTTTGATTCCACCTGAAAACATAACTCGATACACTGAATACATCAAAACAGAAGCAGAAAGGAAAGTCCCTGCCTGCATGCCAATACCATCTGCACTCTCAGTTTATGAAATGATGAAATAAATTCAAACCACAGCCAAAGTGCAAAGTATGATTAAAAAATAACATGGCTGAAGTCGGCTTCCTATTCTCCAGCTTCTTATTCAAACTTCCTGTTCCACCTTAAATGGTGCAGCAGCCTAAGTGCCAGGATTCAACTGCAGCGCCATTTAAAGTGGAGTGGAAAATTCAAACTCGTCGCTTTGGATGACTAGCCATTCTCTGTTGTGGAGGATGTTGGATTTTGTGGCACATGCTGTAGCCTACATACTGTAATCATGTTAAGTTTATTTTGTACCTTTATTCTGTTTCAATTTTCAGGCCCTGTGTGTTTTGAATTTCAGATTTTAGCCAAGAATTTTCATTTCTTTTTTTTTTTTCATTTTACATTATAATAATGAATTAATGTGGTCCATTATTGGCTCTCTCAAACTAGAAATTCCAAATTAATGCATGCCTTACTTTTAAATGCATGTGTGAAGACAAAAGGCTGATATTGAGTCTCATGCTGAGACAAATACATGCATATGAGTAGAGACATGAATGGAGATGTTTAAAGGAACGGTTTGGTCAAAAAAAATTTACACATTTTCCGCTTACTCCAGATCAGACAACAAAGTTTTGCTGTCTGAATGTTGCTTTTTTAGACAGCAGGTGTTGCTGAGTTATCATGTACCATAAAATATATTGTGATGCCATTTGGAAATCAAGCAAGTGTGTTTTTGCCTTTTGGATTTAAATAGTTTCAAGTTCTTTTTCCTTGCAAGAGTAAATAAAGGTGTGTGATAACCATGTGATTAAATAACCTTTAAAATACCACCCCCCCCCTTTTTTTAACCCCCGTCTGTCTGTATCAGGCCGCTCGTACAGTGTGTTTTCCCAGCGGATGCTGAACCAGTGTCTGGAGTCTCTGGTGCAGAAGATTCAGAGTGGGGTGGTCATAAACTTTGAGAAGACGGGACCAGACCCAGCTGAGGGTGAGAGAGAGTGAACAAGTTTGTGCCTTAAACAGTCACTATGGATCATTACTTTTAAAAGAACATTGTTTTATTTGGATTGCCCTCTTAGACCAACCCCTTAAACTCCTAAGGGTCAGTATGTGGGTCCACATTTCAATTCTTGACTCATAATTGCAGAACTTGCCTGTAAGTTTTATTGTAGTTACCGAATAATTCATAGAACATACTGAGAGTTTCCACTAAGACATTTTGGTGCTGGTCACAGTGTCCAGCAATTTTTCCGTTTCCTGGAAGAATGGGTAGAATTCTGGTCACGTTCTGGTCATATATTGGTGGAGAAATGTCAGAAAATTTGAGTGTTGCTGATTGTTTATTTATGTCAATCAAATTGTGTTTTCACCAGCAAATAGAAGCTTTATTTATTAAGTAATAAGCCTTAAGATTAAAGTTTTCATTATAGGCCTTGGGTCCAGGTTTATTAAATACAGCGTAGAATGGTAGGATTAAGAGTTTGAGCTTATGTTTTGTGAAACAGATTTGATTTTAGTATTAGACAAATGCTTTCCAGTGTACTGTGCATTAGGGGTGTAACGGTACATGTATTTGTACTGAACCATCACAGTATAGATGTTACAGTTCGTTACGTGCACAGAGACAGAATACATGTTTGGTTGCCTGTGTGCGAAGATTGGACACAGTGCAGAAACACATTTCACAAGTGCAAGTTCCACCCAGAAACCTTAAGCTGTTAGCAAGTTAGCAACATGCCATGCAAAGCTTAGCTCAAGCTGATTGGCATCTCATTGACGATGTGTCTCATTTACTCGTTTGTCTCGAGGCTAATCTACAGCATGCAGTATTTTGGTGCCTATAAAGAGTATCAACACAAAGCCTTACAAATTTCTCAGTTTTCTCAGTTCCTAACTACAAAATCACGACTGAAGTTGAACTGTCACAACACAAACTAGTCAACGTTAATTGAATTTCCCCATGAAGTGCAGATCACACATACTACTGGCTGGTAGCGGCTTCCTCAGGAGGGACTATACGACACTAGGTGGATCAAACTGTAACCTGCACTATTGTCTGTTCAAAATAAATGAAGAGACCTAGTTTTATGCACCCCCCACAGCGAACTTGTAATGAACTGTGAGATTTAGACTGTGGTGTGGAACGAACTTTTGTGTACTGCTGCACCCCTGCTATACATTAGAAGACTTGTTAATGCCCCAGTACCAAATAGTGCAGTGTTGGTACCCCAATCCAATAGCAGATTAATGAAAAAATGGTTGTTTTAAAATTATCCTTTTCCCCTTCAGATGGTCCAGTGGAGGTGAAGTGTGGACCTCAGCCATGGCACAGCTGTCATAAACTAATCTATGTCCGACCAAACCCTAAAACGGGCGTCCCCGTCGGCCACTGGCCCATTCCGGAGTCCTTCTGGCCTGACCAGAACTCTCCTACTCTGGTGATTCTCTCATCACACACTCACCTGTGCTCACCTTCACCCAGTAGTTCAGATTGGAGGATGTTCTTGATTCAGAATAGTCAGGGATGCCCGCATCTAATTTGAAAGCACGTACTGGTCTATCAGATCAGGGCATCCCTAATACTGCACTGATCCTGGTGTTTTTTAACACATCACTGTTGATTGCACTGACTGATTGAACCTGATCCAATGTCCTTCCCTTATGAAGGCTATTTTACCCCACTATGATCTGCTTACAATACTCTTAGAAGTGACTTAAACTGGTATTGTTGGTAAGCAGTAAGATGTTTTCAGAAGTTAACAAAGTTGTCTACAGTTTAAACATTGTTATTCTCCAAGGTATATTTTGGGTTTTCCATCTGAATTTACATGACCAAATCATAAGGCAAATTTATTCATGAAGTGCATGAAATAAATCTGCATTTTTATTTTATTTATTTATTTATTTATTTTGTAAAAGCTCCCGTCAAATTACCAGAAAATGTGTTTTAATGATCATACACATTGCTATATGCTTACAAATTACTGCTGAAAGCCAAAAATCTTAGACGCTCTTTGTATTATTTTATAAAAATAATTTTTTACAGAGCAGATCACTGAAGAGACGCCATCTGTTTATAGTTTATAGCCCAGATTTGTGGAAAAATGGATCAACTTTCTATTATAAGGGTTTAAAATTACATTATCCATCTATTTGACTGGAAAGAAGAGTTACAGCTCTCATATGACCCCCACCTTTTTGAATGTAGCTTTTGAAATATGACTAAGTGCGTTTTGGAACCACCGGTGGTCTCAAGGAGTTGAAGAGGTTAAACTAAAAAGTGAGGCTAAAACATGCTGTTTGGTAACAGCGTTGAAAATCAGGAATATGTGCCTCACACTTTATAGCAAGGTGAAATATAAAATTAGCATGTTCAACACACCATAAAACCCCAAAATGTCACTGTCTCACTAAGCACATACTGAAATATGACAGTTTACAGTTATTGGCAGACTCGCATATCTTAGCTAAATTGCATTGGTTTTACAAAAGTTAACTACTGAGTACGTGAAATGCATACTGTACCACTGTATTGTGTACAGTAAACGTCGTATCGGACTTAGTATCAACATATTTACAACACAACTTTATTTAAGGGCCTCCTATTGTAATTGGGATGAAAAAGATTGGTACATCCCTGAAGATCAATGGGCCTCATTCACCAATATTTTGGGTTTTTCTTAAATGCGTTCTTGAGAAAGGTACCGAGAAAAAGTCCACCTCAGATTCATGATCTAGTTTTAGAATACTTCATAAGTTGTTTTTAAGAATAAATTACTCACGAACAGTTGGGGAATGAGGCCCAATGTTCTGAAACAGTTTTTAAATAAAGAAGTTTTAAAATAAAATGTATGTGGACTATATTCATTGTGTGCATTTGTTCTGTATGTCGTGTCCTGGTGCAGCCTCCGCGTATGGCCCATCCTCAGGTGCGGTTCTCTTGTGTGGACTCAGAACCTATGGTGGTGGATAAGGTTCCGTTTGACAAATATGAGCTGGAGCCATCGCCCCTCACGCAATACATACTGGAGAGGAAGTCTCCACACACCTGCTGGCAGGTATAACACCAAACCGTCCCTTTTCCTGTTCAATTGTGCACTATTATAAATCTGTCTGGCTGTGTTCTCATTAAGTATCTATTCCATCACATACGGTGTCACGCTAACAACTCCTCCACAACACAATTACCCATCAAGGACAGAGTAAAAAGGATGGAAATAAAGTTACACTGATTGAAACTTCATTATTCGAATACATTTATTTACCAAACACAGCATGACCATATGTAATATTCAGGTGCTCGCCTGAATATTGCACTTGTTTTTCCTGTAATGCATGATTATAACACAAGATTGATTACGCTTGTCTGAGTGAGAAGCATAATTAAATGAAAACTTAACCCTCTACTGCATACATTATGAGAGCAATTTAAAAAGAATAAAAAGATATCCAATTCTCTTTTCTTGCATAAAATAATCCTTAATTTATTTTTTCGGTCCTGAATATTAAATTCAAAAACAAAAAATTGTTCAGGGGACCTTTTGGAGTATGTTGCCATGAGGCAACACTGTGTGACAATGGGAAGAAATGATATAGAGCCGTGGTCACTGAAGTGGTAAGACTTGTCAATGGCTAAATTCATGTCACTGTCGTACAATGTTGCTTCTAGGCAACAATCATATTTCTGCAAATTCTCATAACAAATACTGATACTGAATGTTAGAGGTTTAAATGTGCCCACTAAGCGATAGTATGACCAGAAACATGCATTTTATTGACTCATTCAAATTTCTCCATTTATTGTTGACCCTGTTGTTGTCTTTATATGTGTATAACATTATTATAAAATGAGGAAAATGAGTTTGTTGCACTGAGGCAACATTGTGCAGTAGAGGGTTAAAATGAAATCTTTTACATTTTGACATTTTGAAATTGTAACTATTTAGACTGTTTGTACTATTACTGGTATAATTCATCAATCCCACCTTTATGCTCGGCCTTTCCTAAACTCAAGGCTAGGCAGCCAAAAACACATTTTCTCTGAGACTATGGGCCCCAGAACAGTACTTGTACCTTCTCAGAGCAGCTTGAAAAAACTGTCATGTATTTATGTGATGAAGACCTTGTTACACTAGAAAGTGTGTGACAATATTATTCTGAACTAGAAGATCTGTAGAAAAAAGTAAAATAAAAGTGATCTGGAACTGGCAGTGGCCAACTCTAGTGCGAAGATTGCTAGATTGAATTTGTATGTATGTGATGACATGCATAACTAAATCATCCTTGTAACTAAGTGGCGTTTACTGCTTCTGTTATATCCTCAGGTGTTTGTGAGTAACAGCGCTAAATACGGTGACCTCGGGCAGCCCTTCGGCTACTTGAAGGCAAGCACTGCTCTCAACTGCGTCAACCTGTTTGTTATGCCCTACAACTACCCTGTAGTGCTGCCCCTCCTTGGTGAGTCTATTTCTCATAAGCATACATCCTGATATGTTGTTTTATAAGATAATAAGTACATTAGTGCTCCATATCCAAGCTCATCTGTAGGGATGCGTGTGGAATTTCTGAGAGAGTAAAGATTTTTTTATTTATTTTTGTTATTTATTTTTTGTGTGTTTGTCTAATTGTGTTTAGTTGCATAAGTGTATTATATGTTGCTACTGTGAAACCCAAGTAAGCTGCTGTGGACATGTTAAGATTTGAGAAAGTAGTGTTAGGATAGCTGTAACAAGGCTAAAAGCTATAGATATTAACTAAAACCATGTACGAAAAAATGTTGTTGTTGTTGTTGTTTTTTTTTGTTTTTTTTTCATTTAAATTCATTTAAACACCAAGTCATCAACATACTACATAGTACTACTGTGTATGTCATCAACATACTACTACTGTGCAATAGCTCTGTTAGTGTTCGTATATTAAATATCAGAGAAATATGTTTATTAATGGTTATTAGTTAGGTCATGAACACTTCATTAACCAATAATAAGCAGTTATAACACATTAATAAAGAAGGGCAAAAGTGAGCTGTTATAGCGGATGATTATGAATCTGTGATGAAGCTGACGAGTTTAATGCTGAGGTTGAACAGTATAAATAAGTGGGGGTTTCACTAAGACAAACGACAGGTCACTTTTCCTTTTTATTTGTGTTGTAACTGCTTATTAATGATTTTGAGGACTTTATGACATAAGTAATAACCCTTAATAAACTATTTAAACCATTCATGAGCCTTTATAAGGGTAGTCTTATTTTAAAGTTGTACTGAAATATCTATATGTTAAAATTACCCGAAGCCCCACTTCCCTTCTACATGCAGTCTGTCAAATGTCCATTCCTCAAGTCTTACCAGCACCCCAATATCAGAATTAGTCAGTATCCCTAATATGAGGTGAATTTATGGGGTCAGTGCTTGTGTGCATGAGAAAATATTGGCTTGTATTGTTTTTGTGGTGATTTCAGTACCTGTCAATAATAATTCAGCAATTTATATACCAAGCTTTGATATTATGCGCCCCTACTCATCTTGCTTATTCATTTTCCTTTAATGAGTTTATCAGCTCAGTAATTTATGACGTTACATTTCTGACTGTATACTACTAGATGACTTGATTAGAGTGCACAAATTCAAGCCCACAGTGAAATGGCGCCAGTCCTTTGAGACCTACCTGAAGACCATGCCCCCATACTACATCACGGTGAGTGTTTTAAGAACACAAACACGAACATCTCAGCCTGTGAACTTCATTTTAATAGTACATTTTATTCACATAGCACCTTTTACAGTGAGATGAGATTTAAGAGACGGACTTTGGTCTTTTGAGTTATGCATTTAAGCTGTCTGTGGGTGGTTTCAGCCGTTGAGGAAGGCGCTGCGAATGATGGGGGCTCCAAACCTGCTGGCGGAGAATATGGAGTATGGATTGAGCTACAGCGTGGTGTCCTACCTCAAGAAGCTCAGCCAGCAGGTACACAGAGCTGTGCGAAGCATGCTTCAGTTAGCTTTCATAATAAGCTTTAAATATTAAGAAATTAAAAATTTGCTGTTTATATCTCATGTGTTTAAGTCTTATACATTAAACAGTAACAAATGTTTTGATATTACAGCATTAAAAAACCTGTAGCCAAGTATTTCCCTGTGATATACACATCAATGTAGTACCAGTCTGCCATTTAAAAAGCTTCAAATGTTTCCCCTCAATTTATAATTTATCATCCTCAGTTGTATTCTTTTGTTTGTGAATCTTTACAGAGCTGTGTAGATTTTTGTTAAAGACAAACAATGGTGGCAACACTGGGATTAAATTTAAACAAAGTCTATCTATAATAATGCATGTAAAGGAAAATGTGCAAACATAAGAAAGCAGTACATGGTTATCTGATTTATTAAAATCTGAAATGGTGTGATTATCGTGTTTCATACCATAATATTGGTTCTTGCATGTCCTTTTCAGGCGAAGGTGGAAGCGGATCGAGTGTGCGCGTTGGTCGGGAAGAAGCCGGGACCGGAAGGTGGGATTAAACTCCGATCCAGAGGCTCTGCGTTCTCATTGGCTCACAGGAAAGATTTCAAACAACTGCTGCAGAGTATCACTGGGGACGGACCAGCTCTGCCTGTCGAGTCTAACCCTAAAGAGTTTTCAGGGTTCCAGCTCGCTGTTCTCAACAAGGTCAGCCGCTTGTAAACTGAACACAACTATGCTGTCACACTGTCAGCAGTCTTAAGTGTTATTTTTGGTGTTCGCAGCGCAGTCAGAGTCAGATTTAGACATAACTAGCTGTTATTTGAGCATTTATGAAAGCAAACCAAGTATAAACGTGAGATTTTGAGATGGAATCTTTGCACAAACACAGTTGCAAGATCGATTATGAGTGATACGGTTTTCACACAGTGGGGAAAGTTTCTTTCAGAGATATGTAAGTGCAACACATTTGGTGGAATGTGTTGCGCAGAAAACTATTCAATTCTATTTAATTAAAAAAAAAGTATGCACGTTTACTTTATCCTTTACATTGTGTGAATTTCATGATGAGTGGACCAATGGGAATGCCCCAAAACAACTTCATAAAATCTGTAATGTTAACTTTCAACAAAGGTTAAGGCTTATAGAGTTCTTTCTGTAGTTTCTGTAGTCTAATATCTCTCTTTCTTTGTGCTATATGAATTGTGCATATTATTATTAATAATTATTGTATTTTTGAGTTTTCGTGCTTTGCTCTGATGGCTTAATTTTCCCAGCATGTTTGTCTCTGCTTGCAGGCCCTAAAGCCGCAGGGGTTGCGAAACCCATATGACATACCCAGAGAGCACCTGTTAGACCAGCTGAGCCGCATGAGGCGGAACCTTGTGAATGCCGGTGTGTGTATCCTGAGGGGCCAAGATCAAGGTAACATTTCAGAACTGTGGATCACAGCCAGCTGGCCATTTCCTATTCACATATCTTATACGCCAAACATGACTGCAAAACACTAGAGGACACTTGGATGAGTGTCCTCAATGAATGGGTGGGGATGGAACTAAATGGCTAAAAATGCGTTACGCATGCAGGAACTTATGTTAATTTTGAGGAAGTACAAGAATGTTACTTACAATATCAGTGAAAACTGATGCTCTGTATTTCCACAGCAAATGTGTTATGCAGTAGGATAACAGCTTTCTGGCTAATGAGTGCTGGTTGGTTGCTGAGTAAAGCAGTTTTGTCATCAGAATGATTGTTACTGTGTGGAGGGTATTTGTCCGTTTAAAAAAAAAAGTTAAACAATTTACAGATTTCAATTCTTTGCAAATGCTTTATAGACCACCATTGAATCTGGTATCTCTCAAGATCCCCCTTAAATGTCACATTTTGAGTGTAATGTTGTGGATATCTGTGGTTAACCAAAGCTTGTCCTTTTTAAATTGATTTTATTTAATTTTCTGAGTGTAGATCTTTTTAAAGTGTAATGATTTCATCCGATTTTTTTTTGACCATACTATTACAATCACCATCCCTGGCAACCGCCAGCAAAACTGAAACGGTCTTAAAATGGCATTTTTCCCTGATATGAGCATTGAGTTCTCTTTATTTTGACTCTTTGATCTAGATCAGGTTCACAGTGTGCCAATAGCACAGATGGGGAACTATCAGGACTTCCTAAAACAGTGCCCCGCCCCCTTGCGGGAGGCAGATCCGGATCAGCCAAAACGGCTGCACACCTTTGGCAACCCCTTCAAACTGGATAAGAAGGTACATCTTGCGCACATGCCGCACTACCTCTGACCACAATTTAATAATTAAATAGAAGCAATGTCTTCTTACATTAAGGATATCAAACTTGATTTTTGCCAAACTGTGTTTTTGTTTTATATTGATATTTAAATAAGAAGTGCTTGTCATTGCCAGTGAATAGCAGTGATGCACCGAATTGAAAATTCTTGGCCAAAACTGATTCACGACACAAACCAAAAAATAAAAATCTAACAATAAGGGTTGTTACACACTGAATGCGCCACAAAAGTGCAAAATAAATATTTACCCATTTTTTTGCAGCAAAACTATGCAAATGGATGTGACAATTTCTGTAAACTGTTAACGTGGTGCAGGATGCTTTCCACTTCGGGAAAGCCATAGAGAGTTTCTCCACCTCATTTCAGGAGCTAAAACGATGTGCTGTCACTCACAGCCCAGGTCTTGTAACTCCGTTTAAGTTGATTTTGAAGATGCAGCTCTGCACGAGACGAAGCACAAAGCAAGCAGACAGAACGTCTTCAAGTGCAAATAAGACATTCTTTGCTCTTCACAGAGACAAGCTTTGCTTCAGTCAGATGCTGTCATGGAGTCCTCCCACACAGGCTATAACTGATGTCTGTAGCCCAGTTTGAGTTTTTTTGAGCTGCTTTAGGCAATTTTGCTCCTTTACACATGAAATGTGAAAAGTTTTGTTGCTGGAACATAGCTGCTTTTGGTTGACGTCACAGCAACGGCAGAGACTACTTTGATTGGGCTTGGCTGTGCCAGTAGTTCCCAACACTTGTCCTGGAGTCCTGTCCTGCAGTACATGGGTGCGCCAGGACCAGGATTTGGCAGCACACTCATAGCTTAGGACTTCATGTTTGACTTTAGAGCACAAGACATGTTGCTGCTGTTTTTGGCTCTGATCTCAGAAGTATTGAATCAGTTTTGGGATTTTTGTGCCACTGCAAATTTAGTGTTACCATGTGGCAACTTTAGCATACTGAAGTTTTATGTTGCAGGTGCCCTTGTATGCCTTGTATGCGCTTTCATATGGGATTAGATCCCAAGTTAGTTTCCAAAGATTTTAATCTTGCACTCTTCTCTTTCTCAGGCAATGATGGTGGACGAGGCAGATGAGTTTGTGACAGGCACTCAGGGGAAAGGGAAGCGCCCTGGTGAGCCCAGTTCTCCTGCTGGAGGAGGCGCCCCCAAACGTAGGAGATGCATGTCCCCGCTTCTGCGTCCTGGACGAGCATACACGCCGCCGAATAAAACGCCGCCTAGAGGTGAGCACATTCACTGTGAGGAAAACATACCAAGTTGTTCCGTAGGGAAACACTCATACCTCCTCATCTGGTACATATTTTCCACCAGTAGCTTAGTTTGTGGAGCAGTGGTCCACATGAAATTTTGTGTAGTGGTTTTTTTTTTTCCCCATTAAATGGTATCGTGTTTAATAGCCTATAATTTTAGATTAGTGAAAGTTTTATGGTGGTCTGTCTCAAGTATTTGATAAGTGAATTCAGTGTTGAGTAAGCGTTGAACATTGTGCCAAGAAAAAGCGGCATTGGTGAGGTTTTATTTTGCGGTGTATGAACAATGTGTAAAAGTGCTAATACTGTTAGAACTTAGTAGGCAAACACAAGCACACTGTTTGTAAAAGGGCTTGCCATGGCAAATCCAATTAAGTTGCAAGTTCCATGTTTTATATTTAAAATAACTGTTATTTTTTGTAAAAGTGGAATTTTTATGAAAAACAAATTTTTGACGAGTATGTAAGCATGACCAGCATGGGTCATTTTGCTTGCTGTAGACGAACACATACACATTAGCCTGCTTATGTAGGACATGACCCTGCATGTGTCTGACATGTATAAAATCATGCCTAGTTCCAGATAACCACTCCTCAGTGGAGAACCATGTGGGCCATCTTGAGCCAGACCGTACCCCTGACACAGAACCCTCTCCTGGATCAGAGTCAGCAGCATCGTCCCCTCACCTGCCAAAAAACCACTTGGACGTGGATGAAGAGGAGCAGCCGCAGGAGCCCACACGGGAGAACGGCCAGTCCAACGAAGAGGAGCCATCAGTGGGAGGAGAGGAAGATGAGCAAGTCACCCGGCGCTACCCGTCCCCTAACCAGCTGAAGAAGATGAGAAAGGAGGAAGGCCAGGAGCTGAACACAGAGCTCCGTGTTCTCATCACCAAGGAGATCAGGAAACCAGGCAGACGTAAGTGCTTTCATCACTGTATTGGATAAGGGTGGGGAAAAACTAGATGCCTTACAATTTAATATCATATGAGTCACAGTGGCTGTGTTTACGTGCAAAGATCTTTCTGATTAAACACATTCTGATTATAGTTTAAGACTGAGGTGTTTATATTCTCACTCTACTCAGCAATCTGATGGAAGATCTCCATTTACATGCTCACTACAAGTAATCCAGTCCAAAATGACACGCATGCGTGGAGTACCACTTAGTGTAGACGTTGCCATGACAGTGAGCATCACGTGAATCCAGAGTGAGATGAGCAGCAGTGAGCAGCGCTTGTGTTTTTAATTGCTTTAAAATGATGTCAGACTCAGGAAAACGTCCTTCACATGTCCTTATTAAAGGAGGCCGAGAGGAAGACGTCGTGTTCTGACACATGAGCTGGACGTCCGTCCCACCGCCGTCTTCTAAAGATCACACTAGTGTATTCCGATTGAGTTTACATGGGCGTATTCTATTCTGATTGAGCTATTAGTTGGATTATTAACGGATTATCGGGCTGCACGTAAACATGCAGAGTGTGGTTCTTTTGCAACAACAAATTTTGGCGCCATAGTAGCGCACCAGTGGGCTCAACGCATGTTTAAAATGATATAATCTACAGTTGGGCCTCCATGTATCAGCTAAAAATCTTTTTCTCCCACCCTTCCAAAAGGTTTGTGTTCATGCTGCGACCTAGATTCACGATTGAGCGTTTTACTTATTTGTTTGGCTTATTTACATACTGCACGCTTTGGATGCATCACTATTGCAGAGTCTAATGCTTAACAAATCCTCAAATATATTGATATATTAAAAACCATAGATATTTTGAACTATTTTTTTCTTTCATATTATTGAAATCATCTCAAAGAAACCAACAAACTGAAAAGTGACCACTTTTCAGTTTGTTGCTTACTTGTGAAAGAATACGATAGATCTTTAAGTACATGTAATAAATTTTGCAGCAGATTATTTAGCGAAATGCCAGCACATTAAACAATTGTTAAACTACATCTAGCCATCACTGGCCAGAGATAAAACCCTGTTTAGTTAGTGTTAGCTAGGTACTGGCAGATAATGGCAGTCACAGCCACTGCATGAGGTCCTGCTTTACAGGAGTATCACTGTATTAAGATAAATCCTGCTATGTGTTTCACATTTTTCCTCCTAACCAGCAAGTTTGCTAATTGCATGACATACTATCAGAACTCGGGCTGTGTAATTAATTTAACGTTTTTAGACATGAAGTTGTAATGTAATTTTTAATAATAAGATGTTGCTTATGACGTTGTGTGGTCATAACCCTTTGCAGTGTTGGTAAAGCATTCAGCAATGAACGGGGCTACAAAAAGTTATAGTTAATATGAATAGTTTTCCTCACATAAATAGCCTGTTGGGTGTGATGTACATCACTGTGTGTGATTAATGAGTTTGAGAATTTCTTTTAAGAAAAGGTGGAGTAGGCCAGAAATTTTAAGTATCACTGAATCCAATGAAATGTTGAAACATTGTTACCGAAACATTTAAAACATTATTATTGTTATTTTTTCAGTTTTTTTAATTGTATTTTGTTAATTTCAATTTATTTGATTTTTAATTTTAATTTCTCTGGAAAATTTATGGGGGTTGACACCTCCAAAAAGCAAATTAAGTGTTGGGTTTATCACATTGCCCTCCATTTGTAGAGTTTTGATTGTAGACAGAAGATCTTGGAGTAGAATATATTTCTAAAACTGTGTGAGACCTGGCTGACTGGAATTGGACATTGAGATTGCATCTTATTACATCTCTCTCTCTCTCTCTCTCTCTCTCTCTCTCTCTCTCTCTCTCTCTCTCTCTCTCTCTCTCTCAGGTTATGAGAAAATCTTCTACCTCCTGAAGCAGATCCAGGGGAGTCTAGAAACACGACTTATCTTCCTACAGAACATCATCAAAGAGGCAGCCAGGTACTCGACTAGTAGGCTAGCTCCAGGACCTGTTGCAGTTTGCAACTTAACTGTTTTAACAACCTAAGCAGTTTCTGGCCAGTTGATTTTCACACATCTCACTTGAGAATAAAGTCACTGTAAACAGAAATTTGTGTGGTCTCCATGGTGTTGCGAAGCTCTCTGGCTTGCTGGCCCTTGGTTCCACAGGATTTGCAGAGTCAGTCTGGATATTTGAGATTTTACAGCCTGGTGTAGGTATTTCTTTGATCAGGCTCAGTATGATGCATTGTGGCTGGGTGTATAGTAGGAATAGTAATATGCCACAAGAGGGCCCTTTGCATAAACACTACTTGTTAACAGTAGGATTCTCGATTTTCTCTTCCAGCTCTCCAGAAAATGCACCACAGAATTTTAAAATGTTTGTCATCAGGACGTTATCTACACAGCTTGGTTACGTTCGTTCACATTGTTTCTCACTGCTTGACAGCTTAACTGTTAGAAAACAGAGCTGGATGAAGTTTTATGTCTCCACACATCACTGTCATAGCAACAGTTGTTCTCAAACATTCAAATTGATATTTTTCACAATCAAATGTACATTTTTATATCAAATGTATTATAATTACATCACAATTCCAGTTTTTCTCTGGGCCGGCCTATTGTCTTGTATGTGTTTGGAAGGGTTGAAGGCTGTTGTCTGACTTCCGAACTGTTTGCTTCATTTGCAGGTTTAAAAAGCGAGTTTTGATCGAGCAATTGGAGAACTTTCTAGAAGAGATCCACTTAAGAGCAAACAATATGAACCATCTGGATGGCTTCTGACCTTTCTGCTCTGGACGTGAGGCATTTGGACATGCTCTTAGTATGTGGACGTGAGTGTGCTGCCTCCACACTGAAGCAGACTGTGTGGATAGCAGCAACAGGAGTAAACGCACTGCATTAGTCAACCTCAGGGCAAGGGCAAAGTGGAATATTATTCCTGGGTTCTCTTACTCCTTTTTTTTTTTTTTTTATAAACCTTCCTCCAATTCTCTAGCCTGTTTTTTGTCCATTTTAATCCCTGTTGTGTCCTCCTCACCCTGCTGTTTTCTTTCTTCTATGCCAAAGAGAGATTTTCTCCAGCCTTTGCTTAACAATAATCCTCTACCAACCAATGACGTTTCACTCAGTATTTGCCACCAAGAGGAAGTCTTGTCCTTTTTGCACCTGAAATTGGACTCTAAATCAGTCACTGCCTATTCATGATCTCCATTGTAGTCTGCATGGAAGGGTTTAAAGGCTAAATTTGTCTTTTGTCATATTGGACAGTTAGTCATTCAGTAGAATATAGCAGAATTCTAATCTACACTGATCTAGTGAGTGATGACATGCTTGGTTTAGAGAGGTCAGCGTTACCCACTTAAACTGTAGTAACAAATTCCACTATTTGTACCTCTTTTATTAATTTCTAACAATTGATTTCGCTGAAATGAATTTTGTTTAGCTGAGTTAACACTGACCTGACATTCTCCAACAAACACCAACATTCAAATGTAGTCAGAATGTTGAACAGAATATGAACTGACCAGCTAACCTGTGTAAATGGAGAACATTCTAGAACAGCGTGACTGAGTGGCGAAAATGCTTGAATCACGCTCGAATGGTTCTAGAACATTGTAAATGGGGGAGAATGTTCTGGAACAGTATGAATGAGGGCGAGTATTCTAGAAAGGTGTCCTTTATCGACACTGTTGTAGAAAGGTCTACCACATTCACACTGCTCTTGCACACTTGAAGGGTTCTAGAACAGTGTGAATGGGGGAGATCGTTCCAGAATACGTTGAATCTGAACGGCCAAAACATTGTGAAGGAGAATGTTGTACAAGGTGCTCCTTTATTCGTCCTTTTCTAGAAAGTTCTTCCTCATCCACACTGCTCTTGCACACTTGAAGGGTTCTAGAACAGTTTGAAGTTTAAATAAGGGGAGAGCAATCTAGAACAGTGTGAATAAGCGAGTGTGAGTAAAAGAAAATGTTGAACAGTAGAACAGTGTGAATAGGAGAACACATTCTTAAACAGTATGACTGAAAACGTTCTTCATTCGCAGTGTTCTAGAAAGTTCTTCCTCCATCACAATGCTCTTGCACACTTGAAGGGTTCTACAACAGTGTGAATGCGGGAGAATGTTGCAGAATACTAGGAATGAGAACGGCCAAAACTGTGCGAAGGATGGAGAATGTTGTACAACTCCTTCATTCATCCTTTTCTAGAAAGTTCTCCCTCGTCCACACTGCTCTTGCACACTGTGTTCTAGAAGAGTGTGAAGCTTAAATAAGGGGAGAGCAATCTAGAACAGTGTGAATGGGAGAGCACATTCTTGGACAGTATGATTATTCTAGAAAGTTCTTCCTCCTTCACACTGCTCTTTCCTACTTTGTTCTAGAACAGTGAATTTTGGAGAGAATGTTCTAAAACAGCGTGAATGTGGGGAGAATGTTCTAGACGACCATGAAAGGGAGGGAAATGAATGGTATGAATGAGGGAGAGGGACCCAGTCACACACTGAGGTCCAGCCCAGCGATTAGCCTTGTTGGTGTGGGTTGGGAGCGTTGGTGTGCTCTGGGCCTAAAGGTACCACAGAATTTCTGAAGGACCGTAACTCGGCACATTTTAGTGTCTTCTCTGTTCTTGCACACTTGAAGGTCTCAGTAATTAGCTGATGAGTTGAATGGCTGGGAGTTTGTTGTGTATCATCTGTCCCTCGTCCTGCCTTAAACAAATGTTTAACACGTGACACACAGTGCTGATGTGTACAGTGTAGTGAATTTGAGGCACATGGGTCTGCTTTGGGACAAGATTCCTCTAAAAACAGACTGGACAAGGAAAGATGTTTTTCCTGCAGGACACTGGATAAAATGTAATAGACTTGACAGGCTTATCAAAGGACAAGACTTCAGTCAGGTTTGCTGCCATTTTAACATCCGTTCATTATTTAGTGAGGTTCATGCGGTAGCGAGTTCGAGGCGAGGCACTCTGCTCAAGGACAGGCCTCACTAGCCAGATTTCTCAGATGTGAATTAGACCTGATCTTGGCCTGCATTGCAAAGACAGTGGTGTTTCGTTGTTTAGTCTAGATTTGGGCTTAATCTGAGTCTACCTTTCATCCCTGCCATCTTTAAATCCCTGCTTGTCCTCACCAGTACTTCTCTCGCCTATCTCTCTCTCTCCTCTCGACCCACCACAGGGACCAAATGTTTGCCATACTACTACTATCTGTATGTTTTGAGGCTCTTTAAAATGATATTTTGAGTACATTGTACAAATGTAAATAAGTAAATTGAAAGTATTATTTAAAGGATGTTTCTTGCAAAAGCCTTTTTTTGTAAGTATTTGAATGAATAAAGTTTCTATTTTACACTGTGAATAGCCATTCAAATAAACATTTTTGCTGTAAAGAATGCTGCTTTTAATTTTTAATAGACCTTCTCAATTTTCTTGTTTTAAAAATGAAAATGCTTTTAGACACAACTGGTTAAGCAAAATCAGAGCATTAACTTTGGATGATAAGCTATTTTGTGTCCAGTTTTGAAATATGTGAATGCAAAAATGCATTTGTGAGACCCTGACTGTGTGGTTCATGCCAGTTTCTTTCCTTTCAGTGATGCATACAAGACTTGTGCTAACATCTTAGACAGTGAAAGCCATGAAATAATAATAATAATAATAATAATAGATAATTAACATGAGGACACAAGCAATATGAAGAAAGCTTTGATTTCTTCTCAGCGCACTGTATGGTCAAAAGTATGTGGACACCCCTCCTATTTGAGTTCAGGAGTTCCAACCATATCCTTTGCTAACAGGTGTATAAAATCAAGGTTATAGCCTTGAAATTTTCATAGACAAACACTGGCAGTTGAATGGCTCATATGAAGATGCCACCTTTGCCACAATTCAATTGGTAAGATTTCTGCCCTGCTAGATCTGCCATGGTCAACTTAGCACAACTGTGTGTTGGGAGCTTCATGAAATGGGTTTCCCTAGCTCACAAGCCTAAAATTACCATGCACCATGGTAAGTCTTGGCTGGTGGTGTAAAACATGCCACCACAGGACTCTGGAGCAGTGGAAACGATACCTACTAGAATGCACAGTACCAACAGTAAAGTTTGTTGGAGGGGGGATAATGAGCTGGGGCTGTTTTTCAGGCCCCTTAGATCCAGTGAAGGGTGATGTTGATGCTATAGCTCAAAAAGAAATTTCAGACACTTATTTGCTTCCAACATTGTGGCAACAGTTTGGGGAAGATCCTTTCCTGTTCCAGCATGACTGAGGCCCAGTGCACAAAGCAGCTCCATAAAGACATGGTTTCATGAACGTGGAGAAACTCTGGTGGTCTGTACAGATCCCTAACCTCAACCTCTTTGTGAAGAACTGGAATGTTGACTGCATGTCAGTGACTGAATGGCCACTAATTCCCTTAGACACACTCCAAAATCTGTGGGAAAGCCTTCCCAGAGTAGTGGAGACCGTTACAGCTGCAAAGGAGGCCAACTCTGTATTAATGCTCACAATTTTGGAATGAGAATGTCTAACAAGCTCATATGGGTGTGATGGTCAGATGTCCACATACTTTTGGCCACACAGTGTATATTGCAGTCTGGTAAACTTGTAGCAGAAACAAAATCCTAACGGCTCATAGATGCCCTGTAACAATCCACTGTTTTAACAATTTTTGGTCAACAGCAGTAAAAGAGAGCAATATTACATGCGAATCTTTTCAAGCTGATTACAGCTAGGCCTATGTAGTTCTCGGTCAGTACCAAGAACTGCATAGTACAGTGCTTCTAAACTGTGGAACTCAATTCCACCTTTTATTAGACAGTCAAGTTTAGTACACACTTTTAAGAAGCATCTAAAAACGTATCTCTTTAACTTAACATTTAATTAAAACTCTACATCTCGTGGTATTTATCTTTTAATTTGATCTGTGTCATTTTCTTATGATTCTAAATTAATATATACACCGATCAGGCATAACATCATGACCACCTCCTTGTTTCTACGCTCATTGTCCATCAGCTCCACTTACTATATAGGTGCACTTTGTAGTGCTACAATTAGACTGTAGTCCATGTGTTTCTCTGCATACTTTGTTAGCCCCCTTTTACCCTGTTCTTCAGTGGTCAGGACCCCCATGGACCCTCACAGAGCAGGTACTATTTGGGTGGTGGATCATTCTCAGCACTGCAGTAACACTGACGTGGTGGTGGCGTGTTAGTACAAGTAGATCAGACACAGCAGTGCTGCTGGAGTGTTTTAAACACTGTGTCCACTCACTGTCCACTCTATTAGACACTCCTACCTTGTCAGTCCACCTTGTAGATGTAAAGTCAGAGACGATAGCTCATCTGCTGCTGCATAGTTAGTGTTGGTCATCCTCTAGTCCTTCATCAGTGGCCACAGGACGCTGCCCACAGGACGCTGTTGGCTGGATGTTTTTGGTTGGTGGACTATTCTCAGTCCAGCAGTGACACTGAGGTGTTTAAAAACTCCAGCAGCACTGCTGTGTCTGATCCACTCCAATGGACTTTTTAAAGAGGGGGGAAAAAATGACTGCAGACACTTGCGTGCAAAAAAATAGCTGTATTAAAAGTTTATTTACAGATATGTACAAATGTGTTGTCCCTCTTCCTGAAAGTGTCAGTAAACCCTTTGATTGGCCCCAAAAAATAACCTCTGACCCCCCCACGAGGGAGGTGGGGGAAGCTTGAGTTTGTGTAGGGATTTGTGTATAAACATTGTAATTATTATAATTTTTTTTAAGGTTCCATGTTTTATAAACCTGTGTGAGATGGGTTTGAGTGAATGGTCTGATGTGGTCAGGCCGCATGCTGTGTGTCTTTCGTGGACAGTGTTTTTGTGTGTAGAGTTTGCTGGTCTTCTCAGTGAACCTGTTCTGCTGGATTCAACACTCTGCCCATAAACAGCACTGAGCCTGCAAGAGGGGAAACACAGAGAACAGACCAAAGAGTCCTGTGAGTTAATGACCTCACAACTGTGTTATTTCAGGAGGCTGTTATGGACATAACTTTAAAACTTCATTAATTAGAATAAAATATATATGCATAAATAAACATATAGACATACATACATGGCTGAAATTATTGGCATTTATGCTTTTGTTTTGGTTATAGCACCACTGAATACCATTATCTACTTTGAAGGTGGTGAATGCTGCTGCTGTTGCCGTTCTCATAACCAGTTTAGCACAGTTATAATTTACAGACTTGCTCACTGGTGATAATAATGGGCACATGTTTACTACTTATTAGGGTTGGATGATATTCCATTTTCATTATGCCCAATAGGTCTTTTTTAAAAGATACCAAAAGACAATATCATTCATATTAGGAAACAAACTACATGGTCTACTGGCCTATTTTCAAAGTTGGCCACTTTGTGTTTTATAACTTTTACAATATTATAATTTGTATTTAGTAGATGGTTGTTGGTATATTTGTTATGTACATAAATACTATGGTATACTCACTCATTCTGGACAAAAGTCAATATGTTGGTCCTTGGACATACTATTTTGTGACTACCAAAACAGTAACTATGAAAACATTTGGTAAAGGAAACATGGACCCTCTACGTGTTATTTTCACAAGTTGAAATTTAGGGCTTAGGGTTTGGGACAGACCACTGCAACCCAGAAGGAAAAGCAGTTTAGATGATGGATGGATGGATGGTTTGGGACAGACAAGTCTTGATTTGATATATATTTATATTATCTGAATAAATGCTTTGGGTTTAAATATATCATAACATAATTTAAATACTTAATTAAGTAAATACTTAATATTTTATTTTTTTAATTAAGTTTTTTTCCGAGGGGCCGCAATTTGAACCAATTTTGTAGAATGGCTTATATAGCTGCTGTAGCAACATGGTAAAAACATGGACTGCAGGCTAAACTACGGAACTAAGACTATGTATTTTGGCTCAACTGTTTCAGCAGCATAATGGTATCGCTTTTACACTCAGAAAGCAAAGCGCCTTAATATACTGACCCTACACTGAGCACTCTGGGTGAACAGTTCAGTCAAAAAAAAGTTGCTAACAGTCACCAGTTAGTCCTGCTAATTGTCAGTTACAAACTTCCATCCGTTGTTAGCCATGTTAGCATGACTGAGCTGCTCCTTTAATGAAAGAATACCGAATCGTTCCTTTAATTAAGGCTAAACACAGCTTCAAAAATGATGTGAGTTTATTTTACCTCTGTCTATGTGCCGTAAGATGAAAAGGAATGGACGGTCTGCTTTAAATACTGGGGCTCTGGACCTTTTCAGTAGCACCATCGCTAAAAGAAACAAAGGAATGTCAGTGATTTAACCTCGTAATCCAGTGAAGGTGGATGTGCTCTTACAAGAACATATAGCCACACTGGCTAACATGGCTAACACATGGCTGACACATGCCCAGGCATTTCTTAACTCTAAGCTTTAATTTTGTTGCCAGAGCTTACTGTAAGCACAAATTCAACAAACAAACAAACAAGCAAGCAAGCAAATAAATAAATAAATAAATAAATAAATAAAATTTAACCAGTTTTTCCCATTACCCCAAATTTGACTGATCAGTCAAAGCATGTTTGTTGTCTTTAGTTTACTTCTTTAGTTTTACACCAGAGCTATGAAGCTAATGTAGCTAACAAGTAAATTAACTTAAACCCCACTAATTAGCATCGCTTACAAGCTGGAGGCAGGGGCTGAAGGCTGAATTTTGTTCGTACTATTGCCCACGTGTACAGGTAACAGTGTCAGAAACCCCATCTATTAGAAATCAACAACTCTACATGGTTTTAGGCAAGTGTGAGATGATTCAGGTATGCAGTTAGCACCATGCTAATTGCTGGCCATGCTAAAAAAAAAAAGCATAGACCAGCATGGCTAGCAACCAGAAAAATCGGCATATGCTCTTGTCGGAAGAAAACCTCATACCTCCAAAATAGTAACTTTACAGGAAAAGGAAAAACATTTAATGTAAGTCAATGGAACCAGACGTCTTTCCAAGTCATTTTGGACCATTTCTTTTGTCTTTATCAAATTTACATCCAATATAAAGGGCGACAAGTATTTTCAAATTATGTCAAAAACTGAAAAATGCTTTCTTCCGACAGCAGCGATATGTTGTGTTTTGGATGCTGGTATGCCAGCAAACAAGACCAGCATAAACCAGCTTAGACCAGCATGGAATTCACATTAGCCTTGTGGCTCCGCTGCAAAAATAAGTAGCAAATTTCTGACAATATTTCAGGAGGGGCACTCTACACTCCTGTGCAAAAAATACTAAATGTTTTTACTAATGGTTTTGGCCTGGTCAGAGTCCAGATGTAACCCTATAGAGCAGGGGTATTTAATTAAAATTCAATAAGGTCCAGTTACTTTCTTCTCTGACTGCTGTTTCTCGCCTCGTCCCTCCCCTGTGTGCGCGTCATTGAATCGAGTCTCAGTGCTCATCGTAATGCACAGATCTTATTGGCTGAGTAGCGTCACATGTTATATTTACGTCACGTGTTATATTTACAGACCAACGCATGCGATTGGTCTGTGAGTTTCCTGGGCTGCTAAAGCTACCGTAAAGGCTAGAAAAGTTACACAGATTAAAATAGGACCACCCCGTCGAAATTAAACAATTCTCCATAGTTTATCGGTTATAGGTCCAGGTCCGCATAAGACAGCGTCCGGGTCTGGACTTGGACCGCGGTCCACCTATTAGTGACCTCTGCTATAGAGAATATTTGGTGTCACATTTTTCACCTGTTTGAAGCCATCAATGCTGAGTGGAACAATAATTTTTCTGTAAAAGACTGTCTGCAGGTTTATCCACAAGACTTCTAAAGAAATCAAAGGGAAAAGCTATCCATTACTAAGGCATTACTCTATTTGTTTAATGATCTGTTATTAAGACGATTAACAGCTTAATATTTTGCCATTTTAGGCCTGACCCATTTTTTTTGCACAGAAGTGTATATTTGTTTTTTGACTAAATTGTCTCTTTAATGCAATTCACCTATAAATTCCTATTATATAACCTACAAATAGCCTCAGACCTCCAGTGCAAGAGTAAAGCAAATTTCAGATATGAAACATCTCACCTGACTGACTGGGGTGGGAAATTTTGTACTTTGGGATTTTTTGTCTAACCGTTGCGATAATACGTGAGTGTGTACATTGATACTGCATTCATTTCCTTCACGTTTAGCAAAGGCACACTACTCTGATGTCAGTTAGGTTGGCCCATACGTTGGTGCCTCATATTTATCTTTCTTGCCCTTAAATTTCTGTCCTAACTTTTACCTGTAGCTGCTGCTGCTCTTGTACCGTCCTCAGTCACTTCCATCCTAGCCTCGTGAAAAGCCTCTGAAACATACAGACCCTCCATATCTGCAGAGAGAAGAGCCGCAAGACATGAGTTAACTGTGCTAAGAAGGTGCTGAAAGTGTTTTGAATTAGGGTGGATACATTTAAAGCAACATATGTCATACAGTGTTTTTTTTTATCAGTATGGCAAACATTTTATTTCAGTATTTTTTATACTTATGTTGTTTTTTAATATAAACCATACAGAATGAACCAACAAAACCACTAAGGCAGTATAATTTAAATAGGCATAAAATGGAAATAAAATAAAAATACAGAAGTACAACTAACAACAAGCAGACATGGGTCTTTATGAAGCTCAAATTACTTCATGTTAAAGTTATTATTATTATGATTATTATTATTATTATTGTTTTGTAGCAGCTGCAGTTAAACAATCCTCAGCACCCTCAATCTAGTAATATAATAGCTGCATTCCAAAGCCTAGGGTGCATTTCTCGGCCGCTATGTCATGGCAGGCCGTTCCAAAGTGAAGGACCCTTCGTACACAGCTTAGAAATGCAGCCTGCGTTTGGAGTGATTTCAGGGACAGATCAGATGTGACCAATAGGCTACTAAGGAGGAGTCTTCATAGGACAGCCTTACCGAGGACCCACACTACCTCGGCTGCAGCCTAGGCTTTGGAACGCAGCTAATGTAATGCATAACAGGTTCATAATAAGTAAAAATGCACATGAACTTGTTTATTTAATTACTTGGCAACCTGAGAGATAAGAGTTGCGTTTCACAGAGCAGGATTTTTCAATTAACTAGACAAGCCCAAAGTCAAGCCTGTCCAATGGGAGAAAAGGTAAGAGACATTTCTATTGGACAATCATCAGTTTTGACTTAAGTTACTGAGCCACTGTGTTCAGTGGGAAAATAAACACTAATAACTTGCAATAATTTAATTGGTTCTTTTTATATGGGGGCATATTATATTTGTATAATTTTCTTGTTCCTGAGCTGATAATCTACAGAAACATGAACATTTTCAGATGCTGCTGAACATATTTTACCTGATATCCCTCTGAAATCTGCAGCGGAGGAATCAAAAGCGTCAGAGATCCCGAGAGACTGGAGAACAGGCTTCAGGTTGACCCGAGTGTGCATCTTAAACCTGAAACACACAACCAAGTTTCAAGATTCATGCTTATTACAAAAAAACACCTCTGCATGAAACACAAGTACATGGCATGAGATGTTTTGTACATCCTGGATGAACTTCTGGACAAAACTACTAAGCCTGGATATTTGAATATCAATGAATATAGCAAACAATTATAATGATGTAGGTCAATACTAATACTAGTTTGGTTAAATTAACATAGTCGTATATAAACATTACATTATGTGGACACCTCTTTTAATTGGTGAGCTATTTTAGCCACACCCATTGCTAACAGTAGCATAAAATCAAGTGTACAGGCATGAAATCTCCATAGACAAACACTGGCAGAAGACCTGGTCGTACTGAGGAACTGTCTTTTAATGCCATCTCTCGACAAGCCATTTCATGAAATTTCTGCTCTGCTGCAGCTGCCCCAGCCAACTGTAAGTGCTTTGATTGTGCAGTGGAAACATCTAGGAGCAACAGCAGCTCAGCAGTGAAGGTGGGCCACACGCTCACAGAAGGGGGTCTGAAGCGACTTAAGCTGGGTTCATACTTGTAGTATAGCAGAAAATGGTCACTGTTGTGTTATAATTCTTGTTTGCTTAGTGTTCACATTAAAAATATTTACAGATTACAGCTTTATGTAACAGGTTTCAGACAGCAGCGTTCTCACTTGCTCTAGTGAACCACATTACAGAGCAATCACACCAGGGCTCATTTTAATCGGACCAAACCTGCTAAGTGTGAATGCACCCTTAAAAACGTCTGTTTTCATTCACTACCAAGTTCCAACATGTCTTTGCAAGCAATATCAGCATCTGGAGCTTAATGGATTTGGTTTCCTTGGCAACCACAGGCAGCTCCTCATAAGCCCAACTTGCAGGAGAACACTACCCACCCAAATGCTAACTGTAAAGTTTGGTGGAGGAGGAATAATGGGTCTGGGACTGTTTTCCATGGTTTGGTCCACTTTGTTCCAGTGTTAAATCTTAATGCTACAGCAAACAATCACATTCTAGAGAACTGTGTGCTTCCAACTTTGCAGCAGCAGTTTGAGGAAGACCTTTTCCGGTTTCAGTATGACAGTGAACCCATGCACAAAGCGAGGTCTATAGCAAAGTGGATTATCGAGTTTGATGTGAAAGAACCTGACTGGCCTGCATGGAGCCCTGACCTGAGCTCCTTCCAATAACTTTAAAATCAACAGGAACACCAACTGCTACCACACTAATGCCCTTCTGGCTGAATGAAAGTGAATCGTGTTAATCCGAAATCTCATCCCAGAAGAGTAAAGGCTGCTACTGCAGCAAAAGAAAGGACCAACTTCATCTTAATGCCCATGGTTTTGAAATGAGACGTTCAACAAGCACATATATATATATGATGTTTAAGTGTCTACTTGCATTTGTGTTCATGGAGGGCATTTGTTTGGTCCTTTATGACTCAAAATCCTTGTGGATGGTTTCTTATTTCTAACATGCTGACTGTAGTGTTTACCTGGGGAGGAAGACGTCCATTTTGGTGCGTCGTAGTCCGGTATCCCAGAGTGCCACAGCATGGCCTGTGAGTTGAGCCTCCAGCTGTGAAAGAGGTGTCTTCCTGTCACTGGGCAACACCACCAACAGGCTGAGCGATCGATCCAGGTATGGCAGCTCGAGCACAGTGTAGCGCTGCTCTGAGGGCAAGCGAAACTGACCTGTGGAGACAGCAAGTGAAAAGGAACAAATTTCATCAGTGTGCATCATGTCATCACACAGTCATACTAAAAATCTTTGTAATACTTTACTTGAACTGTTCTACATTCTAACCTTGACATAGCCATGCCATAAACATGTCATGGTAAATGTCATATATTGTGATCACAGATTGTGTTCGTTAATTTAACAGTGCTGCGTTACCATTACTGGTCATTGTCATGACAGATGACACATTTTTACCCAACCTTTCCGTCACATGATGCTATATAGCTGGAAAGGAAGTTTCCTCGAAGATGTGAAGCTCCATCATAATTTCAAACTGCCACTAATGCAACATCAGCTCAAAATGCTTGGAGAAGAACGCTAATCGCTAATTCTGTTTCATCATCTAACACTGTTGAGATGCTATCTTAGATATCTGAGATGTTTGGGCACAGATAGCATGCCATTGCCAGGAACTCATGATCTCCCAGTGATAAGTCCAACATGTACGTCTTCAATTCCAGATCTTGAGTCCTGTTTGCAGTCCTGGAATTATTCATCACTGGTAGTTAACTGTTGATGTAACTGATTAGCCACCTAGTGTCTAACTGGACACTTGGTGCGGATCTGAAGACTTCTGATGGTTGCGCCATTTGGGAACCCCCTAACTTGCAAAGTGTCTTTCTACTCTATTCTCTTCAAGTTAAGTCAAGCTTCATCATAATTCCTCATCAGCCATGTAAAAAATTAAATATGGTTCCCCTGAGATGCCATGATGCACTGAACATGAAACAGCACATAAGAGGATAAATTCAATAAATATATAGAGTTTTGTTTCAAAATGCTGTATGTCCATTTTGCATATAACAAGTTTTTGAAAAGAATAACAGTTTATGCATAATGGAAAACAGATTTTTATTTCTCTGATAAAGGTTGTATGAATCATAGCATTTATTTTAATTATACATGTAAAAAATGCTCCCAACAATGTATATCGTGAAAAAAAAACAAACACGGTTACTCACCGAAGTTCACCTCAGTTGATTGGTACATCATGGGCACTTTGATGGTGCGGCCGTCAGACAGGGTGAAGGGCAGGTTCTGCGTCTCGGTGGACAGAAACTGTTTCTGCCAGGCACCCTGGAACACCACCGAACTCAGCAGGGCCATATGAGGGCGCAGCAGCCCACCACAAAGCCCCCTCTTCACCATCACCGGAATCCACTTCCTGCCCACCTACTGGGAGGAACCAAAAGGCATAAGCTTCAGGAAAGGAAACAGTTTAGCGAAGGGATCCAGTAGTGCATTCCTCAGATAAACTACTACAGAATAGTTTCATGGGTTAATTTAATCACACAGTGTTACACAGATATAAGCAAAGTCATTCAGAGTGGTTTGATATGAAGTGTTTCATTGTAGAGAAGTGCGTCAGATTTCTTTACAGTGGTGGTGATAGGAACCAGGGGTCAGATATGTACAACACAAATATAGATATTTTATCTATTATCCAACACCACCAGTCAACCTACACGTGTTCTCTCAGTTATGTTTAACGTTGTTCATAGTAAAATAGTTTTCTTTGGGGACTATTTTGCTTCACAACACCCTGCATGAATCCCTCCGCCATAAATGGACTTAAAAAAAGATTTTAGTCCAAAATCTTCTCAAAATTATAATAAAACAATGTCTCAAACTCGTTTTCATTATCATTTCATGTAATAACTTTCTGTAAAGGAACTTTTAGAGGTGGACGTCTACGTTCCTATCACCAGCACTGTGAACAATTCTGACTTAGTAAGTTTCTTTAAAACAGAGCATTTCACACCAAACCACTCTGAATGACTTTGTTTACATCTTAAACATTTAATTATGCAGAAATTTTGGGAAATGGATGGAATTCCCCTTTAAATCAGTCATGTTTCCCCAAAAACAGCAGGCAGACTGTGATCATTGGAGTAAGGCATTAAGCAGAAATGTGGAACATTATTATGTTTGTTTTATATTGTTTTCCATTTAGTTACTATTAACCCTTCTAATGTAGATGTCTGTGAAATTTAAAGGAATAGCTTCACCAAACCTGCTAATATGGTTAAAAATCAATAGATGCTATTTAGCACAATGTCATTAGCTTAATGCTGACTGACAGCTATTCAGTTTCATTCATTCTTAGGAAATTTAGCATTTTGAATGAACTGTTCCGAATGAGGTTAAAGGGTTCATTCAGTCAAACAGTGCTAAAGCTACTGGCATGCTAAGCTTAGCTTTCATTCATTGTTAATGAATGTCAGGTTTCCCTGCCTGACCAAAACCTGGCTCCATTCTTAACCTTAAGTACTCTTTGGTATGCAAAGACAATATGTCCTAAATAAGGGGGAAAACTGACCACTTTGTCAGCATTTTACAGCTGTTGACTTGCTCTAAAAATGAATTATTTGCTTGTGACTATCTGTCCTGAGGCTGTGTACAATGCATAGAATGCAACTGTGAAAAATCTTTATTCGGTTCACTCACAAGCAGAGCTGGTCGGCCCAATATGCTCAACTATGCACATTACATAGGGCCTCACAAAATTATGCAAGAGCACTGCCTCCCTCTCATGTCAAAACTGTTTATTGTTTACATCTTTGATGAGAGGATGAAGCGTAACTATCTATCTGGTCACAAAAAACACCACAAGAGTGAATTACAGGAAGAGCAACCAGACAAAAGTGTGTTCACTCCTCTCTAAATTTGATGGCAAGTAAATAACAGTAGCGTTTAACAAAAAGAAGTTGATTTGTTTCTGTGAACAAAGCCTCTAACAAGAAACAGCAGCACTTTGCTCACCTCTGCCATGCGCCTCCTGCTGGAGCTGACCATGCGTGTGATTGGGCCTGCTGAAGTTCACACTCACTAAACTGCTGTTGTACCATCGCTTGACACGTTGGGTAAATGCCGGCAGAAGCTGGACCCCGCCCTGGATGAACAGCGTGTTGGTGAGCTGGAGCCGAACTCCCTGAGTAGAATTACCCAGGTCACCTTGCGGTAGGGACACAGCCTCCTGGATACGATCGTCTAAGGGGAGAGAGTTGATAGTGTTATATAGAGTTAATGTTGCTACCAAAATAGTCTTCTGTGAATGTCTGTATACTTGGGGCAGTCGTAGAGGTTAGGGAACCAGACTTATGACCAGAAGGTCGCCAGTTCAATCCTCTGGGCTGACAGGACATGACTGAAGTGCCCTTGTGCAAGGCACCTAACCCCCAACTGCTCCCCGGGTGCCGTGGATAGGGCTGCCCACTGCTCTGGGCAAGTATGCTCACTGCCCCCTAGTGTGTGTGTGTTCACTAGTGCATATGTAGGTGTTTCACTGCACAGATGGGTTAAATGCAGAGGTGAATTTCCCCATTGTGCGATTAATAAAGGGTAACTTATATTATACTTACAGAATAAAAATATGTTCTATTAAAGCAGCCATGTCGTGGAAAGCTGAGTTTTCTCTTTTTCAAAGTAAAATAGTTTCAAAAACAGCCTGGTTTGAATTCAGTGTTTCTGTGATGTCACGAAAAGCAACACATTGAAATATATTCTTCTGTTTAGCTTACAGCAGTTTAGCCCTGCCCACTCATACTGAAGATATGGGCAGTGTTTCAGCTGGACCTGCTTTTTGAATGAGGTACAGTACAGCACAGCCAATCAAAACAAAGTTCATTTACATACATATTAGTCTAAATGGTACAGTAACAAAAAGCCTGTTTTGTAAAGATTAAGAAAGGTTGGAAAATGGTCATGTAAAAAATGGATTTTGATGGTTTTTGGTAGATAAATACACAGAAATGCCAGAAGTGATGGTTTAGCCAAAAATCCAGTCTAATTAAAAATGAATCTTAAGAGTGTGATAACTACTCAAAATCGCTGCTTTTGAATTTTTAAGCTTCCATTGCTTTTTAGCTAGTTTCGTTTGTCCAGAGCAAAATTAAAGAAGCAAATTTCATACAGTAGAACAGCCTTGTTTTTGATCTTTTGCCTGACCATCACTTTAACTATAACACCACAGTAGCATGCTAGGCACTCATGCACATACTCATGTTACAATCAGGGTTTGAACTGTGGAGGGCTAAGTACAAACGGGTCCCCTATAAGAGAGAAAAAACTGAATTTGAGGGAGGTTCTGTGTTGTTATCTTGAATAAAATTAGAATAGATGGACACAATGCCCTCATATAGCAACAAAACTAAAAATTACATGAAACATCCAAATATTTATATAAGTATACAGTCTGAATTTACAATGATTCTGCCATTGAAGGAATAAACAGTGGTGTGGCAACTGGAAAAAAGTTGCTGTGTAACAGAAAGTACATAAAATTCACTATTGTTTGTGCCAGATTTGTCATACATCACTTCAGAGTCAGACCCTCCATCAGGGGATCCCCCTAGACCTCTGCCACAATTCAAACCCTGGTTACAACAGAGTTTATCAATGGGAAATCTATACTCAGCCGCCATTCAGTTCAATTCAACTTCTTTAATTTAAGTTTAATTCATGTTTAACTTACATCTATAGGCCCAAAGGCATTGGATTACTACTTTTGCCGACTCTTGACTATTTCAAGATGGTAAAAACCTTCTGGACTGCACTCTGGATCCTCTGGACTGAACCGCTGCATTTAAAGGACCTGACAACATCATTGTAAATATTTAAAACATCTCAGTGAGTTAAATAAGTGAAATGATGATTGTTAATAAGTGTTAGATTTGCAAAAAATACATTCTTAACCATAACTCATAAATGCTACTCTGCACAACCAAAGACTTGGACAACCTTGCAATAATATCTTAGTGGACCAGCACACATTCATGCAAGACACAAAAGTTTACAGATTGAAAAACAAAAAGAAATAAGTTGACAGTCTCTTTAACAGTGAACTGTGTTTACTGAAGAAAAGGGGTAACATTTTATTTGGAAAGCCCACTGTTGACAGCTTACCTTGCATTTCAATTATTACCTTCTATCTATTAAATGAACCTTTCCCTAACCCTAACCCTGGCCCTAACCTTAGCCTCAACCCAAACCCTAAACCTAAACTTAACCCCCACCCTGGATCTAAACTCAAACCTAATCAAAGTCCTGATACTAACCCTGACCCTAACACTGTTGAGAATCACCTAAATGGTTTGTTAACAGTTTAAACATCTGTGGATACTTCATATGGGGCTATCCAAATAAAGTGACCAAAAGTATTACTCACTGGCTTACCATTAACATCATATCCCATAGTTCCCTCTAGTTGCGCCAACGTGTTGCCCCTGGCACCCAGCTGTAGCAGCCCCAGGCTCAGCGAAATGCTGACTGGGGACACAATTAGGTTGGAGTTGTTCTCTGTCTCAGTCAGGGTTTGGTAGAGGCTGACACTGAACTCTGTGTGCAGCTCGCTGAGGCTGTTGCCCAAGCTGCTATTGCCACGGCTTCGCTCTACCAGCCACAGACAGAGGAAGAAGGAGGTCGCCGACAGGCACCGCATGGCCACAATCAGTTCAAAGGTTGCTGCAGTGAAAAACAGATTTTTCAGGGAATGGCTGAAAGTGAAAATAACCCAGAAAAGGCACAGATCAACTATATATGGTGCATGTTAATGCTGAACACAGCACCAATAATCTAGCAGTCTGAGGTTTTTTTATGGCTGTCCACTATGTGAAGTTTAGAAATCTATAAAAAAAACTGTCAATGAACCTTCGGTCATAAGTGAAAGCCCCAGCATTGGCCATTTTATCGGAAACACCTACCATATAGGTGCGTGTTGTAGGTGTTCAGTTACAGACTGTAGTCCATCTGTTGCTGCATAATTTATCAGCTTCCCTCTACTCCATCTGTCAATGGAAAGGAACCACCATAGAACCACTGAGCAGGTATTTTTTGGCTGGTGGACCATTCTCAGCACAGCAGTGACACTGACATGGTAGTGTTACTGGTATGAGTGTAGTGCACATATATGGTGGGTGCAAAATGACCAATGAGTAATAAACTGTCAACCTTACTGTCAGGCCTTATTCAAACATAGTCAACACACGAGCAAATTCGAAGTAAAAGGAACTCGTAAAAGCATATTCCATTGGAAATGGAACACATCTTACCTGGTTACAGCCTGTCCGTCTTTGCAGCACTTGCAGGAGAACGGTGCATTTGCAGATAAAGTAGCCTCACACCTCTGGTGATACAGAGTGTGTTTTTTAAGTGTACATATATGCCTGGCTCCTCCACGTGTGGACAGCTGATTGAGGCACAGTCATGAGACTGTGTTTAAAGAGAGAGCTCCGTGTTTGTGGTCTCCGGCGGCGATGTCCGTACCACTCGGTCAGAATTCCCGCCTCCCTCCGGCACTATAAGGAGACAGGCAGAGGGAGGCATGCCACCGATCAGCAAATCCGGACTGGAGCTGGGAAAAAGACTCCCTCACTCACACACACACACACAGACACACACAGAGGTTTGTTTTTGTACAATGTCAGGACTTGGGATCATATCAGTGCTACATACACTGTCAGAAAAGAAGGTAGTGTAAAGGTCAATTTCAGGTCAGGATCACTGTAAATTTACCCTGAAAGGTACAACACCGTCCTTCTGGTCCAATTGGTCTTTTTCACAGTAGTCTTAAAATACGATTTCCACCTGTTTTGGAAGAAATGCCTGAAGTGACCTATGTGTTTTCTTTCTTCAATAACACAGATGGACTATATTTTGATGGAAAGGTTTATAATTTAGAAAGGTGAGCAAGCAAGTCAACATTTGGGTCAGTGACAAGGTTTTCAAACTGACAATTTAAAAAATCTTATTAAAAAGGACATGATGTGGATTTTTATATCTGCACACATATTTGCATTTATATCTATGTGCACATTAGATCTTAAATATAATTAGCGTTAGCAGAGCTTTTATTTGTCTATTTCAGTTAGGGTTAGTGTTGGTTGTGCCACCTGACTTTTCAGACTAATTTCAAATTAAACAGGCATCTACTTAGAACCTTTGTCCTTGAACTTGAGCTTATACTTACATTTTTTCAAATAAGTAAACATCATTATAATAATTACACATTTTCATGGCTGCAGTTGCGTCTGTTTTATCTCGGCATGGCCGTCTTTGTGGAGAGGGGTCAATTTTTTCTTACAGCAGAGGGTTTTCACCCCTCCACTTTCACCCCTCATTGCTCACTAGCAGCTCAACAGAACATTTGAACATTTCACGCAAAGTGAGCTAAGAGTGAGTTAAGTTCCTAACTTCCTAAGTTAAGGTTATATAAGGTTGTTGGAACAGAAGCCACATCTCCAAAATTATAACTTGACAAGAGAAGAAAAAAACTTACTCTACTTTTACTGTAAGTCAGTGGAACCAGACTTTTTTCCAAGTAATGTTGGGGCGATTCTTAAACTGAAAAATGAGAAAAATGGAGATACAGGGCTTTGTTCTGACAGCAGCGATACATACATACGGAGACATACATATATATAAAATCTAGATATTTTGTCCTGAATTTGTACAAAAACAAATACACATACACAAGCATGCCCACAAACATGCGCATTTCTTGGCTCTAACTGCACAAATCAGGGAGCGTTCCTTTGTTGCACAAGCAGCCTTTTCTTTGGATGAGGCCATCAAAGGCTGTCCCAGCAGTGGCAAAGGAATGCGACCCGAACTCATCGCCAGTTTGCTGCATCAGCATTCCTGTGCCACAATTTAATTGGTGTGTTACTTTCATATTTGATCTCACATTATGACACACACATTTTCTAAGCACTGTGTGTGTGTGTGGGGGGGGGGCACTGCAACTGCTGAAAAATGTAATAACTTAAATAAATTAATAAGTTATAGTACAGTACATGTGAGATTTATAATGCCTTATTAGAAAAGTGCAAACATAGAGAGTGCTGCTGGTAGGGAAAACCTTCATCAGGCTTTTTTGAGAGATTTTTTGTCCACAGCCATGTTATAATAAAGGCCTTTTCACTCAGTGAAGAGTGTCAGGGATTTTCATTTTTTCTTCTGTTATTATATTGTTACATTATTGTCAATAACATTTGTCATCGACAGACACATTTTTTTAGATTTTAATTTACAGCCTACACAAATCTCATTCATGATGTTGCTTTTTTTTCAAGAGCCTGCAGAATTAGGGAGAACCAACACCTGTTTGATTGCTTTTAGTTTGTTTCCAGACAACACTGACTGCCCTGCTGAAAAAACAGCACAGACCAGCATGCATTTCATGCTGTTTTAAGCTAGTCTATCCTGATTATATTGGTCCTGTGCTGGTTTAGCTGGTCACCCAGCATGATCGTGCTGGTTGACCATCATACCAGCATCCATATCACAACATATCACTGCTGTTGGAAGAAAACCTCGTATTTCAGTTTTTGTTGTTTTTCGGTTTTTGCCATAATTTGAAAATACCTGTCGCCCTTTACATTGTGTGTAAATTTCATGATGAATGGACCAAATAAAAGGCCCAAAATTAAAAAATTCTGGTTCCATTGACTCACATTCAAAGTAAAGTAGGTTTTTTCCTTCTCCTGTAAAGTTACAGGTTAAAGATCAGGTTAAAGGTTAAAGATCTCCTGATCTCCTAAGATACAAGGTTTTCTCCCAAGAACAGCAATAGGTTTGCTGGTGGTCTATGCTCATTTTCTAGCAAGGTGCACCATTAGCCTCAGCCCCAATGAGAGAGATCAGAGTGAGCCTCTAGATTAACCAGCTAATGTTGGCCTTAAAACAGTTATTCCAAATGAGAGAGCAGTGTCATTCTCCAGAACAGCTAGCTGATGTTAGCCTTAGAACAGCTTGTTAATGTTCGCTATGAAACAGCTATTCCTAACAAAAAAGCAGTGTAATTATTTTAAAATGAACTATTACATAATGTTGCTTTGAGGTGGAACTGAAAATTTGAATAAGAAGCTGGCGAATACTAAGCCAACTTCAGCTTAATTTTTCTATCTACGTCCCCATCATTTCAGCTTTCTAGAGCTCCAGATGAGAACACAGCTAGGATAAAATGAAATATTACATTTTTAAGTGCTAATAACTGAATCACTGGTGGAAAAAACCTTCTCTTCTTAAAACTACTTTCCATTGCCTCCTCAACTCTTTCTCTTTGGGAAACCTTCAGCTGATTACAGTTGACAGTCGCTCAGCCGACACAAGTAGCTGGTCATAAAAATCGGTTTGGAGAAATGCCAAGAAAAAATTCTTCATAAAAATCTTGATTATGGGCAATTTAGTTTATATGATTTCTTGTAAAGTCTCAGCTTTCATAGGTAGGTAGTGTTATCGCCAACGTTAGCTATTAATAGTCTGACTCTGGAGGCCAACTAGTTAGCTCTCAAAATAATGTTACAATAGTCAAATACAACCAAAAACAACTATTCAGTCTTACCTGTGAGAGGTAATTCCCTGAGACCTGGTTTGGATTGCATTGGTTTGTACAGCCTCAAACTGTACATGACTTTTCCAGTCCAGTCTTCTCAAAGTTGCCCAGACCAATATGGCAGCGATGTTGACAAATGATCCAGTGTCTACGTGTATGTGTCTATGCTTTACATATCACACTATTTTTGGCACACTATTTGTTGGATTAAGTGGTTTTGGACACAGCTAGAGTGATCCTCCAGGGCAGCCTGCTAATATTAGCCCTACCACAGCCAGAAATCACAAGAAAAAGTGTAAAAAAATGATTTGGCACAGCATTGGAGTTTGGTGTCATGGGTATGTCACATATGTTTCTAACAATTTTAGCTAACCCAACATAAAATGCCTCCCTGCATCCCTGTACATCTATGAGGAGAACACAGAGACTAGCTGAATATAAATAATCTTCAGTTTTATTTTTTTTGTCATATTATTGCTATTATAATATCTTTAAAGTATTTTCAGTGTTTAATGGTCATGTGATTTCTTGTCTTCAAAGCTGGACCTTTTAATTGGGATTCCGATAACAATAAACTCTAAAAGGAAGTGAAGACACATTTTCCCATCATGAACTGTGAGCTGGAAGGCATAAGGTATTTGGCTCCTCTGTGGGTTTGGACTGCGCCCATTAGCAGGCCATATTAATTAGTACAGCCAACGCTGGCCAGTATCAATGGAGATGGCACATTCCTTAATTCCAGTCTTCCATCCAAAGAATCTGGAATTTTAAGGACTTGATGGTAAATGAAACAGTCATGGTAGGTTGAACAGGAATAATGCTTTGAATCGTTGCCAAAATAAGCAGCCCCTCTTTCATCTTCCTCTCAAGGCCTATCTTTGAAAAGCATGCAATGTGATATGAATTTATGAAAGTCTGCACATAAAGGCTTTCTCCGAGACAGGATATCCAGCTTTTGTTTCTAAAGATCAGAGGGCACCGACCAAACAAACAATAATAAACTGAAACGTTTGGTGGGAGTGCCATACCTTTGGTTTTCTGGAGAATTTTTCTGGATGCTCTAAAGACAAACATAATTGTTAGAATATTAGTGTTTGATGCAAAATGTTTGGTTGGTGTAACAGGG